GTCCCATCCGAGTCCCAGTCGTCCAGGGTGACTGCACAGCATTAGTTAGATTAAGCGTTCAAATACAACAAGGAAGAAAGGAAACGGAGAAGCAAGAAGGAGAGAGGACACACCATAAGGCTTAATAAACAGACTCCCCCCCAAAGCAACCGCAAACGCCGTCGCTATACAGATAAACACCATCTGCGGACACGACCCCACCGTCCAGCTGTAGATCAGATTACAGAGCGTAGGAGCCACAATGCGAGCCAGCGCATGCAGCAGCCCCTTCGCCCCTAGAATCTGTCCGATATGATCCCGCGGGACGTGTTTCGTCAGCGATGACTGCAACACGGGTACGCCTAGCCCGCCCAGCGCAGTCACCACCCCGGCAAAGATGAGGACGGATCCGCTCCGTGACAGTGCGAAACCAGCGTATCCCAGTGCGTCGAAGAGTAGCGATAGCCGGATGACGGCGAGGTCGAACCCGTCCGACCCCGACACCTCGCGGGACGGGTTGTCCGCCCGCGCGCTGCAGAATCGCGCTGCAAACGGGTGCACGACGAGCAGGTTCAGCACCCGCACGCTGCACACGATGAACATGTACAGGCTGGCTTCGACCGTGCCCCATCCGAAGAGGTACTCCGCGTAGATGACGATCACCGCTGACGCGCCCATGGCGACCCCGAAGGCGACCGTGTCGATCGTCGCGAGGAGGAGGATGTTCCGGCGCAGGGCGGGACTCGCCCCTCGTCGGCCGGGGAATAAGAGGCTGGGCCGCCCGACGACCGGGGATAGGATCACTAGCGGCGCGATCAGCTTCCTCGGGTGCAGGTGCCTCACCATGGTGAGGACCTTGCTGCGGGCGAGCTGGCCCTTCCGGGCGAGCGTCGCGTGATGCTTGGCTAGGGCGCTCTCCCGCTGCGCTGCGGTGAGGGACTCGGGTACCACCAGGCAGAGGGCGACGAGGACGAATGACACGAGGGCTAACGCCGTGTAGAAGACGTCTAGAATGTGTCCTGTCTTCTTCAGCAGCACCGCGACGAGCAGCGGCCCGCCTGCGATGCCGCCAAAGAACGTCCCGTACATGTAGCCAAAGGCCACGCTGCGGCCGTCGGTGGCCGTGCAGTCCGAGATGTAGGAGGAGGTCAGGGCGATGACGGCCGTGAAGGAGCCGCCCATGCCGTCGAAGAGGGCGGACAGCAGGAGCACGTTCAACGGGACGGTCTCTGCCTGAGCCGCCATCAACACGATGATCGCCTCCCCCAGCACGGTGGTCAGCACCGAGAAGGCGAGGATCCGCACCCGGCCGTGGCGGTCGGACAGCCGGCCCAGGAGCGGGCTGACCAGGGCGGATAGGATGCCGCCCAACAGGTTGAAGTAGAGCTGAAACTGCGCGACCAGCGACTGCACTTCGGGAATCTGACACTGTCGGTTCTCTCCCCCGGGCATGACGGGCAAGTACGTGAACCCGGGGTTCTGGACCTCTCGCTCGGCCAGGTAGTCGCGGCAGACGAGCGAGACCATCAGGTTGATCTTGGGGACGGCCGTGCCGCCCACCCCGAGCATATACAGCAGCAACAGCGGCATCAACCAGTGAATCTGGGGGGGATTAGTCTGACGCTCAATAGCCGCGGCAAAGCGACATCACTATCCGACCGGGCACTCACGCTGGGCCGTTTCCACCATGGTCTCGGGTCCCTTGCGGCCGCATCCAAGCCACCCCCCGCGGGGTCGGAGTCGCCATCCCGGGGGAGGAGCGGCGTCTGTTCGTGGAGGAGTTTCGGGTCTACAGAGGACGATGACGAGGGGATCTGCGACTGGTCCAACGCGTCGACCTCCGCCGTGAGCGGAGCCTGGTTGTCCATGATGCTGAATCGTTGGTACTGTGCTCACCGACGGCGATATAAATCGACCGAACCAAGGACAGAGGATCCGAGATGAACAAGCGTAGAATGCAAGGTGAATTGACAGGGAGGTCTCTCAGTCTCCATCCCTAGCCTAGGGGAGGAATGCGCGCGACGCAAGGGCGAGCGGACCCGTTTCGTTTGCGACTGATAAGCGACGGGAGGATGAACAGGTCCGGACAATATTGCCAATTAAGTCACCGAGCTGATCGGAAGTATTACACAGACAAAATCTGCAATTGGAGCTGGTGGAGGAGGAGGGTCGGTATTTGGGCTTCGCTCGCATCTGACACCCCAACGGTCTGGCGTCCAGCGCATCCGACGTGGGACGAATCAATGCGCGCCGTGTTAATTATCTTGGAAGCCTTGTCGGTTGTTATCTAGCGTGCCCTGACTAAGAGACGTCCGATCGCGACGATGATTTGATCGGATCCATCCGCTGCCGTGCCTGGTAACGGTTTATTAGTGCATCGTGACGACATTGGGGGAGAAAGTGTGGAATTTCAGGATAGTGGCAGGCAGGGATTGGGACGCATTACTAATCCAGATAAGATGAGACTGTACCATGATTAATTTGAGTCTGACTATGTTGATGATGATAAAAATAAATGTCTGAGAGGAATAAACAACAAAATGTAAAGAATGCTCATATAACCCAGTTGATAGTACAGCTATGGAACGCCAATAAAACCACCCCTCTAGCTAAAAGAAGAAAAGAGATCACACTATAAGACAAGCGACGACGCCTGCTCCCCCGCAAAGAATTTCTTCTGCTCCAGACACCGTTCACTCTTACACCCCTGGCAGCGGAGCGTCATCTGCTTCGAGCACCGCTCTCCCTTCTGGAGGTGATCGCGCGCGACGTCCGCTAGGGCCTGGATGAAGACCGGGCTGTCGTTGAGACTCTCGGCGCGTTTGACGCCCGGGCTGTTGGCCTCCTCCATCACTTCCAGGTCCAGCTCGTACAGGGTCTCGATGTGGTCGCTCGTGAAGGCAATCGGGACCAGTACGATGTCGGACTGTCCCCGCTTGACGAACTCCTGGACGGTGTCGCTCGTCTGGGCTCCCAGCCACGCGGACGGCCCCACTTGGGACTGCCAGGACAGGCGGTAAGGGTTGCTGAAGTTCAACCGCTGCATCACCGCATGCACGGTGGCCGCCACTTCCGCAGGGTACGGGTCACCTGTTCCAATTTTAGCATCATCATTCACATCATTGACATCATTCACAATTCCCCTCCCTCTCTAGGGAAGGGGTGCTGTTTGGGGGAACAGGCGGTGTAGTACCTCGATTCACTACACTCATAGGTAGACTGTGGGCGGAGAAGAGCAGCACCACACCGCTCCGGCGATCCTCGGGGTAGGTCTTGAGCTGGTCCTCGATGTTGCGCGCAAACGCCTCCACCAGCCCGGGGTGGGTCGGCCACCGATCGATGACACTCCAGTCGATCGAGCCCGCCGAAGTCTCGTTGCCACCGCGCTTGCCCTCCAGCCGCGTCTGCCACTTCCACAGCTCGTTGAGGGAGCTCCCCGTCGTCGAGCACGAGTACTGCGGGTATTGGGTGAAGGCGACGGCGCGACCGCCCTTGCCCCGGCCGAACCCGTCGTCCAGCAGGCGCGTGTACATCTCCTCCGTCAGCGGGTTGGCGTACCGGAAGGCGACGTAGGGCTTGTGCGGCGCCGACTCGGGGTTGATCTTGTCGAGGACCTTGCACATCTCCTCGCACTGGTACTCGGACCATTTGCGGATGGGCGAGCCGCCGCCAATGTCGGCGTATTGCTTTTGGATCTTGGGGGTTCGTCGCTTGGCGATGAGGGGGCCGATGTAGCTCTGGAATCGTCCGAGGGGGATCAAGTCGCCGTCGGCCTATTGATCGCATTCTTGTTAGAGGAGAGATCCGGTCATTCTGGGTAAGGGTATCCTCCGACGTACAAATAACCGGCTCAGGAAGTCTTCCACCTCACTCGTCGTCGATGGGCCACCCATGTTCAGGAAGACCATGGCCGTGGGACCTTTAGAGCTGGTGGCATCCTGCGTGACCGGGGGGACCGCCGTCGCCAGGTGGTGGCGTGGTGTTTGGCTCAGTAGAGGAGTGCGAGCGGCGGGCCGCACGAGTTGCCGAGGAAGCGCAAGGGGACGGAGCGCCATGATGGGTTGAGGGATTGTAGGAGGGATTAATGGAAACTCAAACCATGAGTCTCAATTATAAACGATTAAAGAGACAAAAGGAAGAATGACAGGTGTTAAATTGGAAGATGGACAGCGAGACTAGAGTGCGGAGTTGAAGCTGGTCTGGCGGACCTCGGAGGCAATCCGGCGCGGGATTCCCGCCAGCCAATCAGGGGGGAGGGGGAGTCATCACAGCACGTGATCAGGCATCCCACTATTCACCGCAGATGTGATGTTGAAGGAGTTGACAGCTTACTCGTTTTATACATTATTGAAATAAAGTGAGGAAACTGAGTGCGGGTTAGACAACCTATGAGCAAATGCCATACGGAGTACGGAGTAGAAAGACCTGTAAAGCAGCCTGACCGTGTGCCTGATGCAATCATACAATGTTGAGAGATCAAAGAGGAATAGTGTCCGTAGTGGAGTACTGTCCCTGTGGGATCAAGTCAACAACATCCTACGTAGGGATCCCTGGTCGAAGCAACTACCGTGTCACGAACCGACCAAAGCTATACAGCACAAAGGGCAGCCCCTGAACTACACGGACTCTTCTAGGATCATGGTTGTAACGAGATGGTGAAGCACTGGTACGGTGAATGGCCGCTCAGTCAGGGATCGAGCAAGTGGAGCGAGTTTGAGACAAATCAAGATACAGATTGTCATGTTGGTGTTGGAAACACTACCTCAGTAGGTAGGTACTAGACTACCTGGGTGAACACCTTTGGCGAGCGGTAGGGTCTTGATATCCAACACTCCGGAGTTCTACCTGACCCCTACCAAGTGACCGTGTAGTCCTGAAAGTGAGTACATAGGATTGCACATAGTATACTATACAGACATAGCAATCTCATCTATCTCTACTATATCCCTCTACCAAACACCCACCAAAAACAAACCACCCATGTAAATGGATGTGAATATACAATCAATATATATAAAAAACGCCCGAGGCGGGGCTCGAACCCGCGACCTTGGGATCGCCCTGCTCTATACAACAAATATATATATCCAGGCTATGATCAGTGAGAATAAAAGTCCCACGCTCTTCCAACTAAGCTACCCGGGCTGTCAATGGTGTCGGCTGTCTGTTGTTGGGTGTTTCTTTTTGTTACTCACTTACGGATACTTTGTGGGTGTTTGTTCTTGGGTGTATATGGATTGTTTTCTTATGTAGGAGTGGGGGGACCTACCTGTGTTTATTTACTTTTGTCGGATATGTTATAATGTTTTCTTGTTTGAATTGTATATCTATCTATAGTTATACGACTGTTGGTCTTAAATCAAGACGTGACTCCAGCACATCTATTGATTGACTTCTTCTTCCGCGATTGCGCCCACCGATCAGATCATAGATCAGACAATAGATTATCGGCAATCCTTCCCGTTCTGTTTCTGTTCCGCGCCGTTTCTATCCCGCGCGAAACGAAGGACAGAAAGAAAGGGGCGCCAAACTTAAATCACCCGTGATTGTATCCAACATGTGGACCGACTTGTCTTCCCGAGATAAAAAGAAACAAGGAAAAAAAAAAAAAAAAAAAAAAGACAAAAATCCAAAAGACAGTCCGTCTAATAACGCCGCTCCGATAGCTGATTAGCTGGTCGGGCTAGATGTCTATGGTCACCATAAGACAGGTAACGATAAAATCAACAGTGGAAGGGAACGGAACACGTTCCAGGGGGAATGGTATATACAGTGGAGGGTCGTACTCGGAAGGAATGAGATCAACACTGTCCATAAACTTGACAGTAGCAGAGCTCCTCATCCGGACAATAAACCGACTCCCGGCCGAAAATGACATGCCAGAGGAACTCCATGACCCGGCCACTCTTGGCGTCGTTCTTGTCCGTGTCGATCACCCACTGGCGGATCTTGACGTAGTCGTCGACCGGCCGCTGGCGGACCTGATCGCGCGAGACGGCGAACTGCGCGCAGCAGGCGGCGCCGACTTGCTCGGGCATGCGGAGGAAGCGCTGGGGCGGGTTGACGGATAACGAGGGGTTGTCGGCCAGCGCGGAGAGACCCGTCGCGTTTAGAGGGGGGGTGCTGGTGCCCTCGAAGATCTCCTCGAAGACTTGCTCTGTGACGTGGGCGTTCCGGCGGTGGCCGGCTTTGCAGCCCGGATTCCAGTTGCAGCGGAGGTTAACGTAGCCGTTGCGCTGGACAAAGTCGAGCTGGAGGGCGCGCATGGCGACGGCGTTGTCGTGGAGGGGCGCGTCGACGTGCCAGGCGAGGACGAAGCCGGAGCGGTGGGAGTGGAGGAAGGCGATGGTGGCGGGGAGGCGGTCGTAGTTGTCGATGATGTAGGTCAGGTAGGCCATGGCTTCGTGACCTTTGTTGAAGGGGGTGGTGAGGCTGTGTTCGTTGTCGGCGGTGGAGCGGGAGGGATTGACGATGTAGATGGCGCGTTGCCAGCTGCGGACGTTAATTTCTTCCATTGTACAATAGATATAAAAACAATAAATGAATAAACATACTCGGGCAGTTCTTCTTGTACCCAATCCGTCGGCTCCTCCTCAAGCTTGGCCATAACGATGACCTTGTCGCCGTTTGGCTCTCCCGGAGATGGATACTTCCATCCTTGAGGGGCGTCGGAAGGGTCCCGATACCTGGAGTGGTACCATTCGGTGAGATACGCGCCCGCGCGATATTGATTGCAGAGGTCCTCAAGGTGGACCTTCAAGAGGTACAAGGGGAAGAGCAGCAGCACGACGCCACAGATGGCAAAGCGGGAGCCACATTTCATCCTGAGGACGGGGGTTTAGCCCCGAGGGGAGGGGGAAGAGTGAGGGTTGGGAGCGATTGGGCCGTCGAACATGCACACAAGATCAAGATCAAGATCAATCTTGTGAGGAGTGTGTCGGAGAGTTGACGTGCATGCGCGTAGTGCGGCGGGAGATGCGGCCGGAAGTGCGGCCGGAAGATGCGCGAGAGCTGCAGAGGAATAGCGGAGAGACGAGGGGGGATGAAGAGAGGAGAGAGGGATAGGGAATGTTTAAAAGGTTAAAAGGTAAAAGGTAAAAAGGTCAAAGGATTGGGGAGAAAAGAAAAAGGTTTGAAGATGTGGAGAGCAAATGGTGGAGGCAAAAGAGGGACCAAAAGGGACGAAAGAAGGGGTTAAAAAATTAAGCCCGAAAAATCAAAGAAATCCAGGGTCCAACACACAGTCCCACGGGCGGGAGTCTCAACTTTTGATTTGGTGGAATGTGGACATGCGCAGGTCACCCACAATGGTTTTGGAAGATAGATTAGTATGAGGACGGCAGGATGAAGGATCAGGCTGAGACCGTAGATAGAAATTGAGGACCAAGACCGGGGTTGTTGGGAAGTGGGAGGCTGTACAGGGACGATCCCCAGGGATAGAACCAGATTGATCCAGGGTCCGGGCGATCATTTCTGGTTGGAATGGTGGAGTTGGACCCTGTGGCTTTGGATCTCTTTCTTCTCATTCGATATTGGGTTAGTGGTCTTCCTTCGTTTTTAAGACTTACCCAGTTCAGACAGAATCTAGCAGCTAAGCATATTTGAAGAGAAACCACCGAGTCATCGTGTTGAGTAGAGAGTTGGAGCAATCCCAAGTCAAGAAAGGGTCGACGGTTAGCGGCTCTGGCGGGGAAGCTTGGCGGGTTTTAGGGGGTTCGAGTGGTGGAAGGATTCCGTATACCTATTACCTATAGAATATAGTACCCGATGTTATTTATTTGTTTATTATTGATTATTGATTATTGATTATTTGATTATTATTTATGGTTGTTGTTATATAGTATTATACTATATACTATATAATAGAATACATAAAATATCTAATATCATATATATTATGTATTATATTATTGTATTCATCCTATGGGATAAATCATGATATTCGATCCTCTTATAGGCACGTGGCGAGTCAACGGCGCACAGTGACGTCGTCGGGCAAGACCGGTTCCTGAGGCACTTTAGTGTCTACTCTACTCTCTCCTCTCCCATAACACGGTCTGTACTCACTCACTACTCACTACCCATACTTACCTATGAGCTTCAAGAAAGATTCTCTCAACGGTAGACAGTCTATACCCCCATTGATTACAACCACCCAGGGGCACTGCCCCAGTCTACTGCACACCTGCTGTCCGTGCACATATAGAATTCAACCCCCGAAGATCGGCATAGTTATCCCGCACAACTCATCAGTAGGATACTAGTAGGGCGACGATCTATCGTCGAATGGAGGAAATTCCCGCAGTGGTCGGATAGATCAGGCTGACTTGTTTCAGACAGAGCATAACTCGCTGGGTTGGATGGTTGGGTTTTTGGATCGAGGGGATCGAGGGGTCGAGGGACTAGTGAGGCTGTTTGATCTGTGCCTGGTTGATTAGGCTTTGATTTGTAGATTGGAGGTCTCTTCTGTTTGGGGGAACTACACTGCTAGTGGAGGGTTTCAAACGGGTTGGTTTGGGGCTTAGGATTAGGCTGCTATTTTTAGTTGATTTACCCTCATCTGCCTAGTGATAGATGGAGTATACTAATTATCATAGCGATAGGATGGACAGTGTGTATAGCCTGTTCAACTGACTATATACAATGACATAACACCACCCAGTAAATACCTGCAGACCCGCTGCATATATTAATTTTTTATAAACAGCATCAAGAACTCTCTTCATCCTCATTGCCACTCTCTTCCCCTCTTTGCGCACGCTCCCGCTTCCGCTCCAACAACTGATTCAGCTTCTTCGCCGTATTAAACACCCCCCCCGTACTCGCCCCGCAGGCCGCACACGACGGATCCTTCCGATACCGCTTCAGCGCGCACGCCTCGCAGAAGTAATGCCCGCACTTGGTCGTAATCGGATACTGGTACGGCTTCTCGCAGATGATGCACGCAAACGGGATACTCTCCAGCAGTGCCTCGTCCTCATCATCCTCGTTCCCCGCCTTCGAGTCGGCCCCACTCCGCCGCGACACCACCTGCCCGCTCACTTTCTTCTTGTCCCCGTCCGTAGCCTTGTCCCAGTCTTGATCCAGCTCCCACCCCTGCTTGTAGTCCTCCCGCATGTGCGCGTAGATACATGAGTCGCCGTACCCGCAAAACCCGGTCTTCTTGTAGTCTTTGCACACGTTGGGCATGTAATCCATGAAGGTCACGGCGCGCACGTTCGTCGGCGCCTTGACCGGCCCGAACTTCTTCCCCGGTGCGTCGGGGTTCTTCTGGATAAAGGATTGGTAGTTGGCGGCGCCTTTGTAGGTGCCGTCGGGTGCGGACGGCGCCCCTGTTGACCGCGTCGTCCCGAGCAGGTTCTTTGCGTCGAGCTCTTTCTCATCGTACCAGTTGGACTGTTTGGTCGCGTCGTTGGTGGATTGCAGGGGTGCCGGCGCGGTGCTCGCGGGCGCGGAATTCTCAACTGGTCGGGCGGCCCCGGTCGTCGTGGAGGAGGCCGTCACGGCGGCGTTCTTGCGACGGCGCTTGATGCGCTGGCCTTGGTCATCGTCGGAGGAGGTGAAGCCGGAGTCGGAGTCGGAGGCGGGCGGTGGGGCTTCCTTCTTGCGGACGGTGGCTTTGGCTTTGGCTGAGCGTTTTTTGAATGTGATGGGGGCGTCTGCCATGATTGTATGTTGTGAAAGAATCGTACTTATTACTGTCTGCGGAGGCGAGCTGTAGGATGATGGTGGCGAGAGGATCCGGCGAGAGAGACCACGTGACAAGCTGATTATTACTCCGCTCTCACATGATCAGCTCACATGACCTGCACATGACAGATGAACCTGCCACGTCACGGGACGGCCAGGGGATGTTTCACGATCAGCCAATCAGACGACGGGGACCCACCGGTCTGGTACGGTAATCCACTCTGTCAGGTACGGATTGCCGCCTAAGATTCGCTGGAAGAACACTATAGAAGGACTATGGATTAGTGGGCAGAGGATGTCCGATCGTACCTGTACGGAGGATGCCGTATTGGCGGGTAAATTACGAAGATCATCAGATCGTTGGGTGGAATAAACTTCCTGCATCCATGGACACGTCAGGATAATCTGATAGAATCTATAGACTGTCAAGATGTGTTTTCTTTGGGGATTCTGTTGGTATGTTTTTTTTTATTTTATTTGTAAATGGTGGAATAGGGGGTGTACGTATCAGATCAATATTCCGATATGCTTTCTTCTGGTCATTGCCTTGTCAGGATCATCTGGCACCTACTATGTACAAGCACCTACCTATGCACTCCCTACCTTAGGTAGGTACTTGTACATAGATAGGTACTTGATGACAGGAAGGAATCAAACAATGAATTGTAAGAATCTATACTCCGTAGTTATAATACTCTTCCCACAGCAATACAGGAGTAGCCAAGTATCAATCTCCCTAGTAAGAAGATTATTGATCGATCTCCCAATACTAAGACACTATACTAGTAGCGGCCCCTCCGTCCCTCCTTCAGTCCTTCTCTCTCCCTTCTCTCCTTCTTTTCTTCTCTCCCCTCTTTGGTCTTTCTTCCTGTTCTCTCTTCTCTCTTTCTTTCTTCTCTTCTTCTTCTCTTTCTTCTCCAACGAGACGAGAACCGTCTCGTTGTCCATCCAACTTTCCCCTCATTCTCTCACTCTCTCTTCCCCTCTATCCACCTCTTCCTCTTCCCTTTCTTTCCCCTCACTTGCCTGTTTCTTTCTTCCTCTTCTTTTTTCCCCTTCTCTTTATCATTTCTTCCTATTAATCTTGCTTTTATTTTGATCTTCTTCTGTTCATTGATCCAACTTCATTTGCCCCTCCTTATATTAATCCTTTCCCTTTCTTTCTACTATTACTATTATTATTACTCGAATTCGACTCCACCCTCGGATCCGTCTTCCCACCTACTCATTAATTCTGGCATTGGACGCTGCATACACTTCTAGGTGACCCATCACTCCCTCTGCCGTCCGCATCCCTTCGCCTCCCTGCGCCTCCCCTCGACGCTCCCACCACCGCTGCAACCAGATCATCTCCAGCTCTCTCGGGACCCGACTGTGCGTTTCTGGACAGATCCAAATACCGCCACCAGATCCCTCCCCGGAGCTCTCTGCCCTGGTTGGTCCCCTGCATCCTGGTCGCGCGTACCGCATTGATTACGTTAGTCTCTCCCACCTCTCACACCGATCCTCCGCCAGCTCAATTGTCAAACCCACTAGGCCCCGATCCAAACGCGTTTTGTGTTGGGGTTGTGGTCTTGCTGTTGTTGTTGTTGTTGTCATTGTTATTGTTGTTGTTGTTCGCAAGCCACTCCGCTGGGACGGGATCTCGGCCCACCCTCCACCCAAACCAATCCAAATCCGTCCCTCTTTTCTTTTCCTCCTCCCTCTGTTTTCGTTTTCCCTCTTCTTGCTTTTTGTTGTTGTTGTTGTTGTCCTTGATCGCCCTTGTTGCGCCCCGCGATTCGCCCGTCGCTTTCGCCTTGATCTTCCTACCTGTCTTTGGTGCGCGCCCCTGCTTCCGACCGCCTGACCTGTGGCTGGTTGGGCGCCAACCTACTCTTCTCTGCTTCACCGCGGCTTGGCTAACCACCACCGAAGGAGGACTCGAGGCGACGACACTCCACGCCATCTCCGGATCACAACCCGGATATGACCGTGGCTTGACTTCGCAATCCGGAAAACAGGCGGCGACTGTCTTCACACCGATTGCTGCCTCCATCTACCTAGGGGAGATCTCCCTTCATCGGTGACCGACCGCCTTCTCCGCTTCCCCGACCCAAGTCGGTCGAGAAAAACAAGACAAAACAGGAAAAAACGAGACAAAAAAGGAAAAAAAAAAAAAAAAAAAGAACAAAGGCACCATGTCTACGATCGATGATCCTTTCGTGTCCTCCGGCGGGGACGGCGCCATACCCCGCGACTCGCATCGATATTCCTCCTTCGACGACCAGCTCTTCAATCTCGATGCCTCGTCCCCCGCCCAGGCCAAACGCGCCCTCGAAGCGCATCTCGCCGAGACCGAGCGCCGACTCGAGGAGGCCTCGAAACTAGGAACGGCTTTGGTGGAACAGCAGAAGGAGCTCGAGGACAAACTGAAGGAAGTGGAACAGCAGCAGGAAGAGGGCCAGATTGGACCGGATCTGCGCCGCAAGTTGGCCGACTTGGAGAAGGAGTACAATGAGATCGGACGGGAGACCACGCGTGCGTTTCTCGCACCCAAGCGTCTCGCGGGCGGCGACGATGCCCACCCCGGGACCCCATCCTTCGACCAGAAGGTATCCCCCTCGCGTCCCCCACCCTTCTCGCGATCCGTTGGATCTAAGCTAATCCCCCACCAGTCCCCCCTCAGCGCCGCCTTCTTCGCCAGCCAGGCCACGAATTCCCCCAGCAAGGTGAGCGTGCCATCGCGAAAACAACGGAATCAACCCTCCAGTCGGGTCCACGACATCGAATTCGCGACCGAGATCTCGACATCGCTGCTGGCCCAGGTCCGTCAGTTGCAGGCCCTGCTCGCCGAGCGCGAGGACGCGCTCAAAACCCTGAACCTGGAGAAGTCGCGGCTGGAGCTGGAAGCCGAGGGATATGCTCAGCGCATCCGCGCGCTCGACGAGAGCGAGGAGCGCTACAAGGACGAGAACTGGGCCCTGGAGACGCGCACCCACGAGCTCCTGGCGGCGGTCAAGGACGGATCCGACCGGGAGAGTCGACTCAGCAGCAGTCTCGGCGCCATCACCAGCGAGAAGAACGCGGTGGAACGGGAACTGGAGGACTTGAAGCAGACCAACACCAAGCTGGTCGAGGACCAGGCCGCAGCCCAGAAAGCCAACGACGCCGAGCTCCACCTCCTGCGCCGGAACCTGAACGCGGGCGAGGCGGAACGGCAGGCGCTGCAGAAGAAGTGGAACGAGGTGAACGCCCAGAACGAGGAGCTCGCGAAAGCGGTCGCCATGCGCCTACGACAGCATGAACACCAGTCCACCCTCGAGGTCCCCCGCGCCGACCGCTCGGACGACTCCGATCAAGGGACCCCCGACAACTCCCCGCCGCCGTCGCCGAACAAGTTCACCCCGCGTCACGGCCACCTCGAGACCGAGACCCTCCGCAGCTCGCTCGGCCACGCTCATCGCATGATCCAGAACCTGAAGAGCACCATCCATCGCGAGAAGACCGAGAAGATCGAGCTGAAGCGCATGCTGCAAGACGCCCGCGACGAGGTCGAGCTGCGCCGCCGCGACGGGCCCGCCCCGACCGGCGGCGCCGGCAAGCGCCAGCGCACTAAGACCGACGCGGCCCGGAAGGCCCCGCGACCGGACCTGCTGGGCGCCGGACGACGCGGCGGCCCCGAGGTGGAGGTGCACGCAGACCTGGACCCGGACTGGGAGGACCACGCGGGCGAGGCCAGCCCGTCCCACAAAGCCGCGGCCCGGCCGGCGCGCCCCCGCCGCGGGGACCTGTCGTCGGACGAGCCGCCCAGCAGCGCGTACCAGACGGCCACCGAGGCCGACGATACCTTCGAGACGGCCAACGAGCGGGAAACCACCGAAAGCGAGGCCTTCCAGACCGGCGTCGAGAGCATGGCCGACGACAGCACCGACTCCGACGAACTCACCGAGACCGAGGACCGCGTCCAGCAGACCCCCGCGACCGGGCCTCGCCGCTGACCATGGCCAAGCGCTCCTCGTGGCAGAGCACCGCCTCCACGTCGGCCGACGAGAACGACTCGGACGCAACCGAGTATGCCTCCCCCAGTCAGAATTCGACCCCGCGGTATCGCCCCCGCAAGAAGCGCAGCGTGCCGCGGCGGATCCGACCCTCGGGCGAGGCGCCCATGGCGTTTGGCAGCCGTCCCTCCAGTGCGCGGGAATCCCCGGCGACCAGCTTCACGCACGAGCCCGGGGCCTCCGAAGGCCAGAGCCTGTTTGCCGAGCTGGCCGAGCTGGACGGCGAGGAGGAGGACGGCGACTATGGCTCCGTGACCGATTCTCGACGGCCCTCCGCGGCCCCCCTGTTCGCTTCGCCCCGGCCCACCATGGTGGATTCGGGTGTCATGACCGACCCCTGGGAACCGGCCGCCCCGGCTCCGGTGGTGACCGAGGCGAGTGTCCTCGACGAGCCCAGCACGCCGCGGCAGGCGGCGGTGGATGCCGACACCGCGGTGCAGACCAACGCCCCCCCGGCGCTGGTGCACTCGGGAACCCAGTGGACGACGCCTCTCAAGGCATCGCCCGAGTCGAACGACGACCCCGTGTCGAACGTGCCGACGCCGCCCAAGATGACCTGGGACGAACCAGCCGTTGCGGCGGAGCGCGGAGTCGAAGCGGCTCCCACGCCGCAGCTGGAGGTGTCCGTCCTGGCCTCCCAGGAGACGCTGCCGGTGGCCCCCACACGCCCGGACCTGTGCACGTCGTACTGCATCAGCGGTATGACCGAGCCGATCGCGGTCATCGCCCCCGAGCCGCCCACCCTCCACACGTCGGCGATCACGGCGCAGTTCACCGTTCCGGTGGCTGCCCCGGTGACGGACGCGGTGCCGGTGTACACGCCCTCCATGGCCGTCTCGTCCGTCGTCGCCCAACACACCGAGCCGGTCGCCGAGGCCCCGGTGGAGCCCGCACCGCGTGTCTTCTCCGACCAGGGCACGTCCACTGACCTCCCCGAGCTGGTGGTGTCGTCTCTCCACTCGGTGCACACCGAGCCGGTCGTCGTGGACCCCACACCCGCCTCGTCCGAGCCGGTGGACTTGACGGTCTCGCTGCTCACCCCAGCATTTACGGTGCCCATCGCTCCGGTCACCGAGGAGCCAGCGTCTTCCGAACTCGTGGTGCCGGCGCTGTCGTTGTCCCGTGTCCGATCCGTGGAGACGCTTCCCGTCCGACCGAGACAGGCGGACACTGTCGACCGCAAGGCGCCCACGGTGGCCGCGAATGTACCGCTCCCGGATCTGCTCCCGGCTGCCATGCCGACGCCTTCTCTTCCGACACCCCCGGTCGTCGCCGTTCCCGCCCCGGCGGTCTCGGCGAAGGCTCCGGGTCTGCCCCTGGGACCCATCTCCGGCAACGCGGGGCCACGACACGCCCCACGGCAGTCGTCGACCCAGACGGACCAGGGCGCACAGACGATCCTCTCCTCGAAACAGATCGATCAGATCCTGATGGATCGGATCACGGCGCGACCGCTGTCCCCGCCGGACAGCGACCGGACGAAGGAACAGGGCACCTCGCCCTTCGCCACGCCCAAGGCGCGCACCAAGCCGGCCCACCACGCGTCCACGGCTTCTCTCAGCTCCATCCATCGCCGGCCCGGCAGCGCGGCCAGCCAAACGTCCAGTGTCCAGAGTCACCCGCCCCTGCCCGCCGACCACCGCGAGAACATCATCGCGGCCGAGAAGAAGACGGCGGAGCATCACCCCGTTTCCCCGGGTCTCATGGGTCCCCCGCTGGCCCCGGCGTCCGCGTACCGGACCAATGCGACCCAGCGTCCCCGGACGCCCAATGGCTCCAGTGTGCACTTGAGCGCGGCACCGACGACCGCTTCGCGGACCAAGTCGCGGCGCGAGAGTCAGGTGTCCCGGCGGTCCTCGGTGTCCTCGTTCGCGTCGGAGATTGAGGAGCGGTTCAACATGCAGAATCCGCACCATTCGGCCATGCCGCACGGCTACGGCCCGGGCTCGGATCCTCGCATGATCCAGGCCATCACGCAGACGATGATCGGCGAGTTCCTCTGGAAGTACACGCGCAAGACGGTGTCGGGCGAGATCTCCAACACCCGCCATCGCCGGTATTTCTGGATCCACCCCTACACGCGCACGCTGTACTGGAGCACGCAGGACCCGCAGAGCGCCGGAAAGCACGAGATCCGGACGAAGAGTGTGCCCATCGAGGCGGTGCGCGTGGTTGCCGACGACAACCCCTACCCGCCGGGTCTGCATTGCAAGAGTCTGGAAGTCGTCAGCCCGGGTCGCCGCATCCGCTTCACGGCGACGACGAGCCAGCGCCACGAGACGTGGTACAACTCGCTGTCGTATCTGCTGGTCCGTGGCTCCGAGGACGACGAGGAGGACCCAGAGAACATCACGCTGGAGGACATCGACGAGTTCAACCCGGGGTTCCGGTCCCGGTCTCGGGGCCCCGCTCGCCTCTCGGTCTCGTCGTCGCAGAGTCGACCCCTGCGCAACAGTGGCGCCTTCCCGCAGCAGCGTGCGGGCTCCGCCATGTCGCTGCGCCGCGCGGCGACCCCGGGCCGGGCGTCGCCGGCGCCCAGCACGCTGTCGAACTATTCGGAGCAGGGCCGGCGGTCGGCGTCACGGCTGAGCTCGATCCTCAACACGACGATCAAGGGATCGTTCGGGCGCAAGGGCCGGAGCTATGCCGGGTCCAGCGTGAACGGGGGCAGCGTGCGCGGGCTCGACAGCCAGGACGACCTGCGCCAGATGGTGGAGCGGCAGGAGCGCGAGGACGGGCTCGAGAACGTGCGGGCGTGCTGCGACGGCAAGCACGACGTGGGGTCACTGTCGCGGACGAGCCGATACAGTCCGCGGGCGAACCGGATCCACTCGCATCATTGAGCGCATCGTTAACGAGTCTTTTTTTTGATTGCATTGTCTCACACCGCCCTCTCTCCGATTTGCATGCATTGACCCCGGCCTGACTGGGTTCCTGCCACTCCCCTCTCCTGCCCTGTTTCACATATTGATTTATTAGTATTATTATTTCGCCATTCTTTATCTGTTTCAGCAGAGTGCCACATTAGCATCATTTGTTGATTTCTCTTTTGTCATTACCTTTGTCATTACCATATTTGTCCACCGGATCGACGGTGTTGACTTTGGCCGCTCGTTCTCTACCTTGATTGGCATGCCAATTCTATTATTGTGACTACCATAGTGTGTGAATGTACATGCACCGACTTTTTGTATTTTTCTTCATTTTCTTGATATTGACAATCTGGGCTTGCGGAGTTGGGTTCAGTCTATATGATGAGATTGAACCGAGGTTGAGAGGTTGGGCCATTGGTGGCTGGATGTCTTGATAGCTGATATGGATTGATTGATACTTGACTGGTGTACTGATTCCCGAGAGTACATTGTAGCTGTAGATGTTTTATACCTCGTGAGTCTGATTTACCATAGCGGAGGATAAACACGATATTGATCAGAAGGGTTAGCGTGGCTTAGTCATGCTGGTTATGTCTCCGATATGTTTCCGTCAATAATCTTTCGTTTCTGGTCATCTACTTCATACCTCATACTTCATACCTAGATCCAGATACAGATCCAGATACAGTTATCTGGATCTATAGATATGGCTGCAAAAGAGCCCTCCACCGTCCAATGGACCTGGTCTCTCCTGGAACCGGGCCTACTCTTGCTGTATGGCATGTCCTGTATGTACCACTTACTCCTTCTTATACTCCCTGTAAGACCCAGCTAAGACAAACAGACTATGCCCGGGTTAATCTGGAAGCCGTCTTCAAGAAGGGACAGCTGCTTGCTCCCATTCTGCAGACTGGGAGACTGCGCGATGAGGCGTTTGGCCGGTTTTGGATTGCTTTTAGTTGTATGTCTTCCTCACCCCTCCATACCTCCCATCCGTACATACACATCTCGACCATGATACCCTACCCCCCCCAAGAAGACGAAGAAATAAAAGAAAGATACTAACAACCAAAGCATCCCGCCCTGATCCCCAATCCCAATCCCAATCTCAGCCCCAACACACCCCTCCCCCCTCTCCCCACCCCCCCAAATCACCTGCTCCTCAGACCTCATCCCCTCCATCCTCGCCCACGCATCCGGCCTCGTACTGGACGTCGGCCCGGGCACAGGAACTCAACTTCCCCTTCTCCGCTCACCCGCTATCGAAACCATCTATGGCGCGGAGCCTTGTCAAGGTTTGCATGATGAGCTGCGCGAGAGGGCGCGAGCTGAGGGTCTAGCTGAGAAGTATCGCGTGCTGGGATGTAGTGTTGCTGCTAAGGAGCTTGTTCCTGCTCTTGCTAAGGAAGGTCTTCCTGCGAAAGATGGGGAAGGAAATGGGAAAGAGAGAGGAGTCTTCGACTCCATCATCTGCGTGCGCGTCCTCTGCTCCGTCCCGGATCTGAACCGCACCGTCAAAGACCTGTACTCGCTTCTCAAACCGGGTGGGAAGTTGCTTGTCGTCGAGCATGTCGTTAATCCCTGGAGGAGTAGTAAGGGGTCTCTTGTGGCGAGGATCGCTCAGGCGGTGTATGGGTTGCTTGGGTGGAGCTGGTTCATTGGGAGTTGTTGTTTGGATCGCGATACGGAGACGGCGTTGAGGGAGGCTGCTGAGGTGGATGGCGGGTGGGAGGTTGGTGATTTGGATCGGCATTTTGGGAGCGGGCCGTTGCCTTATGTTTCGGGGGTGTTGGTTAAGAGGTCTTAACTTGTCTTACTTGGTTGAGGGGTCTTGATTTGGATATGAAGTCTTGAATTATGATTTTTTTTTTTTTTTTTTTTTTGTTGTTGGTGTTGATGGATTGATAGAGTGGGGTAGGGTATATAGTCTTGGGACCAACTATACTACGGTTGTAGAGATACAGTCTAACTGCTGGAATTTACTTCATGAACTGTTCAGTATAAACATATGGGTATCATTGTTCGTAAAACATTAAACATATAGGTCTGTAAGTAGGGCCTAAACAGGCTTCTCCCTCCCCGGCGGCCAAAAATCAAACAAATCCATCGCTTCAGCCGTCCACGGTCCTTGTTCCCCCGGTGTATCCTCCTGCAGAGGGCCACCGAAGGGATTATTCCTCATTGTTAGAGCGGTGGGACCGTTCCTCCTTGTTAAAGCGGTGGGATCGGACAATGCTTTGCGGAGTGCAGTTGATCGCGTTGTGGGATTCATTCGTGCGGCTGGGCGACTGGCCGAGTTGTTGACCATCTCGTCTAGGATGGATAGGGTTGATGAGGATGGTGCAAATTCGGGATTGGTTGAGGGAGGGATCTTGGAGTGAGCCGCCCTAGAGGTCGGTCAGCTTTGTCTTGTGAACGCTAGAGACGTACTGACTGCGAATCGGGGGCGGTTTTGGATATGGTTGATGGGGTTGTAGGGGCGGGCTGCCTGGGCAATAGAGCTTGGTAGAGTAACTTCTTGCGAGGTCGGTCTGTTGATATTCGGAGGGTGTTGAGTGGTGCTTCGGGGGGTCTGGATTCGGCATTCGGGGGCGCGGATGGAGGCGAGGGAGGTGGGGCTACCCTCGGTGTGGTTGTGCTATTCTTTCTCTTGGGTTCGGTACTTGTGTTGGTTGTCGGTGGTCTGGGAATGGCTCGGGGAGAAGAGTCTGACACCCGGGTAGAGGCGCTCGCTTTTGACGTTTGCACTGGCTCTGGTGATTTCTCCGACGGCTCGCATAAATCGATCACGACCGGTGCAGGCCGCGCCTGATCGCGCGGTCCTTTGGACGGAGTCGCCTTTAAGCGTTTCGCAGGTCTGTCCGGCGTAGGTCTGTCCGGCGGCGACTGATCCCTGACGGTCTCTTTGGGCGGATGACGCTGCTCGTATGGCGACATGAGTCGGGCAACCGGGGTCTTCCTAATCCCAAGCAGATCGTTCAGCGACCGCGGCTGTTGCGACGAGAGGGACGACCGGACGGGCGTCCCCGTCCCCGGCCGCATAGAGGGCACGGGAGAATCCCCCGGACGCGGACGAGGACTCTGCTGGGTCTTCTTATTGCTGTACAACCCCGACAGATCGGTCTCGGTGCGTTCCATCGACTCGCAGACCTGGACCAAGACGCCTCGATCGAGTTCCAACTCATCCCCATCCTGGATTCCCTCCTCGTGTCGCCCATGCTGATCGCCGACAAAATTGCCTGCCGTGTCGTAGACCATGATCCGTTTGTTGAAGGTGTGGTACCGAAGGAAGCCGTCTTGCCATCGTTTGGCTTTGCGTCGCAGATCGTGGGTGTAAAGGCATCGGTGTTTGACTACCGGGGCGGTGTTTTGGGTGAGGGGGACGCCTGTTGCGCTGCGGGGAGGGGTCGACATGATGCAGGAGGCCACCGCCAGAGGAACAGGGAGGTCACATTTGGAGGATACGGGGAGTGAGGTGGGGGAGAAGAGAGAGGAGCAAGAAAGAGAACGAGAGAAAGTGAAGAAAAAGAAGATTTGGAGATGGAGATAAGTGCCTGAGGCAGTATATCACTGGACTTCCTAAACGGGCCTAGCGTCTCCTGTATACTTTTTCTCTTCTTCTTTCTCACATTCACTCTATCAACCTTTACTCCAGTGCATTTCAGGGTACTTCATCTACTTCTACTTCAGTCTACTTCAACTCATCATATCATCCAATTCAAGATATCAGAGGTATCCTCCATTGGTAATCCTCGGGTATCATCCACCTGGTTGAAAGCCTTACAGGTCCTTTCGCCCCGTACACCCTCTACCAACGTACCAAGTGGAGACAGTCCTGTCATCAACAAACCCCCTGTTCGTTCGTCTCGTACCATGGTACTATCATTTGAATGGATCGATGTTGCCTGAATCTTTCCAACGTCCAACTCCATGGCCAGGGATCCACTACAATTGACCCGGTGGAGTCGCGTTCATGGCGTTCAAACTTTGCCCCTCCAAGGTTGAATGATCGACACGTCTCCTGCCCTCCGTGACGATCGCGATTCGGGTTCACAACAAAAATAGGGAAGCCAAGGATTGGATCAGTGGGGGCAGTTCGGTTATTGGTGGCGTTGGTTGAGAAACTGGGGTCTGAAACATCTGACCCTCTGGACGGACTCGTTCATTCTGGCTGCGTCATCCTCTGGTGCGGCTCTCGCGTTCTGTCCTTTCGCTCTCTCTCTCTCTCTCTCCCCTTGCCTTCTTCGTCGCGTCCCGCTCTTCCTTCTTTCGCTCTCTATCCCTGGGAAGCGACACCAACCGCCTGTCAACGGTTTACCCCCCCCGTGACTGCATGATTCCCGACCGGGCCCCTTTCCCCCCCGTCTTATCCATCCCCGCATTTCTCCTTTTCCCACCCATTGGTTGTCTCGTTTCGACGACGCCCCAACATCACCCGCCATGCAGAGCGTACACCGTCAGATCGGGCGCATGAAGAAGCGGACGGCCGATGACACTAAGATCTCGGACCTCTTCAACGATTTCAACGAGGCCGACCTACTGTTAGCTCATGTCAGTGCACTGGACATCCCGGCTGCCTATTCCAGGAACCCCACTTGTGAAGTCCGTGGCTGACAACTCCCATCCCATAGATCATTGAAGCCATCAGTTCCTGGCGCGATGCCTGGTCCGCCATCCTGGCCACGCAGGCCAAGGTCACCGGCGAATACGAAGGACTGTATGCCCCCATCGTGGGCGACGCGGAGACGTCTTCGTCGGACATGGCAGCCATCACCCCCGAGGTGACCATGATGCGCACCCAGCGACTCTGGCAGGAGTACGAGGAGTTGCGCGGTGACATGTCCCAAGACCTCAACGCGGTTGACGATCGCATGATCCGGCCCGCCTTACAGGCCCGGGACTGTTTGCGCAGCCTGCGCAAGACCATGAAAAGGCGCGAGGATCGCAAGGTACCTCACCCTCTCCCCGCACGGTGATGTGGGACACGCTAACTGGAGACAGCTGGACTACGAACGACACCAAAACAAATTCGACAGCTGCAATCGGAAGACCAAGGGAACCGAAAAGGAGACGATCGCGCTGGCCAAAGCCGAGAGCGATCTGGCCATAGCGACCGAGGTATGCCCTCCCTGCCCCCTTCCCCCCGTCATCGACCCCACGACTCACATGCGCAGGAATACCAAGCGGCCGATGACCACCTGCGCGAGCGGCTCCCCCCGCTGATCAATGCAGCCCTGGCCATGATCCCGACCCTGCTGCACGTCCAGATCGATCTGCAGAACCACCTGCTGGCCAATTACTACACGGTCACCCGCAACTACTGCGAGCAGAACCGCTTCCCCTTCCCCTCCCCGCCCATGGAGCAGGTCGTCGAGGACTGGGAGCAGGAGCACATGCCCGCCCGGCAGGACATGGAAAGACTTTACTGTCTCGCCAACGGTAAGGCCGTGCGCACCTTCCACCTCCCCGACGACCCGCCCGGCGGCGCCGGCGGCGGCATCCGCGACCGCCTCAGCAACGGCCTCAGCAGCGTGCGCCAACGCGCCAGCGGCCAAAACGCCAACGAGCCCGCCCAACAACCCCCGCAACCACTTTCGCGCCCCGTCTCCCCCGGAGGTCCTCCACCCCCCAAGCCCCCGCGTCCCACCTCGCCCGGCCGCAGCTTCTCCTCCGCACCAGTCAAACCCCCCCGCCCCGTCTCCCCGGGCCGACCACCAGCGCCCGTGCTCTCCTCGAAACCGGCCCCCCCATTGGACAGTAAACCCCGCTGGGCCGACACGCCCTCGACCTCCAGCCTCGCCGTCCCCCAAAACAGCTACCACAGCAACAACAGCCACCTCTCCCCGCACAGCGCCGCCTCCTCCCCAACCGAATCCTACGTCTCCGCCCCAGAATACAGCGGCCGCCCCTCCTCAGCAGGCCGCCCCCCGTCAGCAGGCCGCCCCCCGTCAGCAGGTCGTCCTCCCTCAGCAGGCCGCTCCCCCTCAGCAGGCGTCTCCTCCGTCGCCTCCTCTGTCGCCGCCCGCGCAGACTACTTCAACAGCCGCCGTGGCTCCCAAACCCCCATCTCCCCCGCCACCTCCACAACAACCCCCAGCATCGCCTCGCCCAACCTCAGCGCCATCGCAGCCGGCAAGAAGAAGCCGCCCCCGCCGCCTAAACCCCGCCACATGAATGCCCCCAGTCCCGTTACCGTCACGGCTGTGTTTGACTTTGCGGGCCAGAGCGCTGGCGACCTTGCCTTCCGGGAGGGAGACCTCATTCGTGTGCTGAAGAAGACGGAGAGTACGGACGATTGGTGGGAGGGCGAGTTGAATGGTGTGAAGGGAAGTTTTCCCGCGAATTATGTGCAGTAATTGGGTTCCCTCTCTTTCTTGCTTCCGGTTGCTAGCGGTTGGGGGAGATCTTGAGGGGAGAAAATAGAGAAAATGGATATAAAAATCCAGACAGAGAGAAGGAAGAAAAGAAGATTAGAGACGAGGGTTAATTAATAGCATCAATAGCTGGTTGGTGGGCGTGGATGGACTGCTCACAACCTGCCTACAACGCCACACAATACATAATTATACTTCATCGCGTTTGGTCGGTGTGATACATGTGTTCATTTCTGCCTCGGGTTCTTGCATCTGTGAAAATACATAGAATACAAATTGCTAACCACACCGAATAGGTTGGTCGGCTTCGCCCTCTTCCTACAGCCGTAATACATATATAATAACTTCCTGGGAGAATAAAACAATCTACGCCACTTCCTGTCCAGCAATGCTTATACAAACGCATCCTCTGGCCCTCGCTCCGACAGCCCCGTGCCCGTCTGCCGCCGCCGGCTGTTTAGGAACATCTCGACCATGCGCTTGCTCGACATGGTCGAGGTCACGTCTTTGGATGGACTGACGCCGTGCAGGTGGCTGGGCTTTGCATCCAGCCGCAGGTTCTCGTTGGTCGTTCGGCGGTTGTGGTCTCGAGGCACCCGCGTCGACCGGAGCTGCTGCGCCCGATCGTCTGGGATGATGGGCTGACGACGTGACGGATACCGGCTTGTATGAGCGCTGTCAAACCAGCGCGGCGACAGTTCGGCGGGCTCTCTCCTAGGAGTCGGCGAGTCGGGCATGGCCATCCGATGAGCCGATGAAGACGCCGTGGGGGAGAGCGGGAGTTTCGAGTCCCGGTTTCGGGTCCGGTTGATGTACAGAGAATACCCATTGGAATTCCCCCGGATCGGTGCTTTGGCTGGCAAATTCATCCTCGCGGGGACACCGTGACTGCTAGTAGGCTCTTTCCGGCCTTTGACTGTCGTACGGACGCTGGAGGACCGGCTGAAAGGCCGAGAGAAGTTACTGCCTGATCGTCCTACGGAGCCGGACAAGTCGGTGTCGTCTTGGGGCCTGGTTTCGGGGAGGCTGGCTGCGACGGTGGGCGCGCAGTGGGATGGCTCATCGTGAATCTGCGCATCCTCTCGATAGTGTTCTCTGGCAGGATTTTCAATTTCGATACTGGCAATCTGAGACTGCATCCACTGCTGCCAGTCCAAGCTAGGCTGAATGGACGCAGCCGTAGCCGCGCCAGTACCCCCGAGATTGGATGATCGTCCGGGGGAACAGTACGTGGACCGCTGGCTTGCGAAGATAGTGGCCACCCCGGGCTCGTCAGCATCCGACCCCGAGGACGATGCATTGTCGGCTTTGGGCTTCGGCGTCGGTCGACCACTGGCCGTGCGAGAGTACACGCTGGGAGAACGGGACCAATCTTTCGGGTTGGGCGACCTCGTCGCATGCGGGCTGTCGGGTCGTGCATCCTGCAGCCCTAGCACGCATGGTAGCGGCCGAGACTGCGCACGAGGCGGCATCCCCGGGGTCATCATGCTGCACTTGGCCGTCCTAAACGACCCCGGCGATGCCAGGGTTTCCTCACTGGGGATATGGCGAATGGTTCGTCGACTGGCCCAGGAGCGCAGATGGGTTGTTGACTGGTGTGGAACTGCGCGATGTTGTTTCACCTGTCCCAACGCGACCTCTTCTCCCGGGCTTTGCGGGCTGGATTTGCCGATTCGCTTCATCAAGGCCGCGAATAGGCTCTGGCTGTCGATTCCATTGGGAGACTTGGACGGACTGAACTCGGACGGACTGAACTCGGGCATTCTAGGGAGCCCGCTTGCTTCGTCGATGACTGACATATGGCCGTGGTGGCCGGTTTGACGAGTTGTGATGGTATTTGCCACTGTGGAATCCGCCCAACTCGTCACACGAGAGCGCGAGCTGGCTACACTCGCGGAGCTTGGCTTGGCCCGCACAGGGGACCGGGAATGGGGGCTACGAACGCTGACGGTCTCTGGATAGTCGCCCATCCCGGAGGCAGGCGAAGATAGCTCCTGGGCCCAGCGTCGGGGCAGTGGCGGGGATACGGGGACATTCTCTTTATCGCAACCATCCGCCCGTAGCCCCAGGACTCGTTTGATCCCCTTCTTGATGGAGCTTGAGATGGCCCGAGTCCGTTTGTGCGAAGGGACGCTAGTGGATAGGCCCGATGTGGGGGGAGTGGTGGCCTCGATCCTCGAGGTACTGATCGCACGGAAAGTCTTCCGGAAGGATCTGTGGCCTCGCTTGGACGCGACGAGAGAGAAAGAAGAATGCCTGGTTCGAGTATCTTGGCTCGTAAGGCTCTGCTGGAACTGGGCGCGGGCTAGTTGGATCGCCGTATCATGACTCTTTGCATGCCGTAGTGAGTTTTGATTGTTCGACTGATAGCCTCCCCTCAGGAATGACATCGAGCGCTGAAGAGAGCCCTGCGAGTGGGGCGTACAGGCCGACTGCAGACGGTCGGCGGTGGTCTGCGGATGCGACTCGGAAGACTGTGCATAAGCCGGACGCGAGGAGCGCTGTCTGGTCGAAAACATGGAGCGAGACTTGCGCAGACGCCGGTATGAAGACGGCAGCGAAGAGTTTCGACCATCCAGGCCATAGAACTCGCTGATGGACGGGAGAGCCGCTGTCGGATAGGCGTCTCGTGGACGAGGGGGCGGAGCGCGCGTGGGAGGCGGAGGAGGGCTCGGAGACTGCTTCTCCTTGTATAGATCATCAGCGATTGAATGTCGCTTCTGCGGATATTTGCTTTCGGAGTCCCTCCATCGATCCTGGGAGGCGTGCGATTCGGTCGAGGATCGTTCTAGGGAGCGTCGCATGGCCAAGGAGGCTGCTGCCAGGGCATGTTGCCTGCCGACATCCGCGTCAAACGACTCGCCGGACGAACTCTGGCGACTTTTCCTGATCGATCGAGTTGACTTGGAACGTCGCAGGCGCTCCCTGGCGCTGAGTGAGGTGCCAGCATACATGGTGGATGGTTATGGTAGATAGTTCTGCAGGGTGAAGATGCAGGATGAATGATGTTGCATGGGGGAAGACTCCCAGGGAATAATTTGGGAAAAAGGAAAGCATCCTGCATGATCACTTCTAGAAGGAGCGATGCTCTTCTGAGTGCTTTGTCGCGAGTGTTGGAAGGAGGCAGGAAGGTGGAAGGTGGTTCCCCAGTGTTTGTAAAGTCTGGAAGAAACAATTAGCCCTAACTGCATCAACTTGGTTTGCTGTCAATCAAAAGAATGCGACAGTAGCAAACCAATTCTTACCCAAAGAATAGAATATATCCTGATACAAGCGTGCAGTTCTTTCATACCCAGTGAGGCTGAGACAGAGGCTGCGATGAGTCACCGTATCGGGCAGTGTCATGGTGACAAACAAGAGAAGTCATGAATAGCCTCACAAACGTCACCACCAAGGTTTCCACGGGATTCCGGGTTGTAAACTGTAAATCCCCGCTCATTCCGGAGACTATTTATATGTTGCCTTCGCCCGGTCCGTCCTGTATCCATCGCTCTACCATCCATCTCCCTGCCATCCATCTCTGCTATCGACCATCTTAAACGACCATCTAAAACCAGCATTTGGAAACATCATTTTGAAAGAACCACCATCAATAAACAAGATAAACAGATAAAATGACCAAAGACCTTCCTACTATCACCATCGACGGCCGCACCCACGAAGGAGGTGGCCAGATCCTCCGGCTCGCAGCCGGCCTCTCTGCCATCACCGGCAAAGCGATCACCATCACCAACATTCGGGCCGGCCGAGTGCCCACCGGTCTACGGGGATCTCATGTAGAAGCCATCAAGTGTCTCAAAGAGATGAGTGCGTCTGAAGCGCAGGGTGTGGAATTAGGGTCGGAGTCGGTCGTATTCCACCCTGCTTGTCCAGTATCATCATCATCATCACAGTCCTCCACCACCTCCCGCTCATCGAAAACAACCAAGGGCAAGAAACCGACTAAGGGCAAAAGAAAATTCTTACTTCGCCAGACCTCCGTCAACAGCCCTTCAACGAATCCAGAGGCGCCGGTCGTCATCAGCCGTAAACAAACCGGCACGAGTGGATCCTCCACCGAGCTGGAGAGGCAGATCACCATCACGCAGAAGACGAACGGAGCATCCTTTCTCATCTTCCAGGCAATCTACCCTTACCTTCTCGCCAGGGCACGGCGCCCGATCAGCGTGCGTATCATCGGTGGCACGAACATGAGGTCTGCCCCGAGCCTCGACTACGTCGAGCAGGTCCTGCTGCCGAACTTCGCGAAATTCGGACTCCCGCCTGCCTCGGTATATTTGCATAAAAGGGGGTGGGATACGGGGCCTTATGATCTGGGAGATGTGACTGTCGAGGTGCAGCCACTTCCCCTGGTCATCGACGACAACAACGACAACGATAGCGATAACGACGCTTATGGAAAATCACCCTTGCGCCCGGTCTTCCCTGAAATTGACTTGAATCGATACGGCCGCGGCCGCATCAAGAGCATACAGATCACCGTCCTGGCACCGGATGATCCTGTCCTGAGGAACACCGTAGATGGCCCCGGCTTCGACCCTGATGTCGAAAACACGCCGCCGCGTAGCCATAATCAGGCAGGTAAGCTTCATCCTCGCACCCCGTTCTTCCAAAGCAAAGCGACTAATCCGAATTAGACAAAATCTACACAGCCCGCGAGTACCTCGAATACCAAACCTACTTGCAGATACGCAAGCGCCTCCTACTCCTTCCCAACGACCTCTTCGTCGGCTCATCGGACATCGACGGCGGCGCCAATGGATTTGCGGCGGGCATAGTATCCATGGATACATACAAAACCGAAAGAACGTATCACCCGACGCACATGTATGTGCTCGTGGTCGCGGAGATGGACAACGGGTTCCGCATTGGGGTGGACGGTGCGGGTTCCGGTACCCGACTTGGAAGTACTCGGCGCCTGCATGATACTGCGCATGTGAGAATGGGAATCGCTAAGGAGTTGGCAGAGACGTGTATTCGCCATTTCGTGGACGAAATCTCGATGGCGCGCTTTGATTCGGGCGGACGGAAACCGTGTGTGGATCAGAATATGCGGGATCAGATGGTTGTTTTTGAGGCTCTATCCCCGGCTCCTTCTTCGAGGTCGCTTTCATGCGTCGAAGTAGAGGACCCCCGGTATTGGAGTTCGCATACGAGGACGGCGAAGTGGGTGTGCGAGAAGATCTTGGGGTCGGAGCCCGAATGATATGTATTCCTTTCTTTTGTGAGATGCTATGTATGGTGCAGGGTCAGTCTTGTTTTGGATGTGATGTCAAATATCATTGGCTTTTGGATTTATTTCATCTTTTCATGTCATGTTGCTGGATTAATTCAATCACGTTGACCATTCCTACGGATCCACTGTCAGCTGGAAGCACAATAGACACCAAGTAAAGTACAGTCCTGAGTCAGTCATAAGAGTTCAATGGTAGCAACGAGTACATGGCATTATCACGACAGATTTTATTGTCATCATCCGTCAGTCGAAAAGGGTATAAAGATCGACTGGTATTAGAGCATCTCGCACATCAAACAGACAGCATTATCAAATAAAATAAAAGAAATGATAGTAAACGAATAGAAAGGAAGGATAGCAAGAAAGGGATCAAGGAGGAAAAAGGAAAAGATAACCACTGCCCACCAGCCAGCTGCAGCTTCATGGAAGCGCCTTGGATGGGGTGATTTATCCTGATCATCTCTCCTGCTTGTTCTCCTCCCCCTCTCCTCCAGTATTCAGTCTCCAGACATCATACAAAAAGAAGAGACGGGAATCACTGATGCTAGTCCCGTTGATTCCAGTACCAGTATGCAGCAACGCCCGTGCGAGTAATTATAATACGAGATAAGAACAAATAGAACGAGTGACAAGTCCGTAGACCTGTGAAAAGAAAAAGCCTCCCAATGGATGGTTCAACTCCCGCAATGCATCAATCAAGACCCAGTTTAAAAATCAAGTGAAACTTTCAAGGAACGTAGGTGGACGGGCAACCACGAACCCCGCCTGCAGGACTCATGCAAATCGGTCGATGTCCCGAGGGTCCTGTAACTGGTGCCGACCCTGGTGTCCGTCAACGGTGGTGAGATGGACGAAGTTTTCATCATGTCGTGGATCGTGTCGTGGATCAGTTACGACAGCTCCCGCATGATCTCCTTGTAGGACGAGTCGTCGAGGATCTCCGAGGGGAGAGCCCGGCGGTAATCCCGGGGCTGGGCCAGGGGCGATGCTGAGGGCCGGCGAAGCTTCAGTGTCTATTGGGACTGTGTCAGTTGATGGACAGGAGGGCGACGGGGAAGTGGTGGACTTGGTTCATACCGTGCAATCCGGGCATTTGCCTCCATCAATGTTGGCGCGGCCACGGCAGCCACGGGGATAGTTGGCGCAGGAGTACATGGCGTATGTTGGTGGGAGAATATCGTTGCAACGAGGTAAGATTATATAGAGTATATGCGATGTATGAAAGTCGTGAATTGGGATTTGGAAGTAAAGGAATGGAATGCCGTTGTAAATCCCGTCAAGGGAGCTTTTTCTAGGGCTGAATCTCCTGTCGTTGTCTGTTTTTCAGGAGTCAAGGTCATTTAAAAGAAGGGAAAGAAAAATGGAATCCGAAAGATGACAACGAATAAATAAATGGAAGATTAAAATTTAATCAAATGGAAAGTCAAATGGAATAAAATAAAATAAAATAAATGCAGAATAAAATAAAACAAAAAAATCAAATCTAGGGAGAAAAAAAAGAGCCCCAAACACGGGACAATAATCGATAACAATGACCGAAAAAAATAGGATAAATGAAAATAAAAAAGACGAGAAAGGAATAATCCAACAACGGCCAAGCACAAGCGCCACAGCAATTACGTCAAGGTCGTGAGACTGATGTTTTGGCAGCGACAGGATAATCCTAACAGGGGGCTGCGCCACTGAAGAGACTGACTGAAAGGGGGCTGGCGCGACGATCGAACGTGCTAACCTGCCCAAGGAACAAGAAGAAGGAACCAGTGCAAGGGAATGGTACAAAGAACTAGACACTGGTGGTGACTAGTTATCACTCAGTTCGGACTAGTTTCGTTTCAGAATCCAGATGGGGAAAAGGAGAAACGCCTGGGTCAAGGTTCCAGAAGAAGGGGGAATATTGGCCGGAATTTATATGCACGGAGATCCGAAAGGAAACATTGGTGCTCAGATGTCAGATGGGCCCGGCTGTATAATGGGATTCTCCTCGATCGTGGTTTGCATGATGTGAGAATGCTCTTCTCCTACTTCTTCTTCTTCTTCTTCTTCTTCTTCTTCTTCTTCTTCTTCTTCTTCTTCAATCCGACAGACACGGGCAAGGTGGAAGAGTCCGATGGCAGAGTGGTGATACTCGCTGTTGCCCTCGTTCCATGTGGTCGATCACCGTTCTTCCAAACCGGACGGTACCACAAAGAAACCAAGTAAAAAAAAAAGACCACTGTCGAGTAACCCACCTACAGCACCAACAAATCACCGACGAGACGGTCCAGAAAAGGGTCGCCGTGGCCAGGCAGCGGGGATGTCTCGCCTGACTATTGATCGGGTTGGAAAGCGAGAGTGCCCGTTGGTTGGATCTCCATTGGACGGTGGACTCCGCATTTCCCGACGGATGGTGGAGGATTCCAGGAGAAGAACGATAGGAGAAGAAAGACGGCGGGGGAGAAAAAAAGGGAAAAGTCTGCGTTGTGTTGGCATTGGTGTCCACTTGGGAAATTTAGCAGCCGAAGCGGAGTCCTCACGGTTTCGGTCCCAGACCTCAAAGAGAAAAAAGAAAGGAGAAAATCAAGTCAACTCAAATCAAATCAAATAGAAAACAAAAAATAAATAAATAAATAGTAGACAAACAAGGGTGACAAAGAGAGCGAGACCCAGACCACGTTACATTGAAATTCAATCCCCACCATCACAATGACTCGCAGATGGGAGGGACGACAGGGTGACAAGGGACACCTTCAGCCTCAACTAAAGGACCCCCGAATGTAGGAGCTGACAAATTCATTCAATCCAAAACAGGGACGACGCATCATCAGCTCGCAAACGGCTGGTAGGAGAGGCAGTCATGTACGGAGTGGTGTTAGGCGCATTTGGAGTCGCATTATCTGATATTGAAAGAGCGTTTCGGATAGATGGTCAGATAGGATTGGCTGGGGGATCTCACTCGATCTGAATCACCCATGGTTTTTGGATTTCTGGAAGGTCGTCGAATCTATTCTCTTTTGGTGGTTAGTCCATCGGGCATGGAATCCATGGATCTCTTCCGTCGTGCCGATTGGGCATGACCGGAAAACGGCGGGATTCAAGCCTGGCGGTGTCTTATCTGTTTGTTTTTTTTATTTGATTTCGTTTTGTTTCCACTTCCGACGCTGTGTTTCTTTGTCCGGGCCAGAAAGGGCGATTTCCTTCGTGAGTCAGATGTCAGATCCCAGCCGTCGAGCTGTCAGATTTCGGAACCGGCCTAGACACTTGGCTGGGATGCAGACGCGCCTGTGATCTCCATGCCGATCGTTGGATCGGCCTCTTTCATGGTCATTTTCATCTCTTATTCCCTACCCCCAGCAAGACTGGGTTCTTTTGTAGATGACGATGAAGGTTTCCTCCGTCGGAGTCCAGCGTTCTGGCGAGAGGATCCGCATCGACGCGTTTAGTGCGCACGGTGGAGCGTTCCAACAGAGAAATTCACTATAAATACAAACCCTATTCCTTCTTACCCACCTCCGCTACAGCCTTGTCAGCGCTATAGTGCTTTCTGACTTCTGGAACGTCGGCCCCAAGCGCCAGCGCGGAGCACCTCCAGCTCACGTTCCGCTTGTCCCCCGCCGACCGACACGGGAGGGGCCACCGTCGTCATGGTGCATTTGGATAACCTCTGCGCCCGGGCTCATGACTGGCTGGTGCGAACGAACAATGGACGCGGTCACTTGACCGGCCCAAGCAGTCATGTGCTCCGGTACCCTTTCGGCGTCTGTCCTTGGCATGGTTACAGTTCTCCGAAGTGGTAGTTGTTGAAGTAGCATAAGACTTGTGATAAGGATCATTATGGGGAGAGGCTGCTCGATGCCGCTCTTTCCGCCCTCCAGCCTCCCGTTTGGGCTATGTTGGAGGGCGTCGCGTTGTCCGGGCGTCTGTTGGTCTACATCGCCCCCATGTCCAAATGCCGTGACATCGATTGATTGGGAGAGTTATTTAGAACCCTGTCGAGTGTCGGCAGTAGAGTGCTTCATCTCCCGGCCGCCTACCCTCACCAGACGAGGAGTCCTTGGTGTGTCGCATGTGAAGCCTTAGACCACGACCAGAACGACGATGGCGCGATGGGGCCCGTAGAGTATGTTTCACGAACCGACCAGAGCGGGCCCTCTAGTGGTAAGGGCAGCTTTCGCTGTTTTGCTATTCTTTGCGCTTCTTTTATTCGCCCTTTGTATTTAATTTTTCTGTCTTGCCCCTCTTGACATGTCCCGAGATTCGGGGATTATAGGACCTTTGATCATACGGTATTGACCGCCCGGTGATCCAGGTTGAGTGGAAAATTGTTCCCACCCTGTGGTGGTGGTTCTATGAAGGGACCAGAGGAACAATCCATAAGCAGAAAGGAAGAGAAAAGCCAGATCGACTAGATTGAAGGGCCCCGCAACCGCCCGGGCTTAGCAAGGCGCAGTGGAAACCCGTCGTGATTGTTGGCCCTGGGCTGAGCATTTGGGATAGGCGACCAGGAATATTGTAAGCAAGGTCATACAAACCGCAGCTGCATCGCCGCCGTCTATTGACCGAATCAACGGATCCTCGCGCCCAACGCCAGACGAGGCGTGTTGACTGCTAAAAATTCACAAGTAAAGGACAAAGGACGTAAGCATAGTAGGCGATGAAGCGGCCTCACGTCTTTAGTTTGGTTGTCGGCCTTTTTTCTTTTTTTTTTTTTCTTTTTGCTCCCTTCTTCCTTTTACAGCAACCACCTGACGGTTCTATTTTTGCCCTTTAGATGGAATATGACTGTGTTGTTGGGTCCCGAGAGCCGGACGCTCATAATACTACCCACCACAGCCTCCTTGACGGCTTTCCTTAGACTAGATGTCGCTCAACCCACATGAGACGGTGGGAAACACGAGTACGAAGTATTGGGTTATCAAACCGCCATCCCAAGGGTGTTGCAGTCACAGTCCACGGCTCTCGCTGAGTCGCCGATCAGACGGGATCGCTATGGGACGGCCGTTTCCATCCGAGATCGGATCCTCTGCAATGCCTCGTCAAGCGTTCCACAGCGATCGAAGCACGAACCATGCGCCCAGTAGCCCGACGGCTGAAGCCATCAGCAACACATTCCCCTCCCATGTCAATCCTAAATACGCCAAGCATCCCACCACGATCTCCCTCTGGCGCGCCGTGTCCCGTTTACGCTGCCAGTCCGGGTCAATTGGGAACGGGGCGGACACATGTGTCGCATCGACCGGTCGGCTCGCCACGATTGGCACGGCTACCGACAGCGCGACAGCGCGATGATCAGAGGTTGGAAACAGCGGTAAAGAATCGTACTGCAGCGGTTTCACTCGTGCATCCTCACCCATGCCCGGCGGAGTGTCCAGATAGAGCACACGGTCGCACCAGCTGGGCCAACGGGTGCTTGTCCACGACCACTCCGAGGGCCTTCGCCCTGTGCTGCAGCCTTCTGCGCCGCCAAGGTATACTTGTAGGTTGGTGGGAAGCCAATGGGTGCTTCCGTCATGCCATGAAAACTCCGCGACTGTCGCATCTCGCGGGTGAGTTGGTCGTCCTTCAGGAGCTGCGAGTAATGACGGGGGTCGGCGGGATCCGCATTCAGGCGTGGGAAGCGGGCAAGGTCTTCTTGTCCGGGTGACACGTTCGATGTGCGGTAATTCAGATCACCGGCAATGAAAAGATAGCTATTGGAGAAGAAGATACCTCGGCGGTCGTCACCGCCATTCGACGTCGACCCGTGTAGCAAACCCGAGGTTTCTTGGTCATCTGGCTCGAGACTCCCTCGAGCGGTGGCAACGGGCCTTTCAAAGACCAGTCGCTCGACTACGCTGCGCCAGTCATCGTTTCGCTGCTCAACGGCAGATTCCATAGGAGCCAGGTGGGCGGCCACGAAGGTCAAATCTATACTCCCATCGGGGGTCCCTTCGGTAGCATAAGCCAGCCGCGCCCCCACTGCACCCTTGTTGCCCATCTCCTGAAACCCAAAGCCGATGCGGGCGGTATCAACCGATGATACCCGTTCTGCAACGTCCGACCTGGCAAAGACCATCAGGCCCGTCATGCCACTGTTATCAGTAACTAAATTGACATAATCGATGTCCCACCGCTGGGCGACCGCCTGATTGACCACATCCTTCAAGGAAGAAAAGTAGGGGTTGAGATACGATCCTCCCAGAAAGGCATACGCAATAGGAGCGAGCTCCTGAACGGATAAGACGATCAGATCGGGCGGGGACGGATCATTGAGGGGTCGAGCGTCAAAGAAATGGTTCGCAAAGCGATTGACATCGACTAGATTGCGAGCACAATTGAAGGTGAGAATATAGAGTGAAAGTGGATTCATGATGAATTATTCAACCAGATCGATCTATGAGATGTAGAACCTTGCATGAAGGATGCAGCAAGTGCATAGATGGATTGACGAAGATGAAGATGAAGATGAACAAGTAAAGTAGCGAAGATGACGATGACGATGCGGTGAGACCATGTGACCCGCTCTTATCGATAAGGGGCCCTGCTGCCTGAGGTGTTCATCTCGGTCTACTCTACTGTTGACGACATCTACAACTTCCCTCGTAGTTCCTCCTCCAACTCGACCAGCAGCATACCTTCAGCGACATCTTCCTCTTCGTCCTCCATTTCATATACCCATTGAGCTCGTCCGGCCCGTGGACTGCGGACCTCCACCTCCATCTTCATCTGTTTGATGAATGCCACCACTTGGTTCTCTGCAATCACGTCTCCGGGTCCCACCATCACCTCAGTTAACTTCCCCGAAAGTGGGAGTACGATATGTCGTGGATTTAGGGTGTCTCCACGGCGGTGGGAGGAAGACACCAATGCCGATGCGGCAGTTTGCGTGGTGGCTAGTTGAATGCGGTAGGCCGTAGAAGATGACGGGGTCGTATATTCGATCTCTGCCGACAGGGAGGAGGGGAAGTCGTTTTGCAAGACTCGTGTGAGTTGGATATGATGCTGCTGTGATGCTGGAGGTGAGCTGGTCAAAGGCTCCAGCTTGACCGACCACGCATCACCACGACGGAAGAGAAGGTTGGATGCAGGCACACTGGGGACAGTAGAGGGACGCGTTGAGGGGCCAGACGTCTTGTCGCGGATGGACTGGGAGATAGTCTCGCCGTGATGGATGGCGCCATCAAGGTTTCTTTCCAGCCATTGTGTGTCAAGACGTCCCATCATAAAGTCTTCATGAGCAGCGACCCCTCGCAGCAGATCGAGGTTGGTTTGCACGCCAGACACCATCGTATCCGCTAGCACTCGGCGGGCTTTTAAGACGGCTGCCTCCCAGCTGGATGCGGTGACTATGATTTTTGCCAGGAGATTGTCAAATTGGGTGCCAATCACCACGGGGCTGGCCCCCGTCATGTCTACGTGGGTGTCAACGCGGACCCCGTGGCCGCTCGGCACGCTAAAGTCGGTGATTTTCCCCATACTGAGGGAGAAACCCTTGCGCGGATCCTCCGCACATAGCCTCAGCTGGATAGAATGCACGTTGGCCGGAGTTTGTGCACTTGTACCAAGGCCAATCTGGGCGAGGGAACGACCTTGGGACAGCTGCAGTTGTGTCTGGACGAGGTCTATTCCCGTGATCGCTTCTGTGATGGTGTGCTCCACCTGGAGACGGGGATTGATCTCTAGAAAGTAGAATTCCCCCAACTGTTCGTTGACTAGGAACTCGACCGTTCCGAGGTATCGATATCGCGTGGCGCGGGCCATGCGCAGTGCAGCGTCAACCACCCTCTGCACCAGGTTCCGGTCACGCACGAGCGACGGGGCGATCTCAACCACTTTCTGGAACCGTCGCTGGATGCTACAGTCCCGTTCCCATAAGTGGCACACGTCTTCCCCATCGCCGACCACCTGTACCTCCAAGTGGTGAAACCCGTCCACCGCCGCCTTTTCGAGGAACACTGTCTGCGAGGGCGACTCGTTTGTGGCTCCGCGGATGGCCCCCTCCAATTCATCGTCCCGCCGGACCAGTCGAATACCGCGGCCCCCGCCACCATCAACGGCCTTGATCATGACGGGGTAGCCAAATTGGTCCACAAAGCCTCGGATTTCAGCTACGTCGCTCGTTGGGCGAGGCATGGCCGGGAGAACTGGGACATCGCACTGCATGGCCAGTTGTTTAGCCTGGAGCTTGTCGCCTGTGCGGGCCAACGTCTTCGCCCCAGGACCGATAACGGCGACGCCAGCATCTTGCATGCGACGCGCAAAGTCGGCACTTTCACTCAAGAAACCGTATCCGGGATGGACGGTGTTGATCCCGTGCTTTTGAGCTAATTGAACCAGCAGTTCAACATCTAAATATGCCGCGGGAGAGAGAACTCGCAGGGCATGTTGAGGCCGACCAAGATCACAGTGCGACCGATCTTCGTCGGTATAGATGGCAAATGTTTCGATGGGAGGCCAGACCTCGCGAGCGGCTTGGATGATTCGAACGGCGATCTCGCCTCTATTGTTCACGGTCAGCGCGGGGTTCAAGAGCGAATTAGCAAAATCCTACGTACCTATTGGCGACCAGTAGTCGCTGTGTCGGTTGCGCTGACATCTTCCGGTATTGGTATGCTCAAATACAGGCTGGTATTCTACATTGTTTATCGGATTATTCTGGTCTGGAGAAGCTGTGCTTGCAACATCCTGTTGGACCACTCTCGGACCTCGGCTCCAGTTTTCTACCCCACACGGGTTTCGTCCCCCCATCTAATCAAGACCACTCGACTACAACAACATCCAGATGCGCTATGCTTAATCTTGTGTTGGGAGGGTCAAGTACAGCGCAGAGCTACAATGCCCGACAACAAAGCCACCAAAAGACTGAAACAGGTCTCTTCACATCTGGCCCCCAAGCTCCCCGCCGATTACAGTGATGTCCGCGACCAGATAAACACTCTCCGCGAGATCGCCGCCACTCCAGACCCCAGTCGGCGCGGGTATGTGCGACAAAAGCAGGCGGGGAAGTTGTGGGTGCGCGAGCGGCTGGAGCAGCTCCTCGACCGCGACACATTCACCGAGATTGGGTCGGTGTCCGGGACGGTGAAGTGGGAGAAGACGGGTCCCATGCGCGAAAAGCCCGTGTCCTTCGTTCCCAGTAACAATGTTCAAGGCATGGGGCGCTTGCGGGGTCGTAAGGTGCTGCTGACGGCGGACGATTTCTCGCTACGGAGTGGGCATGCCGATGGCTCGACGGCGGGCAAAACCATCTACGTGGAGAAGCTGGCCCTCGCACTCAAGCTGCCAGTGGTCAAGCTGGTAGACGGCAGCTCGGGTGGAGGCAGTGTGACGACGATCGCCAAAGCGGGATGGAGCTATTTGCCGTATGTGCCGATGTATAAGCAGGTCGTGGAGCAGCTGAACCAGGGAATACCCAATCTCGGCGCGGTCGTGGGCCCTGCCGTAGGACTCTCCTCCCCTAAACCAAATCCTGTGCCCAGCTAACGAGAGGCAGATCGGCCTGGGGGCAGCTCGCGTCGTCTCGTGTCACTTTTCTGTCATGGCGGCAGATATCGGAGCGCTCTTCAACGCAGGCCCTGAGGTGGTCAAGGGGGCGACGTTCGAGGAGGGACTGGACTTTCAGGACTTGGGTGGACCGATGATTCACTGCACAAACGGGACGATTGACAACATGGCCGCCAACGAAGCCGAGTGCTACGAGCAGCTGCGCACGGTGCTGGGCTACCTGCCGAACCACGGCAAGGAGGCCCCGCCAATTATTGCGTGCGAAGATCCCCCAGACCGCGAGGACGAATCCTTGCGCAAGATCATCCCCCGCCGACAAACGCGAATGTACAACCCCTGGACAATCATCAAGAGCGTGGTGGACCACGACTCGTGGTTCGAAATCGGAGCACTCTGGGGCCGCACCGCCATCGGGGGCCTGGCGCGCCTGGGCGGCCGTCCAGTGGGTATCATCTCCTTAAACTGCGAGGTCAACGGCGGAGCGCTGGACGCGGCGGGGAGTCAAAAGCTGGCGCGGTTGCTGAAACTCTGCGATGTGATGAACCTGCCAGTGCTGCAATTTATCGACGTCCGTACGTATCCTGTTCCAACCCCCCGAGTATGAAGATATCTGCTAAGCGATTTTTCTAGCCGGCTATGCCATTGGCACCGTCGCTGAGCGAACGGCCACCATGCGCTGGGGCGTCGAACTGGCCAAGGCCTACTTCGCGACCACCACGCCGCTTTTCAACGTCATCACGCGCCGAGCGTTCGGCGTCGCCGGAGGCATCATGCTCGGTGCGCGTGATCCTGTCATGCAGGTCGCCTGGCCATCCGGACAGTGGGGGTCCCTGCCGCTGGAAGGCGGGATTGAAGTCGCGCATCGGCACGAGCTGCGCGAGGCCGAGAAGGTCGGCAAGAAGGCGGAGCGCTACCAGGAGCTGGAGGAGGAGTATCGGCGGATGATGAGCCCAGTGCGCACGGCGAACGCCTTTGGCGTGGAGGAGATCATTGACCCCAAGGACACGCGGAGTGTATGTTGCGCGTGGGCGCGTCATATGTACGAAGCGCTGATGCCGGAGCGGCTGGCGGATCGCGCGACTGGGAAAATCCACCCAGTGTTTACTTGACTTGACGCCTGTACCATATCATCAGCCTATAGTTCCTCCGGAGTAATAGTAGACACATACTAGTGGCATAACGGCCCTCATTCCCACCAGTCTCTCCACTCGGACGGTTGCCATTGGTGCCAATAGATGAACCCACGGTCCGTCGGAAATTACGCCCGCTTGGCGAGACCATCACTCTCGCTGTCAAAAGCTGGAGGATCCCTCTGGCCCTGACCCTGTCCATTTTTTTGGTTGAAGATCAGTGGATCTGACTCTTCTCGCCATGTCGTTCAACATTGTCAACGGCCAGATCTACACGCCGGGCTTGGCGATCGTGGATGCGCCCCAGCCGAATACTCCTTTAGGAGGGGGTGAGTATACCTATCCCACTATATAAACATGGATATAGATATGTGTAGATTGGCATAGCACTGATAATGTCTAGACACCCTCCACATCGCCATCGACGTCTCGGGAAACGGAAAACTTTCTCTAGACAAAGACGATGAGAAAGACGAAGACAAAGACACCCACCTCCACAGCCTCACCCTCTTCCTGACCTCCACCGACCTATCCAAGAACTTCACCATTTCCAATGGCACCTCGCCCCACGACCACCACGACCATGCACCCTACGTCGGCCCCGTCCTCGATCTCGAGCCCTCGTCCACAGTCAAGCATGTGGACTGGACATGGCCGGCTTGTCTAGTCGGTGAGGGATCGGGCGGCGCCGCCCGAGGAAAGTACAACATCTCTATGCATCAGTCGTTCCGGTGGCGCGGGGTGGAGCACTACACGGTGTTTGATCTGCCTATCTCTGTGTCTAATGGGATTGAGGAGTCTGATGAGAGGGTGGATTGTGCGTCTATTGAGAATGAGGTGCTGGGCGCGGGGGCTTTGGCTGCTAGTAATGATACGCTGGATGAAGTGCCTTGGGTGGGTGAGGTGGGTGCTTCTGGGGAGGAGGCTGATGCTGATGCTGCGGTGAGGTCTGTTAGGGCTGGGGTTTGGGGGTGGGTGTTGGTTGCTATGGTGGGGTGCTGGTGCTTGGGGTATTGAGTTGTTGATACTGGTGTTGTGTATGTGTGTATAGATGTATAGTGTATGTATCTCGGGCCTTGGGACAATGTATAACGTTTGTATATGTTGAGGATTATATTGTGTTGGACTGCGGTTCACGATGAGGATATGCAAGATCGAGAACTAGATACTACTCTGCATGAGACCTCTCCGTTGACACAAAGAACACCACTCGGCTACAAAAGATATCTAGACACTTCTGAGCTCTATGGGCAACCTTTTATGCACTACCTTATATTGCGACATCCGTCTTGTCGTCCAATCTCTCCCGTACTTGCACCTCGAAATCGGTCGGCTTGACGAACCAGGAATTTTCTGTGGACCATTGATTCGCGTTGGTGGTGAAGTCAAAGTCACGGACCATTCGCGGGATCAGCTTCGAGATTTCCAATATGGAGATGTGCTTGCCCAGGCAAGTTCTGGAACCCAGACCGAACTGTGTCCTTGTCAGCTGCTGGCATCCCCGGGTTTTCGTGTAAACCTACCGGCATATACATGTCATTCATCAGTCGCAGGCGCTCTGGGTCTTGCTCTGCCTCTATCCACCTCTCCGGCTGAAAGGTGCTGGCCTCGGGAAAGACTTCCTCGTTGTAATGGGCTACCCACGTGTTGATCCCGACGACTGCCCCCTCGGGGAAACGATATCCGCTGATGTCGGCGCCCCCCGCCGGTACGACTCGCCATAGCGGCAGACCTGTGGCGCTGTGCATGCGCAGGGCCTCTTTGATGACGGCCTGCAGGTACGGCATGTCCTGGCTTTCCTTGAACGTGACGCGAGGACTGCAGCGACCCTCCGCGGTAAACGAGGCGATCTCGCCCCGCAGCTTCTCGAGCACCTCGGGGTTATGCAGGAGGTAGTACATGATGGACGAGAGGTTGATGGCGGTGGTGTCGGAGCCAGCTACGACGTTGGACAGTCCCATCATGTAGAGATGGTAGTCTGTCACTTTCTCAGGATCCTTATCTCGTGCCAGCATCATCTTCTCTACGAAGTCTTGCGTTTTCGGTGCTCCACCCTCCGCCTCGTCCTGTTTTGGGGAAGGTGGAGCGTGGGCTCTGATCTTGTCCTGTACGAACTGCATGATGTATGCTCGTCCCGCAGCCCCAGACAACTTGAACCAACTCAAGGTTCCATACAACCGCGGATGCCACTCGGGGTAAATTCCGACCAGTGTGCTGTATGTCATGAGGCCTTGCAGAGCAGCAATGGTGCCTTTGACATCGTGGCCTTGGTCTAGGAAGCCTTCAACCAGCAATACCATCGGCATTAGCGAACGAATAGGCAGACCGTCGCAAGAAAAAGAGAGAAAGAAATACGACCACCAAGGATGGAATGAGATACACACCAAACCGTTCGCCAAAGGTGATCTCCCCGATGACATCAAACGCATAACACTGGAACCAGTGGCCCAGATTCAGAGGGTCTCCAGATTGGGCATGCGTTTGCAGCCGCTGGGCAAAGATGTCGGCACAGTTGTCCACGAATGCCTCGTAATGCACCAGGGAGCTCATGGAGTAGAGGCTCGCGAAGCGTTTCCTCGTTTCCCCTACCCCGTGTGTCAGTTATCTTGACACATTCATGGTGGTATCTTCAACCACGAGACATGAGGAGTACCATGACGTCGTATATCCCGGTCCGGAAATAATGTCCACCGGTTGGGATCGGGATGCTTCCACCCCTCGTACCACGCCGACTTGGCGAAGCGACTTCCCTTCCCATAAACCGTTCTGACGGCAGATCTGTCACGGATACTGTAGTGGTCGGGAGCAATACGCACGACAGATCCATACTTCTCGTGGAGCTGGATATTGTCGTGTTCGAAGTGACGTAGTCGCACGCGATTGAAATACCAGAGTTTAGTGAACCGGGTGATGAGGGGACCAGGGATTGAGAGGAGAGAACGATGATGGAGCGTTGTTTTCAAGAGATCGACAAACAAGTAGAAGGGAATGACTAGAAAGAGTAGGATGAGGTGCATCTTTGTTGGGAATTGAGGGGTGAGTTGGGGAGAAGTGGAGAGGGGAACAAAGAAAGACGCGGGGAGGCGAATGAGCCTCGATATATATAGGTGGACAGCGCATACCGTAGTAACACAGGTTCGGTATAGTCCTACGGTGCACCCCACCAGTGTAGATACATCCAATGGGGAATATACTAACAGAGTCATAACGAACAGTCTTTCCATATCACAATAAATCATTAAGACGTACAATCCCGCTGGAGGAATCCACCTAAGCCCGAGGCCCATCACCACGATAGCATACAACCACCCATCAAGGCCCGATTCGAGACGATCCCAAGTAAAAAGAACAAGTCACTTTCGATCCCCCCACAGACCCACAATGCCCATGGACAGCGCCAATCCGGCCAACACCGCGCGCCCGCCCTGCAAGCGGCGCTCCGTCTCCAGCGCACGCTGCACGCTCTCCCCATTCACGTTGGTCTCCTCTGCCTCCACCACCACAATATCCTCTTCCCGCTTCTTCTGCTGGGAATTCGCGCACAGAGACCGACAGCCCATATCCTGCACCAAACCGCAGACCCAGGCCTTGACTCCCACGGCCTGGCCGTGGAACCAGTAATCCAACCCGTAAGAACCCAGGGTGGCGGAGACAGCCATCCACACCAAGTAGGGGTGTTTGCGGTGCGGTGGGGAGATACAATAGGCAAACAGTAGGCAACCGTTCGCTATGTTGGTCAGGCGTAGGCCATGCTTGCGATTGAGGCGTTTGACCTCGGCAGCGGCGCGCGAGGCCGTCGACGCCGTAGACAGCTGTTGCAGGGCGGGAACGGTGACGGCCGAGGAGGAGTAGGAGAGGCCCTAGATATAAGAGTTATTCAGGCGATACCACAGTGGTATGATGGAGACATTGATATGTATCCTTCGCACGTTGGAGCATTGATTGAACGCAGAGACATACCGTCAACAGGCCCAATGACACGGTGCCTACAAATTTACTGACAGTGATGGGACAGGCCATCTTGACGCGTGGAGATCAAGCAATCCTAATAGAAGATGAGGAAGATCGATACCTTTCGGACCGAAGAAAAAATGAGATGGCGAGATCGATTGATCGAGTTGATCATTGAGGATCATTGAGTTCTCGACCGCAAGTGACGTCGCTCCCGCGCAGCCAATCAGAGGAGAGTGAGTCAGCAATGACTGACTCAGCACGCGCTAACCCGAACGGCCTAGCCCTGCATAAACGACATAAGGGGATAATGTTGAGTCAACATCCGAGGTTGATTTTATTCGGTCCAACCGCGGTTTCTCCGATCAACTCATTATACTCCGTACTTCTCCAGACTCTATCTCCAACGTCTACTTCTATCCCCACACTACTTGACATTGACGGTTGTTTGTATATTCCATTTCAAGGATATTTGTTATAATGTCTCTCCCTTCAGTAGACTACGTCAGTGATACCTGGAAGCATGGCTTGTTCGGTAATGATTGCCCCCCATGTCAGATGGCGTCCGGGATGACTTGGCTAACATCCGACAGCCAACAAGGTCGTCTTCTGTACCGGTGGCGCAGGTACCATCTGCAGCGCCCAGGTACGCGCCATGGTCTACTTAGGCGCCAACGCCTGCATCATCGGTCGGAATGTCGACAAGACCGAATCGGCCGCGCGCGATATCGCCACGGCCCGACAGGGGGCCAAGGTCATTGGCGTTGGGGCCGTAGATGTGCGCCAGATCAAGAGTCTCCAAGATGCCGTTGATCGCTGTGTCAAGGAACTGGGTGCCATTGACTTCGTGATGTGCGTATTCAGGGAAGCTATTGTTCGTGATGGTCGCTGACTTACGGTAGCGCCGGTGCGGCCGGGAATTTCTTGGCTTCCATCAACCAGCTGTCGGTCAATGCGTTCAAGTCCGTCATGGACATTGACGTGCTGGGCTCCTACAACACGCTCAAGGCCACTCTGCCCCATCTGGTCGAGTCGGCCAACAAGCACAAGGTGGACCCGGAGACCTGTACGTGGACTCGCGGGCGCACTCCCCCCCTCCCCTAATGAGTGAACCCCCATGCTGATGAGAGTCTAGTGAGACCCTCCCCCCTGGGTTCGGGCGGTCGCATCATTTTCGTCAGTGCGACCCTCCACTACCGCGGCACGCCCTTCCAGTCGCACGTCTCCGTGGCCAAGGCTGGTGTCGATGCTCTGTCCAACAGTGCCGCCATTGAGTTCGGTCCCCTGGGAGTGACCTCCAATATCATTGCCCCGGGGCCGATCGCGTCGACAGAGGTGAGTTGTCTGCTCCGTAGTAATCAATATTAACCTCGCTGACCAATCGTTAGGGTCTGGACCGCCTGGTCCCCTCCGATGTCAAAGCCGCGTACACCAAGTCGCAGCCGCTGGGTCGGTTCGGCTCCGTGCGCGATATCGCCGATGCCACCGTGTATCTGTTCTCCAACACGGGCAGCTACGTCACGGGCCAGACGCTCGTCGGTAAGTGTCTCCCCGCGGTTTCCTGGGTGTTGATTCCTGTTCTAACTTCGTGCAGTGGACGGCGCAAACTGGCGCATGTCGTCCGGTGGCACGACCGGGTCCATGAGTTATCCCGATTTCCTGCTGACAGGCGATGCCGTGCCGAACGTCAAGGGGCAGAAGAAGTCGAAGCTTTGATCCATTCTTTCCTTGCCTTTTCTTGCGGTGGTTTTGCGCATTGGCGGTCGTTCTTTTCGTTTCGTTTGATAGATAGATAGCCTGCCGGAGACTCATGACTGGTCGATGGTGTCAAAATAATGCATTCGGAGATTTGATTCGCTACAAAGATTGATTGATTTACGGAGGTTTATGCTGGCCTTGACAATGACGACGGGGAGACAAAGACTGCACCAACTATGACCGTTCATTGAAGCATTGTTCCCTTATCCCCCCTCCGTCTGATCGCTCCGGACGGGTGAATCCACCCAAGAAGGAATCCAGATTGGGTAAACAAAGAATGGACGATTGGGTCTCAAGGATCGAGAGGAGTTTCCTCGGCCGTGGAGGACTTTGTCTTGGTCCCCACAATCGTGGCCATTGTCAACAAGGCCTTTGTGTTGCCGCAAGAACAAAGACTATCATTGACCATCAACATATAAAGTCGACCACCCCCCGGAGAGCTCTCAGTGCGGTGTACATTTTTATATATAGAGTTCACTCGACGTTAACAACTACAGCGTGTCGATTGCGAGTATATCCGACTACCCGACCATTAACCACGACTTCGACTTATACTACACCCGACTTACACCACACCCGCCACCGCAGAATGGCACCCAAAGTCAAGGGAGACGAGGTTTTAGATAACCTCAGCAAGCTTCAATTCCCGGATTCGGTCAAAGAGCTCATCCAAATAGCCCGCCAAAATTACGCCGACGAACTGCAAGCCGCCAACGATGCCGTGTCCGACTACATGCGCAAAAGCAGTCGGACCGAGCGGAAATCTGCGAAACAAGAGAGTGAACTACGAATTCTGCAGCAGCGTCTGGCCGATGCGGAGGAGGCGATCAAGGTACAAGAAGATTCCCAGGCCGAGGCCGCGGACAAGCGCGAGGCGGAGCGTTTAAAGGCGGAACTGCGCCGGGTCCATGGCTTGGTTAATAACAAGGAATCCGATCTCCACGCCGCCGAGGACCGCGTGGTGGAGATGCGCGAGTACAGCGAGAGGCAAGGGGGCCTCATCGCGACCTTGCGCGAGCGCGCCGCGGCGAGTAAGAGCGACTCGAAGAACAAACAAAAGATCATCACGCAGTTAGAGGAAGAGATGGGTAACCTGAAGCGCGAGCTCGAAACCCTGGGGAACAGGAAAGTGGTGCTGCAGAAGAAGCGGTTGGACAGCTCCGTCGGTGCGAAAGCGGAGGAAGAGCCCACGGATGAGGTGACGGAGCTGCTGAGAGTGCTAGAGGACCGGCACGTCGTGCTCCAGCAACAGGTGCGAGGCCTCTTCACGCTTTTTGAAGGTGAGTACGCCATGCGCCGGGTGTACGAGCGGCTCGCCAAGTTCGCCGTCAAGCCCCGGTTGGCCATCTGCGCGGCTCCATCGAGCACCAACTCCAGCACCCCGGGACGGACGCTGAGTATTGTTCAGGGCAGCCTGGAGCAGGAACTTTTGGAGGGCACCGGCGATGAGAACTTCGAGTATGGCGAGGTGGAGCCCATGGATGTCACTCGCTTCGGCGAGCCCCTGTCCCCCTACCCGCCTCCGCCCCCCGAGGAGCTCAAGAAACCCCGCGTGGACTCCGAGAAGCGGCCACTGCGCAAGGCAGTCGGCTATCGCACCAAGACGACCAAACGGTTCAGCCCGGGGGAGAAAAAACGGAAGCGAGGGGCGGAGAAGAACCCGCTAGAAGAGTTGGAGCATATTCAAAGTAAACTGGCCGTTCTGACGCTCGCCCACCCGCCGTCGTCCCGGTCCCTGCAGAACTGGGTCCAGAACGAGCGCGGGGTCTGCCAGGTCGGGGCGCGGAAACGACGCCACCTCAACCCGCTCCCCCGACGGCCCGGGGACGAATATGCGTACAGTATGCAGAATCTCAACGACTTCCTGTCGCATGTCCACAATATCCGCGCCAAAAAGGAGCCGGTGCCCCCCACTCCCGGCCTGCCCCGTCGCCGGGCGGGGCCGGTGCCCCGGGGCCCCGCCCACGCCCGCAGCCCCGGGCCTGGACCGCGAGGCGGTGGTCCAGCACGACCTTGCGCCTCAGGTGCATAAGAAGGCCGCCATCAAGTCCCCGCTTTACTTGAATCTCCCTCCCCCGCCGCCTCCCCAATGGAAAGCCCTGCCCTTCTCCGTGGGGCGGAAATTCCAGGTGACCCACCAGGAATGGTGCATGGCATGTGCCTCCCAGCTCCAGCACGAGCTAGACATCCTAGAGCCGAGCCCGCGCGACACCGTGCAGGAGTACGAGCCGGAGATGTCGTTTGCGCGGCGGCCCGCGGTGCCCGCGCCCCGCCCGTCTAAGGCCTGTCCGACCAAGCCTCTGTGGAAGTACCTCGCGCTGGTCCTGTTGCTCGGGCTCGTTCTATGGCGGACAACCCGGGTGGACAGCAAGAGCTGGCTGGAAGCTAACGACCTGCCACCTACCCTCATGCAAAGGATCCAGATGCGGCGCGAGTCGCAAAACCAGCTGCTGCGGATTTTGGACTTTGAGATGTCGCAGCGGGCGGCGGCGGATTGGCCCATCATGGGATAGACTGGTAGTCATGTTGATAAGTCAGTTGTAAATTTTTTCCTCGTTTGTTGTCCCCGTTCTTGTTATCATGGTTAGTATCTGTTCCTCAAGGCGACGCTTTCATCTAAAGCTGTACTGCTAATGTTGTTTCTTAGATTTTTCCTTTTGGTACTCACTTTGTTAATATATATACTCTTGGCTACAACCCCAGTCTGTATATGATTTCGCGCTGACAACAGACATTGGACTGGTCTGTCACAATGATGGTGTCGATAGATACCCCCCATAGCAGTACAAGTAGACTATGATTGAATACAAGAGACTATAGTAGAATAAGGATGACAAGCTGATCATCTGTCAGTTATGCACGGGATAAGCTTATACTGAGCATCCGCAGCGGATCACCCCACGCCCTAACCTAATCCGGCTAGTACACACACTATTTTTAGTGGCGTCAGATGACTGCGCACTAGACCACAACAGGACTAGTACGGTTACGTCACGGGTCGCCGCTACAGCTGAGTCAGCCCAATCTGACCAATGGCCAATGTTGCCGCCCGCAGGCATCCATGAAAGGCCTGGGGCGCACCCAAGACAGCCACCCACTCATTCCACTCCATCCACTCCATCCTCTCCATCCATTCTCCATCCATCTCATTCATTCATTCGGTTCCATCTCACATCATCCCCATCATTCTTTCATCCATCAATCCATCTGTCTTCTCTTCTTGATCCCCCCTTTTCACTTCTTTGTCAACTGATTTTTCAAACGTCTTGACTTTGACCGTAACGGTTACTCCTTGGACTGGTTCCCCACTCTCTTTCGAACTACATCGGGATCCTTCCCAATAGCATCATGAATCTACGCTCGTTTCTTCTGGGGGGTACCCTGGCCCTCGCCACCAACGCCCTGTTGATCGTCCCCGAGATGATGGACGACCCCGCGGCCGCCCCGGGCATCTCCGAACTCCAGACGTTGGAAGCCCATGCGGCGCAGCAGCAGCAGGTGGAGCTGCATTGCACCGAGTGTCCCTTCCGTGAAGAGGATAGCAGTGCGGTCTACTGGGTGACGGACGGCTCGGAGACCACTTTGGTATGTCGATCTCATGCGATGATCTTCGGAAAAGAAAGGAGCGAATCAACTAACGATCCTAGTCGTTGAACTTCAGCGTCGAAGATGGCGTCCTCCTGGCCAATGGCCACCAGATTTTCCCCCCTTCGTCGCCCAGCCCCTTGGTCGCCGTTCAGCATCGCCTGTCCGATGGCGAGAAGTCGGCTCCCATCCCGCTGGGTTACGCCGTTGAGATGATGCCGGTGCCCTCCGCGCCCGAGGAGATGATGGATCTGGTCGCGGTTCGCTTCACCGTGCTCGACCTGGACGGCCATCCCGTCCCGCTGAACACGGTGGCGATGCACCTGGTGCACACCCCCTCTGGGGATCTCTACATCGCCAAGTCGGAGATCGAGGAGACCACCCCCGACAAGATGTCCTGGCGCCAGTGCCGCGGTCGTCCCAGCTGCCTGCGTCGCCTGCTGTTCAGCCGGATGCGCTCCCTGTTCGCTTCGGCCAAGAGCCGCATGCTCAGCATGGCCCGCAAGCCGGGCTGTGGTGGTCGTCCCACCGCCGCCCACCGCCGTCCCCATGACTTTGCGTTCCCCGAGGCCCTGGAGGCCAACGGTCGCACTGGTCACGACGGACGCCTCCGCATCGACTACGGCGCCTGGGAGCGCACCCTGTCGCGCGTGGTGCGCTTCATCCTGGTGCCGGCCATCCTCGGGGTTTTGGCCGGGTTGGTGACCAGCGCCCTGGGCATGCTCGTCGGTCAGCTGGTCGTCTCCCTGTGGCGTCGTCACTCGCGCCGCTCCGCACCCCTCGACACGGAGGAGCAGGGCACCGCCCCGGAGAAGCAGGGTCTGATGACCGAGAGTGCCGAGGAGCAGCCGCCAGCCTACCGGGACGACGAGGGTCTGCCCGAGCATGTGTCGGCGGACAAGCAGTAAGCAATTCTCCACGAAGCTGCGACGGACGGGGGGCTCCACTTGGGGGCTGTGCCGCGGAGGAAGATGAAGAATTCCATTATCAGACGGGGTTTCGTTTCTTTGTCGTGTTTTGTTCGTATCTCTTCGGCTGTACCCGATCACTTTCGCTCGGGTTCTCCGTCCCGTTCAATTGGTTTCTTATGACTTGCTGTTACTCCGGGATGTCTCGGGGCATACGTATGTTAGCTATCGTCAATCTATTCTTATCCTATGTCATCGTTCGAGATGTTGGTATTGTAGTAAACTATTGTATCACGTCACCCCCTAGTATTGATCCGAGCCGTCCCCATACCTGTAGAGCAGGGCTGACGCCAGTCTATCATCGCCCTTTACCTTTCCAGCAATCATTATTCAGTTTCATCAAAGACCACTGACTAGTATCACCCATGCATGGTGGAGTGCTCGCCCTTACAAGTCAAAGTCACACCAGATGATGCCACTCTGTCAGACTCTTTCATCCAGTCGACGCTTTCATCTAGTTCGCCTTTCCACCTCTTGTTGACCCTCTCACCAGGGCGACCCTTTCATCTGATCGACCATTTCATCTAGTCGACCCCTTCACCGGTCAAATTTCAACCAGGTCGATTCCTTCACCTAATCGACGTTTTCATCTGGTCTCTCGTCCCATCCTTTGTCTCCCCGTTGCAGAACACGAACATCTCTCCCTCCTCGTGGTTGGAACAGTCAATCAACGCGACCCCTTGAAACGTCCAGGGCAACAGCAATGCCACTCCATCAGCTTTTACGACTCCACCGTATACCCGAGTCTTTGTCGTAGGTCTCCTTGAAGCGTCCGGGACAATGGCCATTGATCATCCGTAGCAGGGTCTGTCTGTTATCCTCAATTGAAAGAGCCGAAAACAGTATAAATAGCTTGATGCACCGCCACTGGTCCTGGAATTATCATCATCATCATCAGTGACTCCTTATAAATAGCACTACATCTACTCTCGTATAACGCTACATCTCCTTCCTCTGAGCAACACTACATCTTCTTCCTCTGAACAAAACTACATCTCCCTTTTCTGAGCGACACTACATCCTTATCTAACATGCACATCGTGGGTTCGGGTTTCAACCCCAACGGGATCCCAATATTCACGGGTAGCTACCACCCATCCGAATTCGAGGGCATCCTATCGGTCGTCCAAGTCGACCAGTTGCCCGCCTACGCCTGCCGTCCGGAAACGCCTCGAGCCCTCGCTGCCCAAAGAGCGACTCGACGCAGTCCTGGGTGAGCGATTTTTCACCGCGTACAGTATCTTTTACCCCGTGGTCTTTGCCGACGGGGTTATATGGATCTTCAAGGTTCCCGGCAAGACAAAGAAGGATTCGAAAGAAGCAATTCTCGCCCTCGAAATGCTCAGATACGAGGCCAACATTATGCGCGTGCTGCGGCGCGAAACCAGCATCCCCGTTCCGGACGTCTACGACTTCAGTGACACCCACGACAACGAGCTCAACTGCCCGTTCATCCTGATGGAGTATATCTCCGGGGTCCCGCTGATCGATGCCTGGTTCGACAAGGAGATCCCACCCGCGGAGGTCGAGAAACGCCGGACGCGCGCCCTCACCGACCTCGCGGCCGCCATGGTCCAGCTCGACCGGTACAGGTTCGACCATGTTGGCGTGGCAGCCTTCGGCGCCGACGGCCGTATCTCCGGTACCGATATGACCGATGGAATGGCATCGAATGTCCCGAACGACAAGATAGCCGAGTTTCATTCTTTGACCGCGCCCAAGTTGCACTCCGCCTGGCGGCGGTGGTACGAGGTGGACATGCCGCCCGACGGGGACATGCCGCCCGACGGCCCAGTGCGCGGCGCCGTCGAACTTCTGAAGATGCTGTTGGACTGGATCCCCAAACCCGCGGATGACGCCAAGGGCTCGTTCGTGCTGGCCCAGATGATGGTCGGGGCGAATAAGATCCTCGTGGGACCCGACGGCGCCATCTAGGCCATCCTCGGCTGGGAAGCGGCGGAGGCCATCCCGCGCGCCGTCGGCAACGACGCATACCCCCCCCTGGTTGGTGCCCAATGGCTTCTGGTGCGACGAGGTACTGGAGGGCGCGCTCGAGTCAGAAGAGACGCTGGGCTTCTATCGGAAGGTCTATGCGGACCAGATCCGGGCCCATCGGCCAGAGGGGGCGCCGCCGCCGCAGACGCGCAACTCCATCATCTACCTATTGTTGATGAATGCGAGGCAGAGCCGAAAACCCTACACGCTTGACCTGGAGGTTATCATGCGGTTTATCCACCGGGCCATCCGGGAGGAGGTGCTCCCCCGCCTGCGCGACACGTCTGGGGCAAAGGCCGCGGAGGTCGACCTCGGTATGTTGGAGTTGTCGACCTTGTGTGAGAGATTGAGCAACGATGAAACGACGGAGGAGGAAAGGGAGTTGCTGAAGATGGGGTATGAGGCACTGCTGAGTGGGGATGATATCATCTAGGTTTTTGTTTTTGAATTTTCTTGTCGGTGGACAGGAGAGGGAAGGATAGAATCAATAGAATGATTAGAATGAATAGAATGAGGAATAGAATATGGGTGCCTTGATAGCCTTATTGCCATCGTGCCTTGCTGCCGTAGTGCCTTGCTGCCGTGCTGCCTTGTCGCCAGGAACGTGCGGCCGCCCCCGTGCCGCCCAAACCGGACTAGCGCCGCCCTGGCTCCCAGCGTTTCTCTCATTCCGTCACTTCTTCTCCTCTCCGTCTCTCCCTCTCTCGGCCGCTCTCACTTTGGCTTCATCTTCACTCCCCCTTCTTCCCTCCATTGTCCCGCCATTCTGTTGATCCACCTTATGCCTCCCTTTGGATCATGATTATACTGTCCCTCGTGGATCTCGTCCACATCTCTCAGTGATCCCTCCACTCTTGTCCTCCCCCCTCTCCCTCCCCCCCGCAACAAACAAACATCCCCCGGTTATAGCCCGATGCTGGCGTAGCGGATCTCCTCTTCCCTCTCGCCTCCTATTCCATTCTCACCGCTTCCACGGTCCAATCCACCATGATGCAGTGGACCTCCATCGTGCAGAAAGCCCAGTCTTTCATCGACCCTGCCAACTTCACCCTTCCGTCCCTCTCCACCTCCGATCGCAATCCGTCCAAGGCGTCCCTCTTTCGTCAGCAATTCCGCCTGCCAGACTCCCAGAATCCCCTGCAGGAGATCACCGCCGATTTGATCCTGCCGGTCCCGCATACCGCAGAACAGTCGCGTCCCCGCCCGGGCAACCGGTACACCGGTCGCCTGCACCTCTCCGAGCGCTTCATTTGCTTCTCCACCCAGCCGACGAGCTTCCTGCCCGGTGCCACGCACGCACATTCGACCCACTGGGCGGGCCCCACCAATGGCGCAGGTCCGGCGGGCAATGGCTTTACCATCCCGCTGTCCGCCATCCGCCGCGTGGAGCGCCTCAACAGCGTTAGCCATGTCTTCTCCCTCGCCCTGACCACCTGGAACGGCGCCCTGGGCAAGCAGCCCGCCGGCGTCTTCGTGCCCCAGCGCTTCACCTTGCAGTTGGATGGAAGCAGGCAGGCCTGCGAACGCTTCTGTGACGGATTGAAGAAGGGTCTGCGCGAGGGCATGAAGGAGATTGAGAATCTGCGCGTGGTGGTGAACGACTGCTATTCCGAATTTCTCGTGACAGCCGTGAAATCCAAGGACCAGTCGGGGGAAAACGCCGAGAGCCGCCCGCCCCCGGATGCGGGGCTGGGTATGTTGTTTCGCTATCCTGGGGATGCGCGCAAACTTCGCGATCGGAGCAAGATGCGTCTCTGGGGGGAATATTTTCGAGGTACTTCTTCTCCTGCTGCGCCCCCCACCCTTGTGGTTGTGTGGCGTTTGTCTCCCCTGTCTAATCTGAGCAGAGAACGGCCGCAATGCGACGCTCATTCGGCAACCCACCTTTCACAAGCTGATCCGAGTCGGCCTGCCGAATCGCCTCCGCGGCGAGGTCTGGGAGATCAGCTCGGGATCCCTTTACTTGCGCCTGCGGTCCCCCCGGCTCTACACCGACACCCTGTCCAAGTTTTCCGGACAGGAATCCCTGGCCATCGACGAGATTGAGAAGGACCTGAACCGCAGTCTGCCCGAGTATGCTGGCTTCCAGAGCGAGGAGGGCATCGGCCGCCTGCGCCGCGTCCTCACGGCCTACAGCTGGACCAACGCCGAGATCGGCTACTGTCAGGCCATGAACATCGTCGTGGCCGCCCTGCTGATCTACATGTCCGAGGCCCAGGCCTTCTTCCTCCTCTCCGTCCTGTGCGACCGGCTGCTGCCGGGCTACTACTCCACCACGATGTACGGCACCCTCCTCGACCAGAAGGTGTTCGAGTCGCTCGTCGAGCGCACCATGCCCGTCCTATGGGACCACCTCAACAAGACCGACGTCCAGCTCTCCGTCGTCTCGCTGCCCTGGTTCCTCTCCCTCTACATCAACTCCATGCCCCTCGTCTTCGCCTTCCGCGTGCTCGACGTCTTCTTCCTCGAGGGGCCGAAGGTGCTCTTCCAGGTCGGCCTGGCCATCCTGCGCGTCAACGGCGAGGAGCTGCTGGAGGTCCAGGACGACGGCTCCTTCATCTCCGTCCTCAAGTCGTACTTCTCGCGCCTTGACGAGTCCGCCCACCCACGCTCCGAGAACCCCAAGCTACGCGCGATCACCCGCTTCCAGGAACTCATGGTCGTCGCGTTCAAGGAGTTCGCCGGCATCACCCACGCCACCGTCATCGAGGAGCGCGACAAGCACAAGGACGCCGTCCTCGACAACATCGAGAGTTTTGCCAAGCGCACCTCTATCCGGAACCTGGGTCCCGACAGCAAGAAGCTGAGCATGGACGACCTCGGCGTCATCTATGACCGCTTCTACGAGGTCCTCTACGACCGCCTGCAGCGTGAGCGCGTCCGGGAAGAGGAGCTGCGTCGCCTGGAGAAGCGCCGCGCCGAGCGCACCTCCACCCTAGGCCCGCCCGCCGACCACGAGGTCGGCCGCGTCGGTCTGGGTCCCAGCCCCTCGCACATGGACTACGAGGGCTTCCGCGAATTCCTCGCCGCCACGGCCAAGTGGGCCTTAGGTGACTCCCCCGGGCCCTCGCGCTCCCCCTCGGGCGCAAGCTCGGGTGCCGCCGGCTGGCGGGGTTTCGGCCGCTCGCCGTCCCCCGGCCGGCCCGCGCCCGCCGACCACGAGTTCATGCGGCGGCTGTATCGCAAGTGGGCGACCGACCCGGACGAGGGTCTCAGCCTCCAGAACGTGGTTCATGGCTTGGCGCGCCTCAAGGGCCCGCGCGACATCATGAATAACATCCAGTACTTCTTCACACTGTACGACGACCGCGGCAACGGCACCGTCGACCGCGAGGGCATCTTGCGCATGTCCGAGGCCCTGCTGTTCCTCTCCCGCCGTGGCTTCGATGGGACCATCACGCCGACGCAGACGCTGGACGAGTTCGGCCACCCCGACCGCGACGCCCAGCCATCCGAGCCTCTGAGCACGGACGAGCGTTTCCTAGGGAGCGTCAGCGCCTTCATCCGCCGGTGCTTCGAGTACGCCGACCCCAGCACCCCGGGGGGCTCCCCCGGGGCCAGCCCTAGCATCCCCGCCGACGAGACAGCCGACAAGCTGGCGTCCGTCCGCATTGGCGACGACGACGACGGCTCGGGAGATCTTTTGGACGTCGGGGACGAGGCCACGCCGGTCCACCACCGCAAGGCGTCCGAATCCGCCAACCCGGCGCTCGACCCCAACAACCCCCTGCACATCACGCTACCGACCTTCCGCATGGTCATCCTGGCCGACGAGCTGCTGGAGCAGTTCTTTGACGCGTTCTTCCCGCGGTCGTTCCGCCTGTCGGTCGACTCGCACCCGGCCGTCACCGCCGCCTCGACGCTGTCGTCCAATCTCACTACCTTCTCCAACATCAACGTGCCACGCCCCGGCCTCGGCGCGGGCGCAGGCGCCTCCGTCGGGGCGCCTCGGGCGGCATCGTGCCCCCAGGTCGCGGTCTCCGCGGCGTGCTGGACAACATCGTCACGGACGGCATTCGCATGGCCGCGGAAGTCAAGAAGCGCATGGACGAGGCGCAGCGCGACATGGAGCGCAACGCAGTCGCTCGGGGCGACGACGACGAAGACGAAGACGATGAAGACGAGTCGGCGCCCCTCACGACCCCATCGGCCTCCACCCCCACCACCGTCGGCGGCATGTCCAACTGGGGTGCCGGCGCTTACGAAGCCGACCGCGACCTCCTCGAGGGCGCCGAGGTCCTCAGCGTTCGCGAGAAAGATGCCGCTTCCCTGCTGGATGAATCCCCGGAGGGCGGGTTGGGAAACGGGTCCAGGGAGTCGAAACAGTCTCCGTCGAGCGACGAGAATCGTCGTCCGGGCTCGTCTTCCCCACATAATTCCCACGCAACCGATAAGGACGAACACGTCGTCAGTAAGGTGGAGTTCGACTCGTAGTTCTAGGAACCTTTGACCGATCATCCACCTGTCCATCATCAACCTACACCCTTCCACCCACGGACAGCACGGCGTGGTGTCCCACCCATTTTTTCTCTTCTCTCTCACAGTCTACATCTATCTATCCCACGGATTTAGACCGATTTCCTGTAAACTATACATACATCGATATACTTCCCTATACAGATCGATCCTCCCACACTCACTCACTCACTCACTCATCCAACATCCACCAACCCATCGATCGATCAATCCCATGGGGCGGATCATTTATTCTTGGCTCGGCGTTATAGATCCTGTTGTTTGCTTGTGTTTACTACTGTGCGGATATGAATTATTCTTTTCTTTAGACTAGAAGATATCTACTGTAAATTGTGATTGTAGGTGGGCTAGTGGTCCTTCCTGGCGTAAATACATTAGATGCGATAGCTGTTAAGAATGGTATCCGTTGATTGTTGATTCGACCTGATTTCTCAGCATTCGTTGGAAATAGTAATCCAGGTGTGGGGGCTTATATCATTATCAAGTCACCCACGCCTACTAACTCTCTCAAGTCTGGTGAGTTGTCCTTCGCCAGCTACAGCTCCACCCTCTTGGTTTGAGTTCACCTCGCACCACCTTATCCAGCGGGCCTGAACGGCCCCACACATGTCGGGGGCAAAGGGACCAACGAGAGCACGTGTTAGCATAGGTATACTGCTTCGTGTGCTTGGTCCGTTCTGTGTTAGAGGTGGTGTGACCCACGAGCCATGGATAAAGCTGCCAACTATTGAGACGAGAACTACAAAGCTTGACAACTTATGTGGTCTTCTTATATCGTTTCTGGGCGATCCTGGGCGGAGTGTGTACGTTGGTGCTCGCAGTAAGATTTCAGTGAAAATCCCCCGACGTTGTCAACAAGAAGGTAGGAAACGGTAAGCACATTGGGGAGGTAATTACGAGACTTTCGATAGCGCCGGTGGCGGCCGATCAGCATAGACCCTGCATTGGTACTAGGTTCTGTATATCTACCGCACCGTTTCTAGGGTTGGAACATGAGGCTGCACGAGGAGCAGTAGAGATGTATATCTAGCAAGACCCTTGGTCACTTTGCCTGGTTAATCCAATACGCAAAATCAGTGATTCACTCCTCAGACTTGCTTGATTCATGGACTTTCATGATTCACAAGAAGGCTACTAGAGGTTCCAAAACAACTAACGATACAAATTCTATATCACGCTTCGTCGGGGAGGGATAGAATAGGCTTTTCAATATCTCTGAGAAGACCGCCTTGAGACAGCAAAGTTAGAAATCGACACATTGCAAGTGCAAGCCCAATCAACGAAATGGTGCAGACCCGGGACTCCCAAACGCTTTTCTATCTGGGCTCCGGGGTCGCTGATTTTCTCTCGCGGGGGGAACGGCGTGGTGCGTGGGTAGCGTAGTTGTGTGTGCCACAGGTTGTGGCACGATGATATGGGACTTGACATGTCCGACAAAGGTGTATGATGAATCATTCGCCGGTAGCATCGTCCAAACTTCCACCGGAACAGAGAAAAGAAGAAGGCTAGAACCTTGAAACGCTCCTTCGATCGTGATATTGGCGGACTGGACGTTCGGAGGGATATTGCGGGTCAGCCACTGCTTCCATTGAGTGGGATCCAGGGGGATTTCTTCCCGGACTTTGACGCTGAGGAGCACGTTGTAAGTATTTTGCTCACTCTTTCTCGTGATTGGTGGCCTTGAGTGGTTGCGGCCGATCGTGACACTCGGAGAATTCCGCTTGGGGATGTGGACTGGCGTGGCCGCAACTTGGTTTTGCTGCGCATAGCGAAAGATTCGAGCATAAATACTAGCCAGTGTTTCAGGGCGGCCATCCAGCTGGCGAAGCTCGTCAATCAGGACCCGAGTAAAACAGAAGTTGAGGTTTGATGTTGCTGTTTGCTCCCAGGCACAGGCCGCCATGAACTCCGCGCCGTTGTACGCGTTGAGAGCGCCTGATGCAGCGGAGCAACAATCGAAAATGTAGCAACTGTCGCCCGGGTAGACTTCCAAGGTTTCCCTGACTCCCCACCAGTTGAATTGGGGTCCTTGTAGGCTGCCGGTATTTCGATCACACCTGCCGCTAATATTTGTTAGCCAAAAGATGTTCAGTTAGAGCAGTGTTCATAGTTTACCCCAGATTCCAGTAAGGAGCTACAGTCCCAGCAGAACTTGCATGGCCTGAGTAAACGAGCACTCGGAGTGTGTCGTCGCCAGAATTACGTCTTGACCACGCTATGAGGTGTTCCGTCAGACTCGGTAGGGAGAACTGCACGGGAATCAAAAAACTCTCGGTCTCAAATCCATAACTCGAGTGAAAGACGCCGAGGAGCTCTCTCTCAAGCTTCTCAACTTCCATATCGTCATTTTCCCAGTGGAAAGCAATAACCGCGGTCTTCCTATAAGGGTTGAACTTGGTCGCGTAGTTGATTGATGTTTCCAAGTCAGCCCAAAATTGATTCAGATGCTTTGGGGCCTCTCCTCCCCGGAATGCGACTGGTGTTTTTGAAGTCATCATGGTAGATGCTTTTGAGGTCGTCACACGTGAGTTGTCGGGCATCGAAGTGTCAGCAATACTGCTGCAGGATAATTCAGCGTTGGCAAGGGAGGAGCAAAGGGAGCGACGATGAAAAGGTGGGATGATGACAAGATTATGACGAGATGATGAAGTAACGTAACAAAAAAAGCTGGTAGCGGCTTCTCTTCCTCGGTATTATTGGGTCGGTCGTATCAAAGATTGGCAGATCCTGGCGAGTATTCAGTGAGCTGGTCTCTCTCTATCAGGGCCCAAAACACACCTTCAGTCTCAACACCACATCAGGCCAGTCGATGAGCGTGGAAAATCTCGGAACAATCTGGCTTAGTGTCAGCGGTGGATGAAGTGCAAGATAGCCAAGACACTCTATGAGTGCTTGATATTGGGCAGGGTTCTCAGGCTGTGGTGCAGGATGCAGATAATGGTAAAGGACCAAGCTCTCTACGAGAGCCGGCAGCGTTCAATGAGAAGAGAAAGGACCAAGCTCTCTACGAGAGCCGGCAGCGTTCAATGAAAAGAGAAAAGACCAAGCTCTCTACGAGAGCCGGCAGCGTTCAATGAAAAGAGAAAAGACCAAGCCCTCTACAAGAGCCGGCAGTGCTGTTGGATTTAAGGACCCAGACAGACAGGGAGGTGATGGGAAACAATGTGAAATGATCCCCTCGTTTCAAAGGATGGAGAAGGTCGGGAAAAGGATGGGATGGAAATAAAGCGAGCCAAAGATGAAGATGAGAATGATATGAGAGTGAGAGGATGTATTCATCTGTGGGTCAGCAGATCTTGTCAAGCCCTCACTCCGTCAGCCCTATTACACCTGAGGCTCTAACTACCTCCTACCCTTTCTGGTACTCTCTCTCATGCAGCAGGTAACTAGTCCTATGTCATACGCGAATGCCATGAGGTGGCTCTTATGGAGAATGGAAGCTTCTCCTAGTCTTTACCCCATTGACAGCTTGAGTTGGCCTGTATATTGCCTGTATGCCTGCCTCTAGAAGCATGGAGAAAGGAGCCAGGGACTGGAGTGTCTGACTCGCTTGTCCCAGAGATATTATAGTACAGGGTACTATTCCATAATACTCCATTTCTCAAAACCGCTGAATCAATTCAATTGCAGAGGGCTCTCGCAGGTTCCGTTCATCGTGTCTGTCCCTCAAGTCGGCATCCGCGGTATCGACAAGTTAAGAGTGATGACCCAGAGCTTTCGGTCGTTGTTAGCCACCCCCTCAAAATCCTCATACCAATGGCACATCATTATCTCGTTCTAAGGGTGTTGACTTCACGTTGGAGCGAGATTCAGGGGCATACATTCAACAGTGAAAGCAAAAGCGAGGGATGTAGTCACCGATCACGTACATCTATCGGCGGGCTGGACGAAGGTTTGGGAAATGTTGCAATGCCACTCATTATGCATGACGATTTGGATATGGAAATGGGCCTCCAGTATCTTCAACGGTAGTGTACTGGCTTCGAGCATTGAAAGATGGAAAAAAAAGGACATACAAAGCCGTAAGTCGAAAATCGCCATTTACCTGCCTCATATTGCAACATGGTTCATAACCACTAAAAAGAGGTGTTGTCTTCTCAGTGTCCACTAATACGAGGTCCCACGCTGAGGAAAGCCCAAACAATACCTAGAGCATTGGATTGAATGGTCACTCGTCGAGGTCCAAGCCCATTGAAAATTCGAGAAAGGAAGGTTGTGAGGCTAGCAACGGCGTATACTCGTCCGCAAGTTGAACCCCAACTAGCGACACAGAGCTTAGGCTACAGGCGGGTCAGTCTGGTGCTATATACACATCATGCTCCGTGCCGCTGACAGCGAGGGCGAGTTCACTGTCCCTAAGATCATCCTCCAACCAATATCGATCCCTAGCCATCAGACCCTTCGGGTGAGAACACAATATTCGCTGTTTCAAACGCAGGTCATTGTCAGAGCTGTTATTCCGGGGTCATTGGATCGACGTGAGATTGGTGGTTTGGTTGTGTCCTAATAACTGTACATCCTGGCTTGTGGTGTCATTGTGAATGCTGCTTGACGTACCCCGTAAACATTGTCGTGGTACTACTCAGCTAAATAATGGGCGACTGCAAATGATCAACCTAATGATAGTGCCACTGCATGGTTTAGATCTATCATGTTTGAAGTAAGTCAGCCTACACTCACACTAGCCTAGAATACATATTTATGTCATACATAGTACGGAGTAAGCGCCATTTTAGGATTCATTCTCTCATCGTCCTAATATATATTTTTCAGGTTATCCTGGAATATAGCATATGTGTAGCTGTGAGGCATGCAATAGGCCAGCATCGTAAAATAGGGGATAGAAACGCGTCCTAGGCGATGAAATTGATGATATTTTGGCGCTATGGAAAAAGCCTGCTCAATGGTTAAATATTCCCAATGGTCAAAATGTGTGCGAAATGGACTCTGCAGGTCAGCTGACATGCCAATCCATTGCAGTCACTTCCACAAACATCATCTGGCTTGCAGCGTTTATCTCACCTAACATTGTTATTATGTCTCATCATGCTTCTTGCAATCTTACAATAGTTATTTAAAATCTTTTCTCATGTTCAAGTTCATTTGTTTCATCAATATCTTCGACTGCCTTAACAGTCCATCCACATCCTATATAACTAACCCCTATATCACTCCTCCAGCATCAAATCAAACTCCTTGAAGGCTTTCCTAAAACCCATCTTATCCACCTTCTCTTCGCCCTCACACCACACATCACTCCGCCAGCTGGTGCGCCTTTCTAACCTTATCAGCTTCGCCACCAGCTGCCGCCTAAACTACAGGTCGAACCGAGATACAGTGAGGGCAGTGATTATTATACATTGACCAACCAGGACCAACCAGCTTGCCCCGTATCCTATTCTCACTCTTAATTATGGGAGGATGTGAACAAAACAGTGAGCCATACCAGTGAGTTTAATGATCTTTCAGACTATGAAAGGGTTACGAATAGCTGTTAAAACATGAAGAGTCAAAATAACAGCTTGTGCGGGGACACACCGTAGGTCACTTAACATATTAACCGATTGCATGTCTTATAATGAATATTAATAATATGAAGATCCTGCCGCTCTCCATCACCACTAGCTATCTTCCTACTGCCTCTCACCTGGAGCTCTTCCCCCCTTTCCCTTTCAAATGTTCTTCAAGGTCGTCAATTTTAGCCCCATTCCTGACGGGTAGTCCCCGTTCCTCACATAGAGACCACTTCAAGTATGTCGTCTGATTTTGGAAGCGGCAATGGAAGAAGCCGAGACTTGAGGAGTCTACTTGCCGTCCAGCCTGTCGAAGTCTACGGTATTAACATATTGAACCTCGATGGTGTGAAATTTCCATCCTTCACCGAGGAAATTACAATAGATGGTTAATTTTTGGCCCTGTGAATGATTGAAGTAAGCTCCATATGGTAATGCTGAGCACCTATACCATAGACGATTGACAAATATAGTCTACTAATCGACTCTATATCGGACGAATTCTGTAGACACATCGCATGCTATGGGTCCTGCCTTATGTGTTTACAGCCGGGATCTAATAGACCAGCGGGTGCCTTCATCTTTAGGTAGCTGTTTCTCTGTTTATATATGATGTTCAATAAACAACGATTGGGGGTTAACAGCCATGAGTTCAGAATGTCAACAAGGTCTCGGGACTACTACTAGGGATCGTAAATAATGTGCTAACAGTAATGATGTTTTCCACGTAGCTCCTGATGCAGCCCCATACTCTACTTCGGTTTATTTATGCAGTTAAAAAAACATTTGGGAGAAAGGTTGGACAGTAGTACCGCGGAAAGCTCAAGGCTTATCAGGAGATCGATGCCAAATCCCAATACCTGTCTCTCTTTGGCAAAGATAAATTTGCATATAGGATCAAAGCCATGAGGTCAAAATTCTGATGCGTGGGCGTGATTGTGTTCTCAGCATGAGAAAGTGATTAAGCACTAGACAATTGACAGCAACCTCAGCTCAAACAGATAGTAGGTGCACGGGGAACCCGTCACTGTCCGGCTCGCCGGATGACTATGAGACTACTTGCGGCTGACGCTGGTTATAAGTCTATTTCTCCTTGGAGTAGGGATGGCACTTTTCTTTGATCCATACGTCCACGTGTAAACCATGTTTCTGGTCCGCCCTGGAGGCTGCAGATACAGCAAAAGAACAGTCTCCATATATGGATCTAATCATGAACGCAACATGCTCTGGATACCTAGGGCTTGGCTTAATTAGATGTTACCAGATAGGTTACTATCTTAACATACCTACGGAATGAGATGCCTTCAATGGCATGTAGCTGGCTGCTCATCCAACCACCTGTGTCACGCGCCTTTGTACCTCTATGCATACCAAATTTCTAATATAGCCAGGAGGAAGGTGCTCAAATGGTGTAAAGTAGAGAGAAAGGCTGACATTGCTCGAAGACACACATAGCAATATGAGCCAAAAGGTTTCAAAAGATAGAAATGTTGGTTCCTTACACCATTTAGCCTGAAGGGTTGGGTATTTAGAACCTGGAAATCATTGAATGTAGGGTACAGTGGACCACAGGTGAGAGAGGGTTGCAGATGTAAACTTTCACAGAGTCCTATTTCATTCACTGTGTATTTGGGCAGCCCACGACAACACAACACAACATGTCGTGTTTGTCAACAACAAAGCAATTTCCCTAATTTTTCCCACTTCTCTCACTTCTCTCACTTCTCTCACTTCTCTCACTTCTCTCACTTCTCTCACTTCTCTCACTTCTCTCACTTCTCTCGTCTCTCTCTCCTCTCTCTCCACTTTCACCTCTCTCACCTCTCCCACCATAAGATTCCTACTTCATCGCCGTTGAACCTGTCAATACCTTTCGTTTATGATCATCACAAACGGCTACTTCAATCTGCGTAAGAGAGGCTTGAAAACATCTGATCCCAACATAGCTAACTAATGTCACGCAGCGGCTCTCGTAGAGGGCTTGGTCTTTTCTCTTCATTACTTATCGACTTGTTCGGTAAGTACAGTGTCCTCCCGTCTCGCCGAAACAAGCCAAGGCTCCCAGAGCCCGCTTGCTCTCTTCAGTGAAAATTCTGGTATGTAGGATTGCTTTAGAGTCTCCCTTCATTGTGAACTGGTCTAACGTGTTCACAGCCGGCTCTCGTAGAGAGCTTGGTCTTCTTCTCCGACCTCGTAAGTTGTGTTTAATTGGGAGATACCGAGTTCAAGAGACTGATGATGTTGAAGTGCCGGTTCTCGTAGAGAACTTGGTCTTCTTCCCTTTACCTTGTGAGTAGATTCATCTCAACTCTTCTTTAAGCCTGTCGCTAACTACATCAAAGTGCCGGTTCTCGTAGAGAACTTGGTCTTCTTCCCTTTATCTTGTGAGTAAACCCATCTCAAACCTCCTCTAAACCAGTCGCTAACTGCATCAAAGCGCCGGTTCTCGTAGAGAACTTGGTCTTCTTCCCTTTTCCTTGTGAGTAAATTCATCCCAACTCTTCTTTAAACTAGTTGCTAACTACATCAAAGCGCCGGTTCTCGTAGAGAACTTGGTCTTCCGAAACCTTTGCTTGTGGTGTGTGATTTTTTTTTATCTGGGGCTTAGAACCTCAGCTAATAATTCCAAGTGCGTGCTCTCCCTGGGAGTAAGATTTTCCGCATTAGTGCCGACGAATAACGCCATTTTACCACCAACTCTCTACATAATCGGTGAGAACATATCATCCTATGGATCTAAGATAGTATAGAGAGACCTGACATTCGATGCCCATTATAGACACCGATCCCCTTTTACACAAAATGACGAACAACCAACGTGTCCTCGACAAGTCTTGGTTCGAAGACCCCCATGGGTCAGACGTTCCCCAGTCCCTAATTCCATATTGCAAGACATGGCGTCAATGTGTGATCACGCTGGGTGGCGATCGTGTCTTCTCCACCGCCATGGTCCGGACTCTCCTTGACTCCCAACAACCGCGGCTAGTCATGCGGTTCAAGGGTCCAGAAAAAAGACAAATCATTGTCCCATTCCAAGCATGCCGGATTGAAGCTGGACTGGAAGGCGAGAGCGCCGTAGCCAATGACTTTGTTGGGCAACACCGGCAGCAATACCCCACAGTCCTCAACCCCCAAAGGCCTCTATACTACTTCATTATCCGTTGCCACGAGGAGCCTGTGGTCGTAAGGACTCAGTCCCAGCAAGATAGCGATATCTCACCCGATTTGGAAGCACTCGCCGACATTCAGTGGTGCTCCACGGATGTGACTGTCTGGCTGGAGTGCCACCAGAATGACGCTCGCATCGTGCCTGATATCCTGCGATGGGTCGAGCAACTGAATGGATTGGCCCAACAGCACTGCGATGCCGGGAAACGAAGTCAAGCTTTCTGGTACTACAGAGAGGCCAAGGCTGATGAAAAATCAGGTTGTCGACCACCAATGCCTTGGCTTTTCTCTGGAATGGACCGAAGATCATATAAAGAATGGGAGCCGCAAGACCCCTTTTTTATTGATGACCACGACCGGTGCTGCAGATTGATACAGTCTTCTCTGAATGAGAAAGAGGTGCAACGCCAGATAGTCACCCGCGTCTTTAACCCCAGCCGGCGACACACAGCTTGGATTACGGGGGGGGCAACCGGATGCTACATAAACATCAAGCTCCGGACAGCTGACGGCGAGGATGAGTTCACTGTCCCTGAGATAATGGAGGGCACCGAGGTCAAGTTCCAGCTCGTGACGGACTCTTCCAAGAACTATTCGGACGGGGAGCTGGATTCAACCGGTCGTGTTGTCGATCACGATCCTACTGCCGACCTGACTGTACTCGCAACCAGAGGGGTTCCTTTGCAATACCAGAACGCTGAAGAAGTTGGCATCGTCACTAAGATTCAACCAAATACGGTGCCAATAGAAGCCCAAATAGACGCTCTGCACGAAGCCAGCCGTGTCAAGGTTTGGGGCGATCAGGATGGGAAGGAGAGGCAGGGATTCTCCCTGAAACGAACGCTCCTCGCCCACGGTATCGAGCTTGATCCTCACAACGCTGGGTACTTTATCCTGAACGCAACTCAGATCTCCGAGCTTTCGGGCGAAGAAATCGAGCGGCGTCTGGAGTACATCATGTCTCGATTTCCCCTCGATGAGGCACAGGAACGGGCGTTCCGGACGTCGACGACCCAGATCGTCTGTGGCGTCAACCTCATCCAAGGGCCACCGGGAACTGGAAAGACACGTACGGCCATGGTAATTATCCTAGTACTTGCTTCTCTGGGATTGAAGGTTCTTCTCGCTGCTGGGTCCAACAAGGGCGTCGACAATTTAGCCGAGGCCCTCGTTAAAGCCCTGGAGGGAGACTCGTATCTGCAGGCTTGGTGTGGCCGAGCATGTCGGCTTCGCACACCGGCCCATCAGCTCAACCAATTGCGGAGCAACAGCGCCGATGAGAGTCAATCGAGACAAGCACGCCGTGCCCGAGCTGCGGAAAATCAAACTCTCGAGCGCGTCCAAATGCACAATTTGGTCAGGGACTACGCGTCGACAAACCGCGCCACCAACCCAAAATGCGCCGAGCTGTTGGACTTGATCGAGGTCGATAAGCACCGTCCCCTGTCCAGGGAAGACTTCAAGGCGCTGCGTGCAAGCCATGAGCATAATGTCAGCGGCGTTCTTAAGAGCTGCAGAGTCGTCGCCACCACCCTCAACAATGCATGGCAAGATGTCCTTCGCTGGTCTTCATTCGGGCCTCAGTTCGTCGTCAGCGACGAGGCCGGGCAGTGCCTAGAAGGCGATCAGTGCATCGCACTCACATTTTCGTCTGTGAGAGGCGTGGTCCTTATCGGTGACCCCCAACAGCTTCCGCCGACGGTCATCTCGGAGAACGGGACTAATGAGGGCGCGCAGTACCTCAAGCGGTCGCTCATGTCGCGGCTCTATGCAGCAGGTTACCCCTGTACCATGCTGGATAGAAACTACCGGAATCATAGCCAGATTCTGGAGTACTTCAACCGCAGCGTGTACGGCAGCAAGCTACTGTCAGGCCAAAGCAGTGATGCGCCTGAGAGGGTGGGCAGGGCTTGGGACACCTTCACTCAAGATCGGCACTACTTCCGCAACAGTGGTCTGGTTGGGGTGCGCCGGCTGTTCATCGGCGTCATAGGCAACGCGGAGAAGGCGCCAAATAGTCTGTCCTGGCAGAATGTGTCCCAGGCCCACGTGATCCGACATCTCCTGCGGGAGTTATATCGGTTTCAGACCAGTGGCGGTGACCAGATTGTGCCTGATGATGTCATGATCATCAGCCCGTACAAGGACCAGCAAAAGCTGATCGGGGAGGTCCTTGCTGAGCACGAAATCGCGTACCGCGACAATCTTACGATTGACGCGGCTCAAGGATCGGAGGCGCCTCTCGTCATTTTTTCCATGACCAAGCCGTCTGCCGATGCCCGCAAAGTTGGGTTCATAGCAGACGTGAACCGACTCAACGTGGCGCTCAGTCGGGCGCAGAAAGTTCTTGTGATTATTGGCAATCTCAGGACCTGGAATGCGCAAGCCATCAAGGAGCTGAAGGCCAATGCGCATAGGCGGAACCGGTGCTTGATCGGGCGCCTGGAGGATGTCACTGCAAGGCGGCATACGCTCACATGGGCCGATATCCGCACCGTGAGCGAGACGGACCCCCCAGGAGGAAGGCCAGTCCAATATCTCTCGCACGACCGAATGATCCGGCCCCCCCATCCCACATTGGCACCGTCAATTCCCGTGCCCCCCTGGACCGCTCCCCAGGCCCTTCCTCCCCCCCGCTCTCGTGCCCCTCCTCCCCCCCAGTCCCCTCCCCCTCCTCGCTCCGACGCCCCTTTACCCCGGGTTCGCTTGCCTTCGGCTGATCTCTACGGGCCCTCCGCCGTTGGTCCGTTAGCAGCTCGTGCGGGGCCCCCGACCGAGGAAGAAGACGTGGAGATGGGTGAAGCAGGCCAGAGCCCTATGCCGACTACATCGCCGCCTCACCCCGCCGATAGCCCATCCATGCGCTCTTTGGCCCGCCATTCAATCGAACACCAGCCAAGGTCTCGTTCCCCCACTCCCAGCGGCCAACATGGGTTCCACGAATATAGAGAGCGACCGAGCCCCTACCCACACGACCAGCACGACCAGCATCCGCTGGAAACAGTGGAGCCTTCCGACGACGTCCGAGCTGCTAGAAGGGAACTTGCGGAGATTGATGAGGCGATTATAGATCTTGAGAGGCGACGCCTCGAGCTGAGGAGACATCAAGACTTGCAGCGATTGCGGGATGCTGAGAGAAGAGACAAGAATCGCTAGAAGTTTGTCTCGTGTTCCTTCTTTTTGTTCTGTCTAGTAGAGAAATGTTCTTTCCCCGCCCAATAACACACCTGAGTTTTGTTCTTCAGTACATTCCACGTGGTACGCTGTAATTCCGGGATATCTCCGATTGCTTCATTTCTGCGGGACAGGCGCTGAAGCTACCTGCAATTGCGTATGTCGTCAGGACACTCCGGATATCAAGATATGTAGCTTCATCCTAGTATTATGTTGGAAATCATTGGCATGGAAACGCAATATCCATATATTCCCTTGACTGGCCCCCGATTTACTACTCTTGCGCGTAGGTGGTAGCGGTTGCTCTCTTGATTGGAGACAGCTTTTGATTTCGGTGATCCCTGCCCCCTCCCCCAGCATGTCGTGTCTCCAACCCATAGAAGCGAATGCAAGATCCACGCGAGGGACCGTCATTAACGATGCAGTGGGCTTCATAAGTAAAAGAATAAAGCTTGATAACCCTATGTTAACCCTGTACTAGAGGAGAGGTATCATTGAAAATATCACAGGTGGTAAATCAGGTGCGAGGACAAATAACGACCGGTCCTTAGATTTGCAATCTCCACAAAGAGCAATCCCTACAGAATCAATAGCACAGCAAATCTCTCTGTTTTACAACTTTCGAGAGAGTTTCATCCGTGGAATATACAGGGCCAAGGAAAACACCCACACAGCGTTCCTTACCATCACCTTGGCCAGATTTTGAAGGCTGTAGGCATACGCCAGTCAAACCCATGGTCCATCGCCTTGAGATTGCAGATAGCTCCTGCAGCGTCGTTTCCGATTGCCGACGGTATCCCCAGGCGCTCGCCATGAGCCCTCGGGCGGTTTCCAAACACCGATCCACCAATGAAACCCCCAACAAACATTTCAAGCGTCCGTACGAAGGAGCAAATGGCCGCTGTGGGAGTCAGACCCGTGGGGTCCGAGAGGGCTTGAAAAGTGGTGTTCAAGGCCGACATATTCATGTCATGTCCGGCTCCCACAGCACCCAATATAAAAACCTATTCGGTAAAGTTGTCTCGCTATTCAACAAGATCAAGCAGCCTGTTGACATGATGGTCACGAGCTAGGCGGCCCATAGTGCCAGTTGTGTTACCCTGTTCTCTCTCTACCTGTGGCTATGCTCAGCGTTTCCATCCTTTAGCGAGGGCAGAGGATGAGCTGCGGGTTGAAATTCCGCAGCACATGGGAAACCTGTGGGTATTGTAGGTGTCAAAATGATCACGGCGATGTGGGGATTATGGTTTTAGGTCTGATCACCGCAAGGACCATGCGGAGGCAGAGGCCGACCCACTGAACCAATGTGATCTTAGCTAGACGGGTGTCTCGGCTACGATTCCCTGGAGCCCCGGCCGAAGTGCGCGACACACGCCACAAGCTTGATATTCAAACGACACGGAGAGCAACCACCCGGACAGTTGGTGGCCCAAAGCGTTGGAACATGGCCCATGCGCTGGATAATTCTAGGGGGGGGAAAGTAATGGCACCCGCCATTCAAACGGTTCAAGCATTATGAGCTTGCGAGCTCTCGCGGAGGCGTCGATATTTCTCGAATCATAATCATTCAGCTAGCGCTCCTGCTCGCCAGGCGACGCCACTGCCAAGCAGACCCTGCAATGTCATTGGAATAGGCGGAGCTCATCTTCCGACAGCACCGTGCCAAATCCAGTAAGGTCAATAATAAGATTCCGAATGCAACGGCAGTCCAATCTGGAGACAAGCTACTTGGGGGATTACGCCTGAGTCACAACTGCTGTTCGTGTTGCCCCCTTGCGTGGCGTTCTTCGGTGGTTTTGTACAGGGGCGAATGGTATTAATCACAAGACATGGCACCTACTCTATTATCAACGCACTACAAAACAAGCTGGGGAATGTCTCAGTTGAGACTGGTGGTCCGAGAACGCGTCGAATCATCCCTAGACGGGAAGCACAATGGGGCCTTGGCAGGACCCTCGCGGCGGTATTGGCCATGACTAGCTCTGGCAGGATCTGACAGGATTCGAGCATGACTTTGAACCCGGGGATGTCGGACCGGGCAACCGATGCAAGGTCGAGAAAACCTGGGGTAGTTGGCCGAGGGAATGAGACTAGAGAAGAGACAATCCGGGGTTGATTGGCAGGTTAGCTTCGGCTACGCTAACCATCTCACCACGTTGCTAACCCCCTCCTCAAGTCATGCAATATAGGATACAGATTTGACAAGGCCATAACGTTCTCGGCCAGGTAAGGTAGCTAGCTGTTCAAGACGTGCGAAGACCAAATGGTGGCGCCCACCGCGACATATAAAACCTACGTTCCCTGCTCAAGGAATCATGGATCCCAGCTTGCGACTTGAGAAGCCATTCCCCCGATACTCTTGGGAAATCTAATCGACAGTTCAGAGCAGAATGGGTAAGGCCGAGGAGACCATCGTGGGTGCCACCGAGCCCCAGCCACATTTTCCGGTCGTGGCGGAGGGAACTGGCAAGACTGCGGGCAATGAAGGTGCTACCAGCAAGGAGGTGTACAACGTACGTTTTGTCCCGGCCGATCGTCAGGGTACAGGATGACGCTAATTGTTCTCCGTTAGGCCGAGCTGTATGCGGCGATCCAGGAATCCAATATCCCGAGATGGAGCAGGGCAGCCATACATCTGTACCGTGAGTGTACCTCTCCAGTGCCCCCTGGGTGGGCCATGACATGTCGTGTCTGACAATCTTATCAGTATGTGTGTTCATCGCATTCTGCTGTGCGTGCGCCAACGGCTATGATGGTTCCCTGATGGGGTCGATCACGGTCATGCCGCATTTCAAGTCGGTCATGCACAGTGAGAATGACGGGTGGAAGGTGTCTGTTATGACCTCTCTGTATTCAGTGTAAGTGCACACCGGTCCCCTTTCTGCCACTTGATCGTCGCATCTCATAGGCAGTCTCTAATGAGGTTAGGGGTTCGATCATCACCACCCCTTTCGCCGCCGCCGTCAGTGACCGATGGGGTCGCCGAGCCGGAATGATCTCCGGAGCCGTGGGCATCATCCTGGGCAGTGTCATTGCAGCCAGCGCCTTCAGCCTCGCTCAGGTCACCGTCGGCCGTCTAGTGCTCGGCTCCGGGATTCAGTTCATGACGGTCGCCGCGCCAGCCTACTCCATGGAGATTGCTCCGCCTCAGTGGCGTGGTCGCTGCACTGGGTTTTACAACTGTGGATGGTTCGGAGGCTCGATTCCCGCCGCCCTGGTTACTTTCGGGTGCCAGTACATCGACAACACCTGGTCGTGGCGGATCCCGTTCATCGGCCAGTGCGTCGCCTGTTTCATTGTTCTGGGCGCCGTGGCGTTCATTCCCGAGTCTCCTCGTTACCTCTTTGCCCAGGGCCGGGAGGAGGAAGCCATCGAGTTCTTGGTCAAGTTCCACGGCAATGGCGAACGCAGCTCGCGCCTCGTCCAGCTGGAGATCGAAGAGATTCGCGAGAGCATCCGACAAGAGATGCAGGATAAGGCGATCCCCTGGTGGGATTTCCGCTGTCTCGTCGACAGCCACGAGAGTCGCTGGCGGTCCACGCAGGTGCTGATGATGGGAGTCTTTGGCCAATTCTCGGGCAACGGGCTGGGATACTTCAACCCGGAAATCTTCAACAAGCTGGGTGTCAAGTCCACCTCGCAGCAGCTCGGCTACAACGTGCTCAACTCGGTTCTTTCCGCGATCGGCGCGGGCACCGCCGTGTCCCTGACGGACCGCATGCCTCGCCGTCCGGTCCTTGTGTACGGCACCTTCCTGTCGGCGGTGATGTTGGCCATCAACGGTGGTGTCAGCCGCGTCTTTGGGGCCGACCATAGCAATGCGAACGCCGGTCGCGCCGCGCTCGCCTTCTACTTCTTGTTCAATGTCGTCTATTCGTTCGCCTACACTCCGCTGCAGGGCGTTGTCCCCGTCGAGGCCCTTGACACCCACCGACGCGCCAAAGGCCTGGCCTTTTACGGCTTCCTGACGGGCTGCCTGGGCTTTATCAACACCTTCTGCACCCCGATCGCCAATAAAACCATTGGGTTGAACTATATCTGGGTGTTTGTCGGTTGGGACTGCGTCGAAGCCGTCCTTTGGTATCTCTTTGCGTAAGTCTATCCCCTTCTCCTTTCTCTCTCAGACGGTCCGCGTTTGCTAACTAGATTCAGTGTTGAGGGCCAGGGACGTACCCTCGAGGAGTTGGAATGGGTCTACAAGCAACCTAACCCGGTCAAGGCCTCACAACGCGTCGACAAGGTCGTCCAACAGGCCGACGGCACCGTCACCGAGAAGGTTGTCGACCATACTATTTAGGACCCTCCACTCTGCCTTGCTGAGATGGATCGGACGGACGAATACTGGAGTGTGGACCAAGGATCAGAGAAGTGATTGGTCAATAGGGGGGAGGGATACGAATATATTTTCTAATACCACCGCGAGAGCTCTGTCTATCTCGTGAACTTCAATCTTCTTGCAGCGCTTTCTTCCAGTGTCACACGGTGAACTACCGGGATGGACCAAATCTAACGTAGCGTACCGTCGTGCGATCTCTGGGGTGGCGTTCAAGACGTGTGTTTGTGGGAAGTCGAACGCAACTAGAATCAATGCGATCGGTCAGTGGGAGAAGTGTGATTCTGTCACCTGAGCCAAGAGAGAATCGTCTGGACTTCAATTTGGACTCATCGGAACCTCCTTCTCCATCCATCCTCCATATTCAACCACGCCCAATTGATTTCAGAGGAGATATGTTCGACAGTCGGCGCAGGTGCCAGCGATCCGACTCGGGGCCCAACAGAGCTGCCCCAAGCGGAACTACTATTACTATAGTGGTGTCCGTGGAATGGAATCATAAGTGGAGGTACGTTTCTTCATATTTTGCTTAAAGCACATCAAATTACGACAACTAGCTCATTAACCACCCACGGCAACACCATGGCCAAAGAGTCTCTCCCATTTCATTAACATTGCCGCCGCAAACATGACGGCTCCAGCAACGGGAACCAACACAAACGTCATACGCATTGCCTGCGAGATGGCATCGATTGCTCGGTCCCGTAGTGGACCCTCCAGCTCCTCAAACAATGCGCTCTGCGTGCCCGCCACCGCGCTCCAAATCTCGTCGTACGAGTATCCGTGACCAGCCAGAGCAGACTGCAGATTTGCAATAGCCCGCGATCGGTAGATCTGTCCTGCGAGAGCAAGTGCAATGACTTGGCCACCAATCTGGGCAACATTCTGCATTTTCAGCGCGGCGCCGGTGTCTTCCGGCTTGGTCGTCAAGGTGGCAACTGTATAGCCAATAACCATCGACAGGCCACTTCCTACTGCAGCGAGAATTGAAAGCCCATAGATCGTTCCGGTCATCGTGCTGGGTTTCAAATAAGCCACCATGGGTCCACCGCCGACCAGAAGAAAAACGCTGGCGAGAAGGAAGATGATCTTGTAGAGCTTGATGAAATGGAGGAGCGAGCCGGAGACCAGATTGACCGCGACGGCGATGACGACGAATGGCAGGAGACGCACGGCTGCCATCAGAGCGCCATCGCCACTCACAAACTGGAAGTAGATGGGGAGGTAATAGACGATGACGAATACGGAGGTGGTTCCAGCCGCTGTCACGGCGTACAGGAGCACCTGTGTACGATCGCGCAACAAGTGCCCCGGGAATGCGCGTCGAGCGGGGGTGGTAAAGATAGCGAAGTATTGCTGCAGGGCATAGAGTGCGAGGAGGACGCCAAATACAACAAAAGTGGCAATTGTGCGTCCATCGTTCCATGGCCATTGCCCCCCGGCCATTGTGAACGCGAGGAGAAAGCTCACCCACATGCCGGCCCCCAGAACAAAGCCGACAAAGTCGATGGAAGCCAGCTTTTCTTGCCTGGGAACATCTGGCATGAGACAGATTGATGGGAGACAGAGAATAAATGCCGGGGCGGAGACGGCACCGATCACCAAGTTGATGTAGAAGGCCCAGCGCCAGGTCGCTGCGGACACGGCGAAGGCGCCACCGATCAGAGGCCCCAACACGCACCCAAGGCCCCAGAAAACGGCGATGAGAGCCATATAAAGACCCCGTTCCTTCTCCACTGTCATGATCGCAAGGTATTGTAGTGATCCCAGGTAGATACCGCTTCCACCAGCGCCGGCGATGACGCGGCCAATAATCAGAGCGTTCATATTTGGGGCAGCGCCACAAAGCGCCGACCCCACCTCAAACAGCACCACGGTAGCAATGTAGACCCATTTCATGTTGAAGGTGTTGAAAAGGGTGCCGAGTAGGAGAATGACGCATACTGAACCCAATGGGAAGCCGGCTCCGATCCAGGAGAATTGGTCGACATGACCGAATGCGGCGACGACAGGGCCTTGGACATCGGCAGCGATTGTGGTATCCAGTCCATAGAGGAAACAAGTGATGTAAAGGGAAGCGCAGATCACGATCCAATTGATGCCGCGGATCTTTCGTCCTTTGGACTCCGGTTCCTCGATGTGCCCATCTCGGGGCAGCTCCCGCTTGCCCAACTCAGGGTCTGGAATAGATGCCATCTAGTCAAATTGGGCTCAGGTATTGAGGAGAAGTGGAAAGGTCAACGTAGTATGGAAAATGTAGTCGAAATTCTGTGGGCATATAGTACAAGTATACTCGTCATTTATATCGTTTTCGTTCTGTTTCCCTCCATGAGTCGAACCGTTACCTTTTCGCCTTGTGTGCGATCCTTCGGAGACATGCTGTATGTCTTTGTCAATCATATATTACCAATTAGCCAAGAAGCAGGGGTATATGTCTCCGAAGGAACACTATCTACGATCAACCAGCAAGGCAATGATATCACTGGCACTTTCTGCCCCTGTTCTTTGGTAATCACGGTGCAGGGTCTCCACTTTTTGGCATAGAGTACCTTCCGATGAGGGCTTAATGCTTATGGCCAAGCATAGGTATAGACTAATTGAACGTGATTGCAGCGCTATTCTAGAAAGACCTTAGGGTGATTACAAATTAGAAGAAGTTTTATCTCAGCTAAAAATCATGCCGATGGTCGGACCAATATGGCTCCGAGTGCTTACAATATTCTGCGATACACGCGCGCTTTGCTGAATTGCCGACACCAGCGGCCGTGATGCTGCCCCAAACCCGCACGCAGTTGATCGGGGATCATATCTCATTTGGAGAGGTTCGCAAGGTTCGCGTAGAGCCCTTCCACATCTTCTAGGAATTAGTTGGCTCCCAGTCCTTGGTATAGGGCCCTTGGATGAGCGACATCACGACATGACCGATCAAAACGGCCCGACCCTTGAGGTACGTGGGCCAGGGTTCCTAGCCACGGGCTTGGAAAAGCTCAATTTGAGACATGCGACTATTTTGACATTTTTCGTTAGCTTCAAAAAGAACAGCCATTGGATTCGGCACTGAAAATTGATCCATAGGTGGATACTTTCCCTGGCTACTCAGCCAATATCCCCCTGATGGACGTGTCGATTCACCTTTCCGGAACTCAGATGCATGAAAGTCTCCATTGTATCAGGCAGGCTTCTCAGCCCTGACTTTTATACTGTGTGATCTTCCGGTCCCGCATAATATCACATTCGTCCTCGTTGTCATATATACTCCGAGCATGCGGAGGAGCCCCAACTTGGGGTGATACGCGTGCTTTACGGCAGTGGAGCCCCTTCAACGCTTGTCTATGGGGCCTCGGAAGAATCCCAGCAGTGGGGACTAATTCCCAGGGCAAGTGGTTTGAGCAAGGCTTTTGAAAGTGTTGGAGAAGAATCTCGTGTGGTGGGGCTTTTCAACGACGAGTACTGGCAAACGCGACTAGAAAATCATCAACACCTTCCAACACCTTCCAACACCTTATCTGAGACACCACGAGCTTAATCATCTTGGCGCGTTATGGAACTGTTGAAGGACGGAATGCGGACAGCGCCTTGATCTCTGGTCTGCTTCGCGTGTTCCAATCCGAAATCCGGGCTGCCAGTTGTCTCAATTGACATGGATGCAGACGACTTTGACATCAACAACATTGGCCTTACTGGACTCGCGCCCTCCATAGCAGACCAGGGAAGCGGACAGTATCAAGAATCGTGGACTTTTCTAGCAGGACGGCTCCCTTTGGGTGAATCATCATGTACTCAATGCAGGATTCCACTCGCAACATGGCATCAGCCACCAGATCATCTATCCAGAGCTATTGCCCTTTCTCGTCATCGAGCTGTCCGTGGTGCTTCCGGGGTTCCGGGTCTACTCAGCCATTTGTACTTCAAACCGTATGTGAAGCTATTCGTACAACAATGCACGGATCTCACTCATCAAGCGCGTCGCCGAGGACGCCTAGGGACACTCTGCCTCTTCCGCAGATGCTCCAGATGAAGTATCCAAGACACTTCCACGTCTATCCGTTCCACGTTCGACGCCACTATTTAGGTGAGCTACACAATGGCTTACGTCAAGCATCACCATACTCGACCTTCTAGACCACAGTGAGCATCAGGTCTCCGGCGAAGAGTATCACTGGCAAAGGGTTTAGTGCGAAAGAATAGAGTCCATCCACCGGGCGCAACTCAGTCCATCTTAACCTTCGATTCATAATGAGTTTGGCACAACCGGTTTTGAATGGGGAGAATACGATTTGAATGATCAAGTTTCTTGTACACAGTTTGGTACCAATTGCCCATAATTCATTGCATATGATGGAGGACCTGAGCAGGTGTGATGTATTCCATGAGTTGTATTGATATTGGGGTGGATACCAAAATGCTGTTCAAGATTTCGGTGCGGTGGCGAAGTCTTGTTGGAGTGGGATATGTATTCGATTGATACTCCGTCCTGGTGACTGAATCATTTTGCGGTGATATTGTTCGGCAGTTGATCGAGGTACTTGACTCCGTGAGGTGGGACTGGGTGGGGTCAAAGATGATGCCATGAATTGTCACTCTGTGGTCCGGCTCCACATCCAGGGATGCTTCCGGCATGGCGAACGTGCTAACCAGCCTACCGCGTGGACGAAAAACAGGATCAGGTAAAAAAAAAAGATATCTAGTGTTGCTCGGCATGTCCCTCTTATGGATGCACGAATGTCGCCTATGTGGATCGACCCTGGTCTCATTCGCCACCGTCCTGCTAGTTTATTAAGCGGCTATATTCAACGTCCATCTTTCGAACGGATTCATCTGGGATCTTTCAAGTCTCGGATAAGTCGGCAGGCCCCACAAACCAAGAAGCTTATGCCATCGGATCGTTGCATTATTCATGATCCACGCCCTTTGTCAGATTGATTCACCGGGTGGAAAGAATTATATATCTACATCTAGCCCCGCCTCCATGCACACGCAGAAGATCTGCCTGACACTCATCGCCATCGACCCTGGACCATAATGCCATCAGAGGGATGGAATGGTGCCGAATCCACCCACAGCAACGAAGAGAAACCCAGAGTCTCCGGTAACGCCGAGGGACGCTTATCGTCAGAGACCTCGCGATGCTCCATTTCATCGACTGTCGACCATTATGACCCCCATCTACATACCCTGCGGTCGCGCCGGACCGAACCCGACTTGGAACGCCATCCGACAACCACCTCGGGCGCGCTGAGTCGGATTGAAACCCAACGGTACCAGCATGCACTCACCGTCGGAGAAGGCATCAAACACCGCCCATCGCAGGTTGCCCTGCCTCCGTTTGGCGGCGGCAAGCCCTATCCCCCGCCGTTGCCAGCGAGGGAGGAGTATGTCGTCGAATTTGACGGGGCAGAGGACCCCATGTACCCTCAGAATTGGCCAACCTGGAACAAGTACGGTCATATCTTTCCCTTACATCTGTATATACATATCCTGGATCTTGAACTAAGTAAACGATTATAGGGTCTACCTCAGCGCCATTCTCGCCTTTACCAGTGTCTCCTCGACGTTTGACTCGGCCATCTTCAGCGCGTCGGCCAACAATATCTCCAAAGTGTTTGGCGTCGGGTCTGTAGTGGCCAGTCTCTCCAGCACTCTCTACATCGCCGGGTATGCGTCAGGCCCCTTGGTCTGGGCGCCTCTCTCAGAGCTCAAAGGTCGCCGCCTCCCCATCCTCTTGGGGATGCTGGGATTTGCCATCTTCAATACGGGCGTCGCTGTCGCCAAGGATCTACAAACGCTCATGGTGTGCCGGTTCTTTTCCGGCGTCTTTGGCAGCTCGCCGCTAGCCGTCGTCGCCGCCGTCTTCTCGGACATTTACAGTAATCGAACGCGCGGGGTGGCGATCGCCTGCTTTTCCAGCACCGTCTTCCTCGGTCCACTCCTCGCCCCGTTCATCGGGGGCTTCATCAACATGTCGTATTTGGGGTGGCGATGGACGGCATGGATCCCCGCCTTCATGGGCTACGCGTCCTTTGTCTTGAACGCCCTCTTCCTCCGCGAGTCGTATCCACCCGTCGTTCTTATCGAGAAGGCCGCGGAGCTGCGACGGCACACCAAGAACTGGGGCATCCACGCCAAGCAGGAGGAAATCGAAGTCGACCTGCGGGGACTGCTCGTCAACAATTTCTCCCGCCCGCTCCGGATGCTGTTCGGCGAGCCCTTGATCTTGGCCGTAACCGTGTACTTGAGCTTCATCTACGGGCTCCTGTACTGCTTCCTGACCGCCTATCCGCTCGTGTTCCAGGGGGTACACGGGATGAACCCGGGCGTCGGCGGGTTGACGCTCTTTGGCATGGTGGCGGGCCTCTTCATCGGAGGGGCCTACATCATCATCTCCAATCGGTGGTACAATGAAAAGCTTGACGCGAACGGGGGTGTACCCATTCCGGAATGGCGACTGCCGCCGGTGGTCATCGGCGGCGTGCTCTTCGCGGCGGGGTTGTTCTGGTTCGGCTGGACCGGGTTCACCAGCGACATCCCGTGGATTGTTCCCACGCTGAGCGGGCTCTTCACGGGGTTCGGGTTGTTGATCATCTTCATCCAGCTCTTCAACTATCTCATCGATACCTATCTCATGTTGTGAGTGTTATCCTTTTCCATTGATGTTTGGCCAACTGTCTAAATCTGATACTAATGTGATGCAATCGCAGTGCGGCTTCCGCCATCGCAGCGAACACCTTCTGTCGGTCGTTGGTCGCGTCGAGCTTTCCTCTCTTCTCGCGTCAGATGTTCACCCACATGGGGATCCAGTGGGCGGCTACACTGCTGGGCTGCGTCGCTGCAGTTCTGGTGCCGATTCCCATATGCTTTTTGCTATTTGGGAAGAAGCTACGCCGGCGAAGCAAATTTGCGCCTCTTTGTGAGAAGGTCGAAGAGCCGCCGCATGAGGAAGGTGATCCCTCTTTCCAGCAGCCGGTTGAGAAGTAGACTTCTTTTCCAGTCTCGAGTCTCGAGATGACACTTTCTCAACAAAAAGCCCGGTATGGAACGGGCAGTAAAAAAAGTTTAGATATCCTTCACTGCATAATAGCATTACATAATAGCATCAATCATTATTACATAGAGCCAAAAATTCATGCATTATATCGAGGAGAGCAGGTCACGAGCAGACACCATGTATTCAATCTGGTCAATGAAACCACCCATGGACAGCGGGGAAAAGGTCCAACAATGTATCCATGGATGCTGACGGGCATCCACCCACACCCGTGGATGGGGAATGTGGATATCCAGGAACAAACAAGCCACACTCGGCAATTGCGGTCTGTAGATCTGCCGATGGCACCGGCGCGTAGAACCTTGTGAACGATGCATAACCGGCCTACCGTTGGACAATCCAATTTCGACTTAAGTTTTCTATTTGGTTGAAATAGACTATAAATCCAAGTTCTCTGTACTTCGTAGCTTGACTGGGATAAGCCGCTTCGTGCCTAAGTACTGCCCATGGGAATTGACCGGGATATAAATAAACGGCTTATATATATTATGCTCGGCCCGAGTGTTGACACTAAATATGGAATCTCCATAGACAAATGACCGCCGGACCTCGATTATATTTGCTCGAAAGGTTGAACATCTGATTAGTACTATTGGATTTCATAAAGAAATCAACTACATATGAGCACCTTCGCGATGATAGACCGCACCCACCGGTCGATATTGTGTAATGACAGTGCGAGGAGCAAAACTTCGACTCCTGGTATTGACAACTGTCGAGAGTGGACATACCGGAGCTTTTATGTGGAGGCATCTTAGGCTGCGCATAGAGGGTTAATCGATTTAATGAGTATCCAAGGTGTCTCGTACGACTTGTTCATGCTTTTCCCTGTGGGAAGAACCTCTTGTTATACTGGAGTCTTCTGAATGACAGCTTGAACTCCAATATCTAGGCTTGATTAATACCTACGGCGTATTACTTTCCCCGACCACTGTTTAGAGTGGGGTGATATAGCTTGGCCCGTCGTTCGGCTATATCACGATCAAGACATCAACGCCAAACAAGTAGCCAAGACGGATGCTTATACTTTGGGTGGGGATATCCTCGTTTGGCCGGATGTGATTTGTTGCATCCATCGGTTTTCATGTCCTTGGATCCACAGGGCGGTGTCTTTCTCATCAACAGTGGAACCAACGGGATCGGATACGACGGATGATGAAGACTAGAATGCCAGGGCTCCAGCTCCTATGTTCCACGTCTGTCATCCCTTGCTGTGTGCATGTGTGCAAGGGATGCAGCATTGGTCCTACAGAACGGCTGGCTGAGTTCCCTACCTACAAGAGACCAGCGATTATGTCTCCGGTTGCGACCAAAAAAGGCCCGATAACCATGACCCAGACCTCGGTGCCTCGACTGACCATAATTTATCTGGTCGAATTGAGGGCCAACAGGGTGGGGCCCATTCCCGGCATCTGATCGGGAATGCAAGGCACACTGGACTACACTGGACTTGGGTTAACAGGACGGAGGATACAAGCCGCCGCGGCACGAGCAATCCTATGTCCACCCTAGGATAATAATCACAGCTACAGATGGAAAAGCGCCAGGCGTGAGAGGAGCAAGGATAGTTGTCCAGTATGGTGGGCAGAGAACGTGCATTGAAGCAGGCATAACAGTGGCAGATATTTCCATCCCCTAGTGCTAGATTCACCAACCAGTCAATCAATGCTCTTCCAGATACCCCGTCAGCTTGAATCGAGTAATTTTTGGAATGCCGGTGCCTGGCCGAATATCAAAGGCCGATAGGCCTTGTCATCCAATCAAGAACGGTCTCGGGGGCGGGTGCTCAGAGAAACGCTAAGGCGAGGCTTTGGGGCTGTGCTGATTTGTGTTCAGCGGTCTTGCTGCTTCTCCGCGTCTGCTCGACCAAGGTTCTTCTCATCGTCAACAACAGCACCCGAATCATGTCGTCCTGGTTCCCCACCGAGTACGGCGAAGACTACCAGCGGAAGTCCCTCTGGTTGAGAGCCGGAGCCCTTTGCTGCAGCTCTCTGGGCTTAATCCTACTAGTGACGCGTCATGTCCACCCGTTCACCCTCCTGGTATGACAAACCGTACGGCTCGCAAGCTACGATGATCGCAAAAGGCTAATGGAAATCGATCCGATCTAGTTTGCCCTCCCGGTAGTCTGGTCAATAGCCGACGGCAGGCTGCTCGGGCAAGGGCGTGCCGCCCATTCCCTGGTCTATGTTCTTCTCGATTTCCTCTGCGCCCTTTTCTTCGTCTGGAACATTCCCGTGACGGTACTTGCTGGCGTGGTGCAGTGGAGTTTCATTACCATCGTCATGGCCATGTTTTTCTCCGCCGCTGTGTACGGCATTTCCCCCTCCGTCTGGGTATCAACACCGACACTGACAAGGACTTACGGTAGATTCCTCCATGGCTTAATCTTCCTCCGCGCGGCTGTGAGACTGTTGGAAGAGTCACGATTATTCGGTCGCGGTAACGGTGTTCAGCTTCCGACCTGAACAACCACTCGTTATAATGAGGGCATTGTGGTGGGGCCCACCCATCTGTGGCGGAGCTCGGACAATCATCCATCGACTGGAACGGGGCTCCACAGTAGGACAAGGACTAAATTCCCCAGACAGGTGAAACTAAATGCAACACCTGCTCTGTCAGCGCTCCCCAACGAGAATGTCCTTCCCCACTCGGCTGTTTGTGCCGTGGTGTTGTCGGACCTGGATCCGCCTCGTTTGGAAGAGGACTCGATGTTGTGGCGATCACGGTTGTTGTATACTCCTAGATACACAAAACCCCACCCCGGTGGATGATATCCCGGAAGACCATCCTGATAGTTCAAATGGTTGTAATGCTCATCGCGGGTGTGGTGTTTGCGTGATTGGCGTAGACTGCCAATCAACCGCTCGAGCGATGAGTGATGGATGGCGGCCACTCACGTGCCCGGGCCGTCGGGCCTTCTGTAAACTCGGATGTTGTTTCATCATCTCCTGATCGAACTGCCTCTTCACCTCAACTTCCCATCGCCTCCCTTCTTCTTTGTATCATCATTTCACCCCTTTCCATCATTAGTGTGCGATCAATCTATCAGACTCGTGTCCTCACGCCGGTTTCCTGATCAAATCTTCTCTACGCGGTGGGAAAAAGATGAACCATCGTAAAACATGTTGGTATTGACAATCTATTTACATCACTTCGTACCTTAACTAATCCTCCTGAATGTAGGATTGCAAGGGGTTGAGGTGCATCGTGGTCTCATCGACCGGATACTAATGCGGATGCGGGAACGGGATGCGTGCGCCCTGGGCCTCTTCCGCCGGCCAGCCCTGGAGCGTCAGGCCGTCGTCGACATGATCGCCCGATAACACCAGGGTGTGTTCGAGAAGACAGGCGTCAGAGCCCATGCTCGCGGCCGATAGCAGTCGAGTACCAGACCGCATGACACTCCGATCACCCACGCTCAGGGGGTGCAGTTCGAAGTCGCCGCGCGAGTTCAGATGCGCAACCAAGCTGGCGTCGTCCACGGCCACCCGGTCACCGAGGGTCAGCAGATCTGGCTCCGTAATGGGGAGACTGGGGTTCCCGTTGGCGTGGATGGCACAGTCGCGTCCGATGTTGGCTCCCAAGGCACGCAGGTAGATGACGAGCCAGTGGGTGCCGGTCAGGAGGCCCAAGACCCCGCTGCGCCCGTAGCATTTCTTGATCAGCCGTTCCACCGCGAGGTAGGCCTGCCACCGTTGGTTGTAACTGCTGCGGTCCCAATGGTATTCGCCTTCCTGACGACGCCCCATGATCGCCCATTTGCCCGCGATCACAACGACCATGGCGATCACGGCCTGGACGATACTCGTGGCCGCCATGCTAATCCCAAGGATGCCAAAGACCGCAGCCGGCCGCCAGCGGGCGTCCGCGGTGTCCGCCAGTTTGGACTCCAGGGTGTGCGCCAGGATCACGAGACTGGCGACGGTGCCAAGAGTCCAGTAGACCGCGATCGAGCCGATGGAGAAGACCGAGTAGCACATGATTTCGAACTGAGATAGGACGTGATAGTCGGCCTCGCCGTCGTAAAAGGCGCGCCCGAACGGCGATTTGGTGGGCTTTTCGTCCGTGACATCACCGGCGCGGGGGATCTGGAAAGATTCGCCCTTCTTGCTGCCCACCCAGATGGTGCCGGGGGCATAGTATTGGTTGCGACGCATCAAGGCCCCGGAACCGACCATGACGCGCTCGCCGATGTCCGTTCCGGGCAGGAGAACCGTGCGGTCCGCCACCATGGTGCCGTCGCCGATTCGGATGCGATCCTGTCCGTATCCATCCGCCGTGACCATGAACGAGCGCGATCCGAAGACGACGTCGTTGCCAACCTCGAACAGGTCTAAATCACCGACCGAGGGCCCGTTGCTGGGCCAGTAGATGCGCTTGCCGACCTTGGCCCCGAGGGCCCGCATCAAGATGGACACGCCCTCGTAGTGCACCCCGAATAGCTGGGTGACCCACTGCAGACTGCCGGAGGGAAGAAGCTTCTTCATCATCCCGCGACGGACCCGTTGGCGTTGGGACTCGGTCGCCGTGGGACCGGGTTGGGGACGCCCGCAGATGGTGTTGAACACCTTCCGAAGGATGATGACGGCCATGAGGGCGAAGAGGGGTCCACCGAGGGTGTTGGAAACACGAGCCACAATATGATAGGAGATTCGACTCGGGCTGGCGTACCACGTCGCGGACTGGAGCACCACATCCCCGCCCGGGGAAGGATAGTTGCGGGCGATGGGGATGATACCAAACGCCCACGGGACGCGGCGGATGAGAGTGACAATGAACGCGATGGGTTCGATGACGAACATCGTCCAGAACCAGTGGCATTCGGGTAGGGGGGTCGGAGGCGAGTCGGCGGTCTTCTCGTTCGGCTTGGGGATCTCCCAGCTGGAGGAGTTGGGTCCCAACTGGGTGTACGCGGGCAGGTCGGCGCCGGGGGCAAGGATACTCTTGAGGCCGACAGTGCTGTTGGGACCGACCCGGATCCTGCCTAGGAGCATACTGGTGTTGGTCTCGACGGCGAACGGACGGATGATACACTGCGCCACTCTCACCCCGTCGCCCAATTCGATCAAGTCGTATTCACCCAAGGATGCTTTCTCGTCGATCTCTACGTTCCGTCCGATCTTGGCGCCCAAGCAACGGTAGTAGAGAAGCCGAGTCCAGTTCCAGCGGCTGAAAATTCCCTGTGGTTTCCCAATGTTAGCATCATTCGCGGGCACGGAAGAGAACCGGGGGGCGGGGGGTGCGCGATTTGCTCGCCTACCTTTCCACCAACTTGGACGGCCTTTTGCGTCAGCCACCAGCGGGTATGATAGAGCCCCCACATCGGGTAGAGGCCCTGTTGGTACCGCCCGATCAGGAGCCATTTGATCATGATGGCACCGATCGGGCCAGCGATTTCGGTCGCCAATTTGGAACCGGCGCCAACGAGACCGATATGGATGACGCGAACGGCCACGGAGTTTTTGAGGCATTCCAAGTCCTTGGTCTCCGAGATGAGGTAGATGAAGGTCGTCCACAGAAGGGCGTGTTTGAGAGGGAAAAAAAACATGATGGGGATCAGCTGCACCATCAGCAAGAAAGGGTTGGTCGAGCTGTGGGTTTTGTTGACCTGCGGTGGCCTGACGCCGGCGTCCTCGCCGTTGCTGTTCTGCTTCTTCGCCAGCTGAGCCTCGACAATCTCCGTGATCGCATCCACGGTGCTGCTGGTGAGCAGGGTGTCGACCGACAGGCGGATCTTGAATTCCGCACGGAGGTCGCCAGCCAGCCGACCGGCACGTAGACTGTCACCGCCGGCCTCAAAGAAATCCATCGAATCGATCACTTCGCCGGGGCGCACTGCAAGACAGCGGCGAACTTGGTGCGCACTCGCCCCTTGATCGAGCCGCCGGAGAGCTTGGCCTCAGCCTCCGCCAGTGACTTGTCGACGGCACTCTCATCCACCTCGCCGGTGACTGGGTTGACGGGCATTGGGCTGTCGATGCATCGGATGCTGGTTGGGATTTCGTATCCCGGGACCCGCACGCGGAGGTATGCGACCAGTGCCTGTGTATCGAACGTCTCGGCTTTCTGGTTGAAGACGATAACCTGGAAGAGGCCATCGATGGGGTTCTCTCGAATGAAGACCTCCGGCTGCCCGCTGAAGGCCTTCACTTGAGAGCTAACCTCGTCCCGGCGCAGCTCACATGGCTGCTTGGCGATCGGTTCCGTCAACGGCCGGTTGAGTGGGGGGGGACCTGTCTCGGTGTAGCGATCTGGGCCTCGCATGGTGTCGGAGAGTGTCACCAAGTTCAGCCGCTCGCTGAGCTTGATGCGCTGGGGCTTGTTCTGGTTCAAGGGAATCCCGCCCTCCATGTAGACGATGCATTGCGGGAACTGGACCCTCTCGAGGCGCCCGTGAAGTCCCTCATGGAGCTGTCTCAAGTCCGGTCGAATAGCGTCGGGAGTCAGCACCAGCACGACGCCGACGGTCTCCTGGAGTGTGTCGTGGGGCACCGAGAAAGACAAGACCTGGCTCACACGGTGGTAAAGGACGTTGTTGGGATCAGTAGAGGCCGAAAGAATGGCCTCATCGATTTCGGCGGGGGAGATGATTTCACCGCCTCGGTTGATGACCTCCTTGCTGCGACCGGTGATGTACAAGTATCCATCATCATCCATATAACCGAGGTCGCCTGTCTCGAACCACCCGTTTTCATCGAATGCGCTCCGGTCCATCCCCTCCGGTTTCAAATATCCTGGGAAGACCGGCGAGCCTCGCAGGCAGATTCGTCCTGTTGTCCCCTTTGGGGACTCCACGGATCTCCCGTCCATGCTCAGGATGGCCAACTCTGGTCCGGTTGCCCGGCCCGATGATCCTGGGCGCTCCAGGCGGTAGCTCAAGGGGGCGCTAGAAACCGGGGTACATTCCGTGAGACCATAACTCGGCAGGACGGTGCATTTGAAGGTCTCGAGTAAACGAGTGGCCAGCGTCGGGGGAAGGTTGGCCGCGGCATTGCAGATCACCCGCATGGCGGAGTTCCGCAAAGCATTGGGACGACCTTCCAGCTCCTGCAGAATAAGGTGATGCATAGTGGGCACTCCATAATACCACGTGACTCGCCAGCCCTCGATCACGTCAACGACGAGGGTTGGATCGAACGCCGGACAGCAGATCACGGAGCCACCTGCAAAGATGTTCGAACACAAGCTTCGGAAGAAACCACCACTGTGGGGAGAGCACCATTAGCAATCTCGAGAGTCACGGGCTATGGCTGGGGGTTCTTACACGTGATGTAGCGGCATAACATTCAAACAGCCGTCGTCCGCCGTCAGCTCAAATGCATCCATGACCCACACAGCCCGAGCGAGGTAATCATCCTTCGTGATGGGGACGAGCTTCTTGGTGCCACTGCTACCACTGGTGAATAGCATCAAGGCGATATCATCGGGCGAGTTGACCTTGGGGGGGTGTGACTGTCGTTGATCGAGGGGCCCACAGTTCAGTGGGGTCATATCGAAAGTCAAATCGTCCCTCGGCTGGACGCTAATGGTTCGGATACCTGCCTCTTGTACCCAAGGGTCATTCAGTTGGAGCTTGGGGATGTCCTCGGCCAGCGCAAGGACTGTCCCGATCTCAGCTCTGGTGATATCCTCTCGAAGCTGGACTGGCCCCGCAGCGGGCGTCATGGCCATCAGGGTATAATAGTTCGATACCGCCAGGTTAGCCAGCGCTAGGACCGGTCCATTGGGCAAGACCACGGCCACGCGGCGGTTGGAACATGATGGGTGGTCGAGGCCAAGGTCGAACTGCTGTACGAACCTTGCCAGTGTCGCGTGGGACATGCTCTGTTTTGTTCGGGGCTCGATGAGGGCAGGACGGTCTGAGTTGGGATGAAGGCATTCTGCGATGGTTGGAGAGCGTGCCTTCACGAGCGCGTGCACTCGGTCTATATCGTGCCATCCACTCTTGTCTTTTCCGCTCTTGACCCGTTCCGGGAGGCGTTTCCAGATTGCCTGGTAGCACGGAATGAGGGCGAGGCTGAATGCGATATCTTGGTTGTCGAGCAGGTTCGATAATTGCTGCAAGGCATGGTATGGGTCTTCGATCTGGTTAATTTCTCGGAGCTGTCGTTGTACAGCTTCCGAGGTTACTCGGTCACCACTTCATACTCAATCAGCATTTCCGTCCTGTTAGGGAAGGGGGAAGGGGGGAAGTGATCTATGCCAACATACCTCTGTCCCTGGAGGTCCATCGTGACTGTACGCTTGGCCGTGACAAACGCAGTGTGGATGTGAACCCCGGACTAGCCAATGATTGGGATATAAGACTAGCCACTCGATAGTTTTGTCCTCAGGGCTACTGAAACTATTGGAATGATGAAACAATCGACGGAGCAGGTTCAAGTGTACCCTGGCTGCCTTTTTATTCCCCCTTTGGAGTCCTGCGCAACAATTATTTACCCACACCGTCCAGGGCATCTATCAGCCGAGCCGGACTCCTTCGGACAGCCTACTGAATATTAGCATAACCCATCGCCCCACCTCATTTCTCGGCGTTGGAGACGGACTACCGTCCGATTTCGCGCGGACCAGAAACCATCCAGGTCCTTGGCAACCGGTAGACCGGCCTCTAGCAGAATTTGGGACGGCCATGTGTCCCCATCTTCCTTCGCGCGCCCAGCGCCGCCGGGTTGCGGCCCCTCCTCCAACATGTCAATGGCGTGGAGCAGAAGTCCATGTTTCAGGATCCAAGCCCAGAATCCTCCGTACGATTCCTTCCACGGATGGACGCGCCCTGGATAGCAGATCTTCTGCTGGGTGTCTGGCTACGACCCATGTCGGTGGTTTTTCGGCGGATCGGGACCACATAGCATAAAGGAGATATACGTAAGCCTATGCTTTGATCAGGAATCCTAGGTGGCGGACGATGGTACAGCCCAATATGCTAACTTGCGGTAAAGCTGCACCCTGCGGCCGATCCTGCCTTATCGTTTATCAACTACTGCTTCGGGGAACTGGACAATCCGGGTAGGGCAAGCGATACGAGAGGCCCTTTTTTGAGAAGCCTCATGTGAAACGTGAAGCCCGATAGCAGGAGCAGGGGCATGTTGTGGACGCCTATGAGGATGTGCGCTGGATGGATATGGGGGGCCCACACACTAGTTGTCCATCAGTGGAACGGTTTGGCTTGAGGAAGAAACCGCCTATTGAAGCTTCAGATCGGCAGGCCCCACCGCAGACAAACCCACGGTTGGGTTAGTTTCCACTGGGCGGTCGACAATCACGTTATTTCGACCGGTCTATTCACTATTGATGGTGGTTCGCCTTAATCAGGCAGTAGTTCAAGATTTGCTATTCGATAGTTCCCCCCTTAACTAACGCACGGTGTAAGTGAGAGATATCCCTCTGTCTTCTGGGCATAAATAGAGCCGACGGGACTCCGAAAGGTCGGAAAAATTGCTTGACGCCTTTTTGCCAAGGTGTGGTGCGAAACCTTCTCAGCGGTGTCGGCCTCTGTCCTTGATTTTATTGAAGACGTCCATCACGAAGCCCTGGGGCGTGGTCCATTGGCCATGTGCGGTTATCCTTCGACGTGCTTTCTCGGAGTGGGTCCGTCAGCGTAAGCGACCTCGCCACGAGTACTCCGTGTCTACTATCTGCTTTGCCCCCCTTTATCGTCCACCACCGTATCAGATGAGCTTGTGAATCACCGCGTATCAGTCTATCAGCTCCTGGACGGGGAGGGGAGGGGAGGAGCGGGGCCCCTTGGCGATTTAGTCTCGTCCATTCACATCCCACCAGCACGTGGGGGAATCAGCGAACAGCAGTGCTAGCTGCCAGACGTGCAACTCCAGTGCAGGTTGGACTTAGGAACCGACTCGGCGAGCTTCGGAGGTCGGATCAGATAACTCTCGATGGAGACCCCTCGGAGATAAAATATGGAACTGATTGAGCAATCCTTAATCTCGCGAAGTCTAGAATTTGCGCTATCTCATCTTATCACTACTACCCTATGTCCCTAGCCATGGTTCGGAGTTGCCTTTGATATCATGATAACACGCGCGTTCGAGACCTGGGAGTCTGCCACACTTCTTCACCCATCCATATCCCCTGACTAGGATACAGCTCTAGTGATGCTGGCATCGTATCCTGCAGATCCTGCAGTGCTTCGCCAGGGGCGCATCACACCATGCGTGCGCTTCTCCATAGGTGGAAGATGTTCGAGTTTACTCCTGGTGGTTGATCTTATCAATATTTAGGCAAAACTACTCGGGCGAGTCTAGCTGGGATCTCGTTCTACGGAGTATCTCAAGTCGAATCCCATCGCCAAGCCTAGGACCAACGCCAAGGCTCCTCTTGCTTGTTTGTGGCGTTCCCTTATCGCAATTTCTTCAGTTTTTTACATTTTTATATCTTTTAATTTTCCCCCATTCTTCATCATTTCTTCTCTTTTTTTTTCTTTCTTTCTTTTTTTTTTTTAATCTCTTTCCTCTTCTGTCTTTATATTCCTTTCATTTCTTGATTTAATGCATATATTCTCCCCCCCCCCCCGGTCCGCCAATTTGACAAATGGAAGGATGGGGACCTTGCATTTGTTCAGCACCGACCGATCCCACGCTGGTCTGATACGACATTGCACGGGTTTTTCCGGGCGAGAATTGATTGGTAGGTCATCTACGACGTAGAGATTGATAGATAATCAACGCTTGGCGGGAACGAGGTGGAGGTTCATCCACAGCGATGCAGACATCCCACAGCAGTGGGCGTCTCCCGGTGGTCCCCACGCACCAAGCAGGTTGGCTCTAGTATCCTACCATCGAGGTGAGGACCGATGGGATGGGGTCCAGAGATGACATCACTGTCATGTCCCAGGTTCCGAGTTTCGGTCCGTCCTCAGGTCGGGTGGGAGGGCGTAAGTGATCGTCCCGACCATCCAAATTCCTTTGGATTTAGGCTCTGACAAGATTTGCGCTGTGTTGATAATGAGAGCTTCATGTTAACTAACTGACAAAGGGGTGGTTCGCCGATCCAGACTCCCAGGATGATCTCCGTCAAATCCTACTTGGCGCGGCTTCCGCCTTGGTCGATCATTACCCACCGTGTTGCGTACTGCTTCTGACGGTACCTTTTCGTCTTTCTTCATCCTTTTCCGGGTGCACCAACCACATTCCTTCTATCGCTCCTGAGACCCACCCACCGTCCATTAAATTCCTCCTCGTGTCACTAACGTCTTTTGTGGTTGGTGGTTAGCGGTCTGCACCCACCTCAGCGTGTGCTTGAAAAAAGAATGATCCTTCCAATCGAGCCTCCGATGATGCCATTCCTCCGAAGCCTCGGCGTACCCGCCTACTCCACGGTACTATTCATTCGCCTTCCTCTCCCCCCAAGGCTTAACAGATTGAAGCAGTTGTTTTATTTCGTAGAATGTACTATCTGCTCCTCAGGATCCTTCATTCCTTCCGTTTTGCTACCGATCTTCAATGCGAGCGTGATGTGCGTAGGATTTGATAGAGCTTGTTGCCCGGGAGGACGAAGGAAGAGGGGGTGAGGACTTAAAGTTAAGGAAGAGGGGGTGAGGACTTGAAGTTTTAAGTCCTCATCCCCTCTTCCTTCGTCCTCCCGGGCAACAAGCTCTATCAAATCCTACGCACATCACCTGTGCCTTCGTACGTCCTGGATGGAAGAAATCCTGGACTATGATTGGCCCCATATACGTTGTCCATACTGACGGCCATAAATAACGACACATGGCCTCTTACACGGCCTCTATTTGCTTGATATCAGCCCCGACCCCCTAAGTCCACCAATCAACACCCTGGCGGATTCAAATCACACGCGAGGTCTGTCAGTCTCATTCAAACTTTTCGACCGGTCGCCAGGGTAAATAGTCTTCCGCACCGTTGGATTCCACAACGGACCCCTTTTCTTCCCCGGACCGGGCAGTTTTTCTTTCCCCCTGTTGTATGGCTGGCGGCGACCACGGTCCAGACACACTCGCCGGTGGGGTCAGAATTGTCCACACTTTGGTTCGAGACTGCAACGTCATTTGCAGGAGACGTGCCACATCACCCCCTCGCCGCTTGTTTGACGCTGAGCGGCGAAGAAGGGTCTGCAACGGTTTGGCCCCCGATTCGCATAGCCATAGGCAGGTTCCTCCGCAAAGAAGGGTCTGCAACCGGTTTGGCTCCCGACTCGCATAGCCATGGTCAGGTTCCTCCGTCCCAAAAGGGGGATTAAGGAGGGAGCCTTACAAATCGCCTAGCTCGAAGACGCGTAAAGTTAGGTGATTATTTCTGTTGACGTATACATCAATCATCCGATGTGGTGTAATGGTTAACATCGCCGTCTCTCACACGGCAGCTCGGGGTTCGATTCCCCGCATCGGAATCTTTCTTTTTTCTTTTTTTCTTTTTTTCCTCTTTCTTTTGTGATGAAACTCTTTTGTTTCTTGTTGTATATTTTGTGTTATTGAAATTGTTATATTCTTCTTTCTTGCGCTTGGGCTGTTAATTCTATAGGTCGGGGCGCTGGCGCATAGCGTACTATGTTGATCCTACAGTCACGGTGCAGGATAACAGGAAATTGTGATGACCATGCATGTTACCCCGAAGGCCCATTCCTGGCGCTGGTACCGTCACTGCCGCTAGATTCTCAGGTCAATGCGGAATGTTATCTGACGAGTACGGCTGACTGATATCAAGCAGAAAACTCAAAAACTCCTAACGGAACGGTTGACCGGCCCGGCCGGCGGTCAGTTTGGCAGGTCTTCCCCTGAAGGTCTTAGGAACATTGGCTGGCGCGGAGCCGATCATGCGCATGCTTTCAATACACGAGTCAAAACTGATCAGCGCCCCCGAGGGATCTAGTCGGGGCCTCATCCCCAGTGAAGGATACCCGCGAGGGGCCATTTTTGGCCGTTTTTGTCCGACATGATATGATGATCGGGGTCGTTTCAAGGCCACGGGATGTGTTAGCTTGCAAGAGGAAGGCATGGCTTGCTGTCTGCATGCTAAGGAATCGCTAGAGCCGACGTGGGCTGACAGCGCAGCATCATTCGTCACTGTAATCCGACGAGAGGATGTGGCTTAGACGAGGGATTCGAATAGGACAGGGATCCACTCGTATAGATCAGCTAGGACCGTAGGAGATGATTCCCGGCCGCAACCTTTACCCCTCGAGTGGTCCATGACGTGGGGGTCCAATGACATGAGCACCTTCGACATCTTTGCAACCGGAACCCGTGATATATCGGCCGGTGGAGGTATTCCATAGTGTCGGGAGCAATTGTACCTGCATTAGGGGTGTCTTGGTCGATGGCGCTGTACTTCAGCGTGATACTCGCATACTGGCAAGTACGATAATCGCCGTATGCTGGTGAGGGACGTTCTGGTATGAGTTGGCTATCTGTAGAATATCAGGATTATATTGTCACGGGATGCTTTCTCTGGTTTGGCGACGTTGAATCATGATGCTGCGTTTCATACAAAGTTTTCTCTGCGGATGAAGTCAATCCTGGTGATGTATACCCCACTTCGTGTGGGTTATATATATCGTGTAGTTCTGCAGGTCAGTCTGCCTCCAGTATGAAGGCTTCTGTCACTAGATAGGGCGGTCCATTGCCAGGCGATGTAGACGGTCAGGTGACAGGCCACCACTTTTTCTCCCTTCACTCCGAGGGTTCACTTCATCCTCGAAAATATGAAGCAGACGCGGCCAGGGCGACATGACATTGGCCGTCTCACCATTTGAGATGGCGTAATGAATCAAAAAATAAGCTCCACGATGCTGTCTCCGCCAATGCGGAGAGAGATATATATATATGCCCCAATCGATAAGGATATCATTAAGATGCGCCAGTATCGTCGTTTCAGATGGCCCTCATCAAGCAAGTCACCCACCGCTACTTTCTTTTCCTTATAGGAAAGGACACTAATCGTAGTCAATTGTTTTGAAGTCGTGATCGCAACACTTCGAACCGCGATGGTTGACATGGGTAAGAGCCACACATGCAGCATGACTCGTGATTCTTTGATCCTCTAGCTTTCCAACCGCTAAGTGATATGTTTGACCAGTGATCGAACTTCTCAGCAGATTATAAGCTTCGCTATTTGTTTTCGTCTTGGTTCTGCCGGCGTCTCGGGTGAATCTTAGGATGGACATGGAGAGATCGGACATACCACAAAACGACCGTATCAAGGCTCCTGGCCTCATCAATTCTAGGCTCTTAACGTGGCTGAATGTGCAAAAATAACCCGCAGCTATCCAGGTCGAACAGCCAGGGGCCCCAGAAGAATGCCATCCGAACGGTTGCCGTTGCATCGGTCGAGGGGTGCGATGGTTTCACATTGTGTTCCATGACGTTTTCGGTGCTATCTCCACCATTGATCCATTCCCTACCGTGTAGCATTAATCCCATGTCTGTCATGGGGACGGAACGGGTCAGGCAATCGTCCGACCGCGTCTCATACTCACGGCCAGGATGAGAAGAAACTCGGTGTTGTTACCTGCCGCATCGGAAGGATGCCTGCATACAATGGTGGATAAGGTTTAACGTGAGAAAAAAACACAATTCCATTCAATACTCCTGACCTAGGTTCGTCCGACCTCATTATGCAAGTATGCAAGCTATTTACATGATTATTTGTTGTTGGCCGCGGAAATGTCAATGAAGACATGGCCAAGGGGACCCGCCTGCGGGCTCCATCCGCTGTATTCTATCTTGTATTTCTTATCGCTCTCCGAGATCTCGAACTGATTGTTCAGCATCTTCTCACGATTGTCCCAGTGCAGCTCGCAGATCTTGGACTCGCCGTCATACAAGTCCAGCCATCCCTCGCTGCCTCGGCGACCACGAGCGCAGACCTCGCCGACGCCCTCAGAAGGAATGATGAGCTTGTCGATGTCGTCCTCGGTGAGGGCCTTGCTCTTGTCGTCGGGAGTGTGGAAGGCGCCCCTGCAGATTGACATGGTCAGTACAATCCATCACTCATTCTTCTTCTTCTTCTTCTTCTTCTTCTTCTTCTTGTCAGGCGAAGGAAGAGCTTACTCGTAGAGAAAGGCATCCTTGATGCTGATCTCACCCTTCTCCAGACGGTCTCGAATATGAATCGAGACCCACTGTGCGGTGTCCATCTTGACGGTTGGAGGTGGTTGATAAAGTGATATAGTGTTTGTTGATCAGAGTATGATCTGGATGATGAAAAGCCAATCTCTCGACAGGACGAACAGACAGCTACTTATAGACCTTGAGCGGGGGAGAGTGGTACCACCCACGGCGGTGGTGTGTGCTGGGAGGCATGATGATTCGCGGAGGCAAGTCTCAGGTGACAGAGGGATGGTGAGGTCATTCAACTGGGCTGCATCAGCCCACATCGCGCATGATAGGCCCGCCACCCTCCCTAGTGAAACCTAATGGCATGATAGTCTGGGGTTGGAACTTTGGAAGACATCCGAGAATGCGGGGAAGCGCCATTCGCCGTCCGTGGTTCAGCCGTGGCAATTAACCTGCAGCTCCTTTTGCTACGCACCGGGTGGGAATTCAGGGTACAATTCCATCCCTTTGATCGGTTGACGCGCTGCGGCCGTCCTCGTTTCACCCCCTCATTACGGTGTCTTTATTGATGGTGGTTACAGCAATGGAGACTGCCTTCCCTTCCGATTGAGGGCAATTCTAAGTTAGATTCATGAGATGGAGACCGGTCTCTGGATGGGATCCTGGATTCCCTTCCCCCCCGGGTGGGCTTACCCGCCCAGTGCGTGCCTTAAATGCCCCCTTCCCAAAAGCGGACATCCCATGACGAGTCGGACAAGACAACAAACGACGTATGCAGCAGCGGCTTCTAACCTGTCTCGATGGTTTGGTAATGCCTGCGATTGGTGATACAAGCTGGCCCCGCAATGACACGATCAGCACAGTCTCCGCTTCCTACTAACTACATCGAGGTGTCAGCTCAATGATTCTCTCCGCCGCCAGCTCGAAATCGGACTCCGTATGCAGATCCATGCCGGACTTTTGTATCTACGGCACAACGAGGGTTAGACCATCGTCTCCAGTTGTCTCCAAGGGGGGACGCAGTGGCATACGATTTGCTGGGCCTCGTCGCTGTTGGTCCCCTGGAGGCGCACGACGACGGGCATCCTGAACCCGCCCATGGCCGATCCCGCGTCGACAATCGATTGGGCAATCATGTCGCACCGCACGATCCCTGGGTCCAAAAGTGAGCATTCCTACGCGACGGTCCCCCTCCTGCGGGACACGTACCACCAAAGATGTTGATCCACATGCCCTGGACGTGGGGATCCCGGTTCAGCATCTCCACGGCCTGCCACAGGGTCTCCCCCGTTGCCTTACCCCCGATATCGAGGAAGTTGGCGCTCTTTCCGCCGTGTAGGTTGATCAAGTCGTTGGTCGCCATGGCTAGACCGGCCCCGTTGACAACGTTGCCAATGTTGCCATCGAGGCGAATGTACACCAGCCCGTGTCGCGACGCCTCGTACTCCTCGGCCAGGTCGGGGGTAGGCTCCTCCAGACTGTACAGTCCTTGCTGCCGGAATCGAGCGGCGTCGTCTAGATCAAACTTGGCGTCCAGGCAAACGAATCGGCCATCGGGGGTCAGGACCAATGGGTTTAGCTCGAGCAAAATGGCGTCTTTTTCGACGAATAATTTCACCAACTGTTGGATGACCCGTTCGATGATGGGCATTTCGGCCGTGGAAAAAAGCAGCCTCGATCGGACGGCTGCGATGAGGTCCGGCGTGACACCCCTGGACGGAGAGAACCAAAACCGGTGTAGTTGATCGGCCTCGGATTCCACGTTCACCCCGCCTTCGCCAGATATCAAGAGGACGGGGCTGGACTGTTGGCGATCGAATGTGACGGCGACGTAATACTCGTGAGCCACATCCTCGGCTTTGTAGATATATAGCTTCTTCACCAACAGGCCTTTCGGCGGCGTTTGCTTGGTCGTGAGGTAGTGACCGAGCATCTGCGACGCATTTTCGAATGCCTCGTCCGGGCTAGTCACCATCGTTACCCAGCACACTCGTGGTAGAGTTGGGGGAGGTGTACGCCTACGTGGACACCATACGGACACCACCCTTCCCATCGGTATCGAATTTCCCTTTGCCACGTCCTCCCGCTAGGATCTGGGACTTCAGCATGGACGGCGCACCTATAGTCTATTAGAGAGGTGGGGGAGACGCGCCCATCCCTGTCGTCTCTCACCTATCGCTGATACGACCGACCGGGCATGCTCTGGGGTATCGACCACCACCCCAGTCGGCACAGGGATGTCATACTGACCCCACCCTCGTCAATCTGCCGGCCTATGTGTCTGCCCGTCCAGGGGGGGGGGTGTCTCACCTGCGAGAGGAGCTTGTGCGAATGATACTCCAGAAGGGACAGATGGCGCACTGGTTGCCTGAGGGCCTTACCGCACTGTGTCATGTTGTGAGAAGAGAAGATAGATCCACGAGCATCTCGCACATTTCGGAACACACGCCCGAGATGGCGACCTCGAAACATCATGGTGTAATACTGAATAGTGCGTGTGCGCTCACATAGTACGCTGCTGCGATTCTGCCAGAAGACTCGATGCCAGTCCCTAGATAATATGGTATCTGCACCCCTAAATATGGGTCATTACACCAGTGAACTGACTACCTACTCCATCGAGTGGGTCAGCTTGTTTGCCATGCAGTATCCAAACCAGTGGCTTTGATGGCTTTCCCCATGGTTGGACACCGCTATCGTTGCCGCGCAACTGGAAGCGGAGAGTCTATGACCGATCATGACGCAACTAACCGACCCCGCAATGTCGGCAAACTCAACCACAACTGATTCTATGGAATGATTCTCGAACACTGTCAGGATGACCACTGTTACCAGGGAAATCATTCTATTGGGAAGGGTCTGTAGATATCCACGCAGAAGTGGGATATGTTAGTGGTGAAGATGATGGCTTATCCTATTGTACATGCCGGCCTAGGCCCGTGAGCCTCTGTTCTGCTTACTGGACGTGGGACGTCGATACATTGATGTCCCATTAGTTCTCGCCGGATCATAGAAGGGGTATCTGAAGCATATGGTTGGAAAGTTCTCTGGACCATCTCATATGTTACGAGAATTGACACTACCCCACGGCATGTCTCGAGTCCACCGCTACTCATGCGTACTCATGCGTGCTATCATCTAGTATGATAAGAAAGCGGCTCAATGCATCAAATGGCAGGGCAGATAACATGATGTGGCTGGGGCTGCGACAGGTAGCATGGTGCTGCGACGTATAATGCAATATACGACAAAGATTTGCTCAAGGCGACATTGTCCAGTTCTGACCAGCCAAAAACGATATGTTTGTACTCGCCCTGGGCTGGTGCAGAAGTCAACCAAGAACAATTGCACGACGTGAATCTTCCTGCTGTCCAAGATGGAAGCTAGATATACCCGCGGAGCAGCGAGCAATACCCGAAACAACCTCGGCTGACAGGCTAGTGCAGATCAACCCCATGGAATATGAACTTGGGGTACCCCACAGTTTCCGACATCTCGATGAACTCTACATCTCAATTAGTACAACTACAGGATCAACGTGTGGTGCAACGCGCAAGACGAGCCTCTTTTCTCCATGATATACCCCCCCGCGTACCTTCCACGATGTCTGCGAACAAAACCATAACGCTCCCTGTCTCGTATGAAGCATGCCAGCTGCCCATGGTCAAACTGTCGCATTACCCCGTTGGCACAACCGAACCCACGCCTGTGGTCATCGTGACTTTGAATCGGCCCGAGAAAAGCAATGCCTTCACTCCCGCCATGGCGGAGAGCCTCGAGCAGGTCTTCCGAATGTTTCACCTAGACGAACGCGTCAAGGTGGTGGTTCTGACTGGTGCCGGCAAGAGATTTTGCGCCGGAGCCGATCTTGACATGGGATTTGGAAATGGGGCCGGCGAGAACCCCCAAGATTATCGGGACACGTACACATGCACCACCTACCTTTGGGGACGTATGCTTGGTGATCGGTAACTGACTGTCCCTACGCAGTGGTGGCCGTGTCGCCATAGCCATCCACCGATGCCAGAAACCTACGATCGCTGCGATGCAGGGTTCCGCCGTGGGCGTGGGCATGACGATGACACTGCCAGCTGCCATTCGGTGAGTTCTAAATCGGTCCCGGTTGATCCGCCTGCGAGGGGAACCTGACCAGATCAGCATCTGCCACGAGAAGAGCAAATACGGGTTTGTCTTCACACGACGGGGAATCACTCCAGAGTCGTGCTCTTCCTATTTCCTACCTCGCCTAATCGGCTTGTCGCGGGCCATGTTCCTCATCTCAACGGGGGGCGTTTACCCGCCCCAGCAGCGGTACTTCGGCGATTTATTCACGGAGGTCCTCCCAGAGGCATCACAGGTCCTTCCCAGGGCACTGGAGCTTGCGACCGACATGGCCAAAAATGTTAGTCCGATGGCGTCGGCCATCAGTCGGTCCCTCCTCTGGGAGGGAGTGCAGTCGCCCGAGGAAGCTCATCTGTTGGAGTCGAGGGTGTTTCACCATATGATGGGATTGAGGTACCTCTCATACTCTTCTGCTTGTAATTTCATAAGCTGACTGACGACGGCTAGGGACCATCACGAAGGGGTTTTGTCGTTCATGGAGAAACGGAAACCTGACTTTAAGGCGGACTTGCAGAATCACTGGCCGGCGATTTATCCGTGGTGGTATGAGGCGGATATCGACCCGAAGCACGCGACAAAGGGATCCAAGTTATGAGTTCGACAATTTTCTTTCTTTCTTTTTCCTTTTCTGTTTTTGTTTCTGTGTGGTTCTTTTCGTCGTTTGGCATGTTTTTTTTTTTTTTTTTTTTTTTTTTTTTTCTGGCTTTCCTGCACCGAGCAGTACTCTAGAATTGAGAAACTCGAATGCACATGTTTAGACACCCACGTGCGTGAGAAGTTTTCAACATTGACAGTCCATGGACCAGACATCGATGCCAGTAAATGGCGTGATTTTTCCGACGTCATCACCACGGGAGGAGTATACCGCAAATCTGATCAGTGAGGTGATCTCCCCCAACGACGACCTGGCGCTGTCTACTAGCTTGTGCTTATTTTCAACACCTCCACCAGTCATGGACGCCCGTTCATCTACAGTAGCGTTAACAAGGACAGGTTGTGGAATCCCGGCTCCACCACCACCCAGGCGCAATGCCCGGCATGTGCAGTGACGATCAAGAAGGATAGGCTGGCTGTGTCGGTCAGCCATCGGGCGTGCTGGCAGTGTGGCTGGGTACTGTATGATATCCTCAGTTGTATGCGTCTACGATGGATCCCAACCATGCCGATCATGGACGGTGGCGGATTGCTGTGATGAAGATTTTCGCAGGCGTGGGTTTGTATTCGAGACACTCTGACACACGAATGTCTCCGCCGTGTCATCTATCAGTGGGATCATAGACTTTAGTCCAGACCAGAACCTATGTCACTACTTTGTAGAACAGTGATATGATGAATTGACTAGCCTGAATGGGCTGCGCTTGCCGGTTGATATCACATTGATATATCGAGTCACCACGATAAGATCAAGTCTATGGTGGTGGGAACGATGGGCTTACGATGAGAGACTTTCCCCCCACTCGCTAGTTCCAACCTAAATCAATGACGTGGATGGGTAGGCGGTTACAGGGGCCAATTGAAACGACGAAACGCAGGCCGTGACGCTGCAGACGACTTGATCTCTCACTACGTGGTTGATCATGGTGGTTGGGACCGATTGATGATTCTCACCGCGGCCAGCTTGTTACACCCAGCTGTATTGAGGGGAATTGGTGGTGGACTTTGGCTGGAGATAGACCCCACCGGTGTATCATGTAGTTTCTGTAGTGACCACCGTGTGTTTGAACGAGATGGTTAATCGTTCGTTCTACGACTGCTGTTGGAATTTAATGGACATATTGGTGGTCGCAGGGCGGATAGGACCCTGTAGCTGCTCATCCGCTCCATGACACACGATGTCGTCTGGGAATAGAACTTCATAGCCCTGGTGCTCCTTTTATGCTGAGGCCAAGGCCCATATCTACGCCGGTAGAATCACTACTGCTGATCGCTCAAAAAGAAGCCAAGAAGCAACCCTCAGACGCATCTTGCGCGTGCATGTACCAAGACACGGGACAGGGCCTATGAAGCTCCGACATCTCAAGGACATGGCCGACATTCGGGGGGAGCACCGCGGCGTACGTGGCGTGACGCACACAAATACAAATCACCCTCCGACATGATGCATCGAATGCGTCCGGATGAGCGAGATCGACCGGGCTCCGGGCCGAGGCAGCAGGGACAACGACGTCAAAAATAGATGAAGCGATGTGGGTGCAGAAGCAGTATGAGCGGCGTAATTGTGTGTAACGAATGATGCTGCCTGACGCAATGAAACGGGAATGCTGACGATAGACTCCACGGTCTGTATGAGCCATCACACGCGGGAAACTGGAGTACCCGAATCTGACAACTGAGAATTGAACCATGCAGTGGGATTAGAATTGTCACGACAGGATTTACGGTCGAGGAAACTCTCCGACTCCCATGCAGTCTCCCGTGGAGTAGGGTGTACTCACCTGGATATGATGTCCCTCAGCAGACACGCCACATTGCGTTTCCAAGCTACACGTGCATCACCAGCACGTCAAGGGGAGAAGCACTTCCGGGTCGCTGACGAAAAGAGTATGCACGGCGGACAAGCTTTCATCGTTGAAACTGGCACCAACCATGTGAAGAAGAGAGTTGTCCAGCGAGGGGCAAGGGTGGTGTCCGCAGTGGGTCCCTGAGCCAACAAAGCAATTGACATGGGAGTCAGTCAGTTCGCACATCAGATTTCACAAAATATGCATAATCGCACCCCACCCGGGGAGTCATCACTGCAGGGAGAGTGGGACCAGCTTGGGATGAAGAATGATAGGTATGAATCATAAAGTTCATGAGGCTGTACAATCGGTCTGGAGATCACCTGATGGGCCGCGCCCTAAGTGGCACACCTCTTGGCTCTCACGATGTTGTCTCCTCTAACGGAGAATATCATCCCATCTGGCGGCAAGGACACGTCAAAAGCGTCGATGCGGCTGGTAATTTGTTCAACCAATCATCATCTATCCTCGTGGGGTATGTTTAGTTGGATCCTCGTGGATTGGGGGAAATCCTGTGGCTAGTTGCAGGACAAATCATAAGGATGTCCGGGCCGATGAGAACCCACCGCGATGGGCCTGGCGACTCGCCTGCCACTGTCAATCCTTGCAATCCTCTCCTGAGAGCTTGTTGCCGCCACTTTACAGGTAGTGGACTTGGCAGTTTCTGCGACACGAATTTCTTAGCCCACTGTCGCACAGATGTCGCCATGCTAGGTGGGGTGGTCCAAGTAACAGTTATGGAAGGCCTTCCGAAGTCAGGCAGCAGCAGCAGCAGGGGGAGGCTTTTCGTTACTGACCATCAGGGAGGTCTAGACCGGATTGAAAAGGAACGACGATCTCCAGTGGGTTCGTGGGTTCCAATTTCAATTCTACTTTTTTTGTTTTCTTTTTTCTTTTTCCGTCTCTTTTTCGTCCTTTGTTCTGCTCTTCTTTCCTTTTTGGACCTACTTCTCTTTCAATTTGTTCAATTAATACATTTATATATTATGAATTTTAACTTGAATATTTTCTCACTATTTCTATTTTCATTGCTCTTGACAGTCTCGTGGCATTGGTATCTTTGGACTGATGATTCGTTTCAACTGTCGGGACGATCCGGTGGGGGGTATCATTGGAAGTAGCAGCTCCGGGGGCGCCATCAGGGCCCACCATAGCATGCTCTCGGCTCCGCCGCCCCCATTGGCCACCCAATGAAGGCCCTGTTATGGCTTCCCGTTGGGCCAAGTCGAGACTACGACGATAATAGTATGATGACTACGATGACCCAGAAACCACTAAGAACAAGCTTTTTGGGCGATCCGCCAACCCATGCCAAGCCTGATCCACCCGGATCCCATTGACGCAACCCCCTCTCCTTTTTGTGGGTGGGACTCAATCACTCCTAGAAGCTTCTGCCCGCAAGATGGAAGGTGATCGACTGAGAAGCTTTACAGGTGCCTCCCGAGACCGCCGGATACCAAGGACTGGTTCAACGATCCTGGATCCATCCCGCCGTTTAAGCTCCCACGCACTGGGGGGATGACGTCCAGAGAGCTTCCCATTGGCGGGGGTTCAGAGGTGCAAGTCACAAATGAGAACACATGCACAGAAGGCAGAAGAGCCAGTCAGCAGGTAATGACAGAGGAAACCAACAAGGAAGACGTCCGGCTCCATGCGGCTGTCCATCAACCTACAACACACTGACCACCAGGGTGTACGCAACAACACGCGTACACTACAGGCGAAGATGCCTCCCCCTGGCCCAAAAGTGATGCCAAGAGGAAACAGGGGGATACTGAGCAGTAGGTCTCTAAATAGTACGGTGTTGGTCAACCCACTAAACCGGGGGGGCGAAGACACCAGAGGATGCTTGGCTCGCCGATGGTCCGTTAGTCAGGGACCCGGTGGGTGTGATCCCAGTGGCCGATCACCTCATTGGAATAAAAAAGGGAAAAAAAAAAGAATAATGGACATCCTCGACTCGAGATGGCTCAGGGAGAAGGGTCCCCCCCCCGTTTCACTATTGGTGGACCGCTAAGAATAGAAAGTGGCCTACAGCTGCGATCCATCCAGGGAGACGAGAGAATGCAGAGCGAACGTCGACTGGAGCATCAGATCTTCGGGATCTTCACGTAACAATACCATTACGGAGGCGCGATCCTTTCCCTGGATGGCCCTCCTGTGAGACATGCCACGGTTTTGGATTATTGGGTCCTGGCATCAGCGCGGTTCAGGTTGCTGAGATGAGGGCTGGCAGGGGCATCTCCCCAGATCCATAAAAACCCCCGATATCTTCGATGAATTGGAATCTTATCACTCAGTTTTTCTCAAATCATCCACTCGTTGCTCTACTACCCCTCCCATTCTATCTCATTCTTTTACCCCGACAGATCTAGCGCATCCCAAGTCCTTTCGTTATTGCATCATGTTGGTGTCCTACACTGCCGTCTCCCAGCAACAGAGGCCGACGGTGCCGGCCAAGTCTGTCCCGTCCGTCTCGCCTCCAACCTTCACCCTGGACACTATCCACCACATCGAGGAAGCCCATATTGTCCACCTGGCGCGACAGGTCGAGGTCAGCATGGATCTGTTCCCCAGTGAGAGCATGGCCGTCTACCGGGTGGTCGGCGGTGGTGTCTCGGCTGTCACCATCCCCTTCCTGGGCCAACAAATCAACCGCACCCTGGGGCTGGGTATGAAGGGTCCCGTCCGCGACTACGACATCAAACAGCTGGAGAACCTCAACCGGGTGGCCAACCTCTCCTCGTCCGTCCTGCTCTGCCCCTACGCCGACCCCAGTGCTCTCCAAGCCCTCGCCGTCTGCGGCTACGGGGTCGACAGCTTCCTCAACATCTACGCCCGTTCACTCGCCGACCTCCCCGTTGCCCGGGACCCCCGGCCTGACATGGCCCAGCCCTGGGACTTCATGTACAGCCCGGACACCTGCGTGTCGCGGGCCCCCGCCACCGAGGCCGGCATGGCGGCCTTCATCCACAACTCCGTCGACGGCTTCAAGGACGGCGGCCGCCCCGTTCCGTTTCTGCGCACTCTAGCTGAGATGGCCGCCTTGCGCGCCGACACGGTGCTCTACTTAGCTCGCATCGACGGGGAGATCGCCGGGTGTGGTGCCCTTGCCTTCATGGAGACCGAGTACGGCCGCGTGGCCCATATCTACATCGACAGCACGGCGCCCGCGTTCCGGGGCCGCGGTGTGCAGCGCGCCCTAATCCGGGCCCGGATAGTGGACGCCAAGCGGATGGGCTACGACTTCATCACCATCCACGCCAGCCCCGGCGTGGGGACGGGTCGGAACGCCGAGAAGGAAGGGTTCCGGCTAGCCTACACGAAGCCCATCTTCACGAAGCGGGAGACTCAAAAGCTGTGAAATTGTTTTCAGTGTCTTTTTTTTTTCCTTCTCTCCCTTGCGATTTGCGATTTGATTGTTGATTTTCAACTCGTCTATTGATACCTATTTCCTTTATTTCTTTTATTGTCGCCGGTTCTTTTCTGGTTCCTTGTTCAGCGAGCCTGGCGAGATTTGATTGACTACCGATCAAAATCGGCGTTTTCTGCTTTCAACTGATTTTGATGGTTATCCTGTATATACACTTTGGCGTCCTGGAATCCGAGACAGCTCGATAGATAATTTCTTAGATGGAATGAACACAGTGGATTGATTCTATATCACATGATTGTACATGATTCGTACGATATCTCCTTGGGCGTATACCCGACACGAGTATAACCGGCCGCGTTGCCAAACCGTCTGACGAACTCATCCGGTTACTATATGACCAACTGCCGTGTGTCCTTGTAATACCTCATATACACCCTTAGGTCTGTCTACATTGGTTCTATACTATTGCATCACGGATCCTGTGGCGAACCATGGTAGCCGGATCGGAAACCACAATCGGATACAGTGCGGGTCCCCAAAGTCATACTGGAGCCAGCCATCGGGTGTCGGTTATCCAGGTCCATCGCCCCCCGGTCAGTGAATCAGTAGAAGGCCAGCGATCCAGAAGCAATCCAGCGCCAGTGGACACAATTCAATCGGCAGTTCCTGGTGGTTTTCGTGATCTGTCGTCATCCCGCGCCTCGATGACCGTCCGATGAGCACACAAAAAAAGCATCACCGATCCCCACCCCCATGCTTGGATGGGATGACCGGTCAGACCGCATGTGGTGGGTGCGAGGGATCTCATTCGAGTAGGGCACGATACAGTGACGAAATCCAGCGATGCATGTGGTGGACGACCTCCATCGATATCTGCGAGTTCCATTCGCAATACCAGCCTCACCGAAAAAGTTTTTTTTTTTTTTTTTTACCATAGGCTAATCTAGTCAGGGGGTTGGAATGGATCTTCAAATTTGTCACGGTTACTATTGTACTTTGTATAGAGTTTCCATTTTTAAAAGGGGAAGAGGTGCGCGTCCTTGCTCCTGAAGGACGTGGTCGCTGCGTTCCGAGCGGGCATGTATGCCATAGTTTCTATATTAATCTTCGATTCTATAAATTCCAGTGTGTTGTTTGAGATTGTCTCATGTGTTGTGTGTTCTTTTTTCTTTATTCTTTTTTCCATGAATTTATTTATCGATTTATTATTAGGTGATGTAAGCAAGCTGTGACGAATCCACCTTGTGTCGGCGTCGTCAATCCGGATTTGATCTGCTCCCCTGCCCATGATCTACAGGATCCGATGATCACCGCTCCTACTGACTTCTAAGCTCCAGTCACTAGTCAACGCTACTGACAGGGGGTTTCATTACTCGTTCCCAGACAGGTACAGCAGTAACACCTGCCAAGTGGTGCCTGAAGGCTCGGATAGTACTTCATAGAAGGGATGCCAAGCCAGTCCACACTTTCTTCTAACCTTTACCCCCCGTAGATCCCCACTTCCCACGCCCCTCCTCTGCTGGGTCTACATGATGTGATTGTCGATCATCACCCTGTTGATCGCCTCCCACTGGGTCCCCATCGTTTGTAATACCGTTGACCCATCTTGTCATTACACGGTGGGGAGCTCAGGACTCGGTGGACCCAGGGGCGAGGCGAGAGTGGAAGCAGGTGAGACGGTGACATATGCGCTGGAGTAGACTGTAGGGTTGGGATCAGTGGATTTTAGACTGTGAGTTGGGATCCAAAGGGGATCTATAAAAGTCCCCTGGAATGGCATTTATCAGAAGTGTCAGTGCATCCATTTTATCTTCTTTCCTCTTTCCAAGCGTCAGTCGTTCACCCTTAGTCTTTACTTCTTGTCTGTCTTTACTGAAACAACAGTTGAATTATTATTTTTCATTTTTTTATTCTTTCTCCATCTGTCTTATCCTGTTGTTATCAGTTCTATCCTGCGATCAATTATCCTATTTGATCGTTTTTTGAAGCTTCAACTATACCGGATTGGTCACCTGATTAGGGTATCGCATCATCATGGGGGAAGAGAATCGAGACAACTTGTTCCACCTCCGTCCGGACACATCAGACACCCGAGATGGCTTGGTCAGTCGAGGAGGCATGTCCGATGTCTCGGTGGCGCCCAGCGAGGCGCCATCGACACAACCCATCATGCCCATGATCACTGAGAAACCGGTGATCGTGGACTGGGATGGCCCAGACGACCCAGAGAAACCCTTGAACTGGCCGAAGAACACAAAGACAATGATCATCAGTGCTGTCTGTCTGATGCGATTTACCACGTATGCCCTCCCCTTCCCTTGCCTCTGTGTCACTCGATGCTGACTGGTATAGTCCCTTGGCTTCTTCGATGATGGCGCCGGCGCTTCTCCAGATCGAAGATGAATTCTCCAGTGCCTCGTCCATGGTCATCACCTTTACCGTTTCGATTTACGTGAGTGCATACTTGCCTCTGGTCATACAAAATGAACCCCGCTAACCAAGGTAGATTATCGGTTTCGGCATCGGCCCCCTCTTCCTCGCGCCCTTGTCCGAGGTCTACGGACGCAACCTCATCTATCACGTCGGAAACATCCTCTTCACACTGTTCACGGCGCTGTGCGGCCTGTCTCCCAACTCGACCGCCCTCTTGGTTTTCCGACTCATCGCCGGTGTGTTTGGTGGCGCGCCCTTGACCAATGGCGGTGGATCCATCGCCGATCTGGTGCCCGTCACGGAGCGTGGGTTCATCATGAGTATCTTTAGTCTGAGCATGTTGATTGCTCCCGTCGTCGGACCTATTGTAGGCGGGTTCTTGTCGCAGGCCGCGAACTGGCGGTGGATTTTCTGGCTGCTGACCATGCTGGTATGTCTTCCATCACGCATCTGTCCTTCTATCAGTGCTGACGACAACAGAGTGGCGTCACTACCGTTGTCTCCTTCATTTGCCTCCGCGAAACCTTCGGCCCCGTCCTACTCGAGCGCAAGGCGGCCAAGATCCGCAAAGAGACTGGAAACCCCAACGTCCAGGTGGTCGGCCGCGGCGACATCAGCCTCGGAAAACTTCTCCGGCAGACCCTGATGCGTCCCATCACCTTCCTGTATAAGAGCGCGGTCAGTATCGTGATGGCCATCTACATGGGTCTGGTGTACGGCATCATCTACCTGCTCTTCACCTCCTTCACCCAGGTGTTCCAGGAGCGATACGGGTTCAGCCAGGGCATCGCCGGCCTGTGCTACATCGGCCTGGGGTTGGGATGCGCCTCGCAGCTGTTCCTGGGAAGCTACAGCGATAAGATCTACACTTCGTTGACCCAGCGCAACGGCGTCGAACGAGCCGAGTATGCTCACCTCCACCAGAAGGAAGGATGTGTATATGCTAATAAACACCTCAGATACCGACTCCTCCTCCTCATCCCCGCCGCCTTGTCCCTCCCCATCGGACTGGTGATCTACGGCTGGACCGCAGAATACACCGTCCACTGGATCGTGCCCATCATTGGCACCGTCTTCATCGGCGTCGGATTCTCCGGCTCAATGACCAGTGTGCAGACCTACCTCGTCGACGCCTTCACGGCCTACTCCGCCAGCGCCCTGGCCGCCAACAACGTGGTGCGCAGTATCGCCGGTGGTGTGGTGCCGCTGGCCGGCCCCTCCATGTATGGCAAATTAGGACTCGGATGGGGCAACACCTTGCTGGGTCTGCTGTCCTTGTTCTTTGGCCTGACGCCGTTGTATTTCTACTGGTTTGGGGAGAAACCCCCGAAGAAGGGGGAAGACCCCGTCTAGACTGTCATTCATTCCTTTCATTCTCTCGCTTTACCGTCTTTTATACCAGTTCCTCTCTTTATGTCTGTTTACCCTCATTATACCTCTTTGTCTTCCCTTACATGTACAAAAGTTTTGCATTGCGTGGCCTGGTCTGGGGCTTTAGGCTTCCCACATTCACTTCAGGGGGCGTGACGTCATTGTTTTTTCTCCAAGGCGCACTCAGCCTCGTCGGTTCCTCCATTCTGTATATAACTCACCATATGGCTGTCTGACGTGATCTTGATTTGGAAGCGTGTTTTGATTGTTTTGATTTCGACTTCACAAAAATCTACAGTAAATAAAAATTGGAAAAAACCAAAAAAACCCTTTTGTCGCTCGGCCTGTGGTATTGAACAGACTTTAATTAGGGATAAGGCCCGCGCTGTCTCAGCATGCCTTCGGCCATCACCACCGTGTTTTCCACCCACGAACTGTTGGAAAGCATCCTACTTCAGGTGGACTTGCGCACGCTACTCACTTCGGCCCAACGCGTCAACCGCACCTGGCATGACTTGATTCGCAGCTCGCTGCCGCTGCAGCGGACGCTGTTCTTCGCCCCGCAAGATGACATCCAGAAAAACACCGAGTACACATACAATCCTCTCTTAACGAACGCTTTCCCCACCTTCTTCCAGTCATTCCCAGGCCCCGCTGCGGGGAGACCCAAAAAGCTCAACCTCAACAGCCTCGAGATGGTGCTCCGCCCAGACAAGCAGACGGCCTACCTCCGGGCGGAGGCTAGTTGGCGAACGATGCTCACGCGGCAACCACCGGTGCGAAGTCTACTAGCAGTGCGGGTGACGTCGAGCATGGCGGGCGACAAGGAAGAGATGGAGTGGCTAGAGGTCCCCGAGGGGGAGCTACGGATGGGACGGGTGTTCGAGCTGGTGATGTCGCGCAAGGTGGTCTCGTTTCAGCCCATCACGCACATTCATCTTTTCTGGAACCCGGGGGCGGAGATGAGGGCTTTTCAGGGATCGTATATGCGGGTGGGTGACGAGTTACGGCGGGCAATGGTCGAGGCGGATGCGTTGCTGTACACGTACCACGTCGTGCAGTGTTCGGTGAGGTGGGAGGATACGGCGGAGATGACGTTGCAGAGTGATCTGGCGAGGGGGTATGGGAAGATTGATCTTTGATTATATTCTACTTTGTATAAATTACGGGATGGGATGATTATCTTGGAGAGTAGCGTTATATATCACCGACGGGATAACATGCCGGAGAGCCTGGATCATTCTATAGGCGTTGAGAAGATCTTTCATCATGGTCCAGATTCTCCATTCATATTCAAATATATATATATATATCTACATTCTTTTGGATCTAGAGACAGGTACTATACTAGTATGGCAGGTGCTCAGACTAGCCGACGGTAAGGTTGTACGTATATATATACCGGCTGCATTCCGTTCCGCACCCAAGATATCATCATCTCACAAAAAAAGACCAGATATCCATAGTCTCAATTAAACTTGTCCATAGACTACTATCAATCATAAACCAAAGATGGAAAAGAGAAAAAGAATGGGATGAACCGGGATCGAACCGGTGACCTTTAGATAACACTACTTCCGTAGAAGTAGAAACTGAAGTTGGTTCTTCAGTCTAACGCGCTCCCAGCTGCGCCATCACCCCTTTATCTTGCACCTACACTTTATTGCCTCCTCATATTCTCATCCACTTCAACCTCACTCGCTCAACACCACTTCAATCTATCACGAGGAGGGCATCATGGCCAATAAGCTCGACAGATATTCCGAGCCAACCACTCCATCACACTGTCACCAGTCAAGAATCACATTCCAAACTCAATTCCACCACTGCCTCGGCAAATTTTACCAGTCCATCCTCGTGCCGACGAGATGCGGGGTTGTTGACCACCGATCACTCCGGGGAACGTGGACGATGCATGACCCCAACCGTTCCCCGGATCTTGTTGCCGCGCCGGGTCTCTCGGAGGGAGAATGACCTCCAATGCAGACGCTGCCATTGGAGAGACGATCGCTACTCGCATGTCCCCTATCCTCCGACCTATCGTCTTTTCACCCGACGTCGTTAGGACTGCCCTCATTGCTCAGACAACGCGAGGGACCCCCCTGTCGATCGCGAAGAATGCCCCAGAGGGATAGATTCCCGGTCGCGGCACCCCCGCCTCGTAGGAATGCGCACTTATTTATAGGGTTGTCAGAACCGCTCGTGGGTGGACGGTTTGACACTGAGGTCCAATTCGCGATCCGTCCCATCCACCATGCTCATCCTTCTTCCCCTCCGTCTGGCGCTGTTGGGTCTCAGCCTGGCCCCGGTGATCTCCGCTCACCCCACGGGGTCGGCCACACCCCAGGATGTGCCCCGGGGCCTCCTCCCCCAAGACCCCAGCGAGGACCCCTTCTACCAGCCCCCGGGCGGGTTCGAAGCCGAACCGCCCGGCACCGTCCTGCGGAGCCGCCGCATCGTCGCCTCCTTCTTCGGCCTCCTCCCCAACCTCATTGAGGCCCACCAGTTGCTTTACCGCACCACCGCCATCGACGGCTCGGCCATCAGCACCGTGACGACCGTCTTCAAGCCGCTCAACTCCAAGCCGGACCGCTTCATCTCCTTCCACACCGCCTATGACTCGTCCGCCGTCAGCTGCCAGCCCAGCTACCAGTACCAGCTGGGGTCGCCGCAGACCGACCTGATCCTCTCGCTCGAGATGCTCGTCATCCAGATCTACCTGCTGCTAGGCTACGTCGTCGCCTCGCCCGACTACGAGGGCCCCGACGCCGCCTTTGGGCCCGGCCGCCTCGAGGGCACCGGCGTGCTGGACGGGATCCGCGCCGTCGGCCACCACCACGCCGCGCTGGGCCTCGACAGCGCCACGCCCCCCGTTGTCGGCGTCGGTTACTCCGGCGGTGCCATCGCCACCGGCTGGGCCGCCGGCCTGCAGCCCACCTACGCGCCCGAGCTGGACATCCGCGGCTGGGTCGCCGGCGGCACGCCCGCCAACCTGACCGGCACGCTGGTCTTCATCGACGGCACGGCCTTCAGCGGCTTCATCCCCTCGGCGATCGTCGGGCTGAATCAACCAAGCGCCTATGGGGCGCGGCTCCAGCCCGTCCTCGACGACATCGTCACCGACGCGGGGCGCTCCATCCTCGAAACGACATCGACGCAGTGTGCCCCAGCCGCGCTCGTCTCCTTCTTCGGCCGGTCGCTCTTCGACCCGGCCATTCAGACGATGGGCCGGGGAATCCTGCACGAGCCGACCGTGGCAGACATTCTCAAGGCAAACACGATGGGCGCCAACAGCTCGGAGACGCCCACGGCGCCAGTCTTCCTCTACCACGCGACAGATGACGAGATCATCCCGTACGCGAACGCGACGACGCTGCGGGACGCGTGGTGCTCGGATGGGGCGGACGTCCACTTCACGACGTTCGCTAGCGGTGGGCATGCTACGACCGAGGTGATCGGGTTGCCGCGGGTGATCAAGTTCGTGGAGGCGGCATTTGAGGGGAAAACGGCGAAGGGGTGCGCGATGGATGAGGAGCTGTCGGATCAGCTGGAGCCGTTGGCGCTGGGGGTCAGTCTGGAGCCAATTTTGGTGAAGCTGCTGCATGCGTTGATGTTGGCGGGGAAGAAGGATGGGAAGTTGCGGCAGGATGTGAAGGTCTGGGGCGAAATCTTCTGATGGTGTTGATGGTCGACGGTAATTACGGACACGATGATGGTTAACGAAGACGATGCTTTCAAGCGTTCATTATGGTCTTTTCTTTCCCAGTGGAAGCAAGACTACATTGCATGATGTTACGTACAACCTGTTTTACACATATTTATTAGACTTCAACGACTAACCAGACTCGAGGTAGTCATTCGTCGTAAGGGCCTCTCTTACGACAGACTTCACTGACCAACTTCTGAATAGTAGCATCGTATCGCGGCTGTGCATTGCACGTCGGTAACATGGGTACCTAATATTAGGTCCACGACTTGGTCACCGTGATCATCACAGGTATGATATGGTGAATGAAAATTACCACTCGGCCACAAAAGATGCCTAGACACTTTTAGGCTCTGTGAATTCCCTTTTATACATTATCTTATATTCTGACATATGGGTATCGGAATTCATCTCTAGACATAGACACAACTACAATGGGTCATAGCAAAACTAGAACACTTGACTCGGTATCGCGAGCTATACCACCACAGCCTGATATAGTCCTGACCGGATCAATAGACCTGGACACAGGGGATACAAACAGCTAAACCAAGCATTGACGACAGAGCCAATCACAAGTCTTATCACCCGTTCTATACGCACTAAGTCGGTCCCAAGACAAGATATTTATAGGGTCCATGAGTTTAGGCCACAACGGCGCGCGCTGAATGGCTGAAAACAACACTAATAGGTTTATGCGACCAGTCGAACTAGCTCTTTAAACAGACTAGAGCATGGCAGCTCCGCCGTAGTCGAGAACGGGTCCAGCAGGAGAGCATCCTCTCGAGGTAAGGATCGTCGGTATGGCCTCGGTGGGGGCCGAAGGGCTGAGAGCCTGGGACAGCCTCAGCTGGCTTGACAGGATGGCGAAGAAGTTTATAAAGAGGTTATTGCATCTGCATTCATCTCTACCGTATCGTCTCTATCATCTACACTCTCCCCCATCCGTTCGAGACCTCAAACATAACCATGGACGCCTACCACGCCCACTTCAATACCAACCAGTACGCCAGCTCGCAGCCTACTCAAAACGACACTCCGCACGGTGCCAATGCCGATTACTACGGGAGAGAGGCGCCGGCTTCGTCGACGCACGCCGAACCGGCCTCAGACCACCACGGTGGTGAAGGGGACCGCGGACTGGGGTCATTTATGAAGAAATCCGGCGGTAAGGAAGGCAAAGAAGGCAGAGATGGGGAAGACGGAGAAGAGAAGAAGGGTAAAGCCAGCAAGATCATGAAACTGGGGATGAAAGCGTGAGCTTACGTATCTGTCTCTCGATGGATGGCAGGTGTGCTAACTGGTTTAGTTACAAGAAACATAAGGAGAAGAAGAAGTCAAAAGAGGACAGCGGGTCCAAGCCGCATAAGTCTCATTCTGGAGGAGCAGTGGCAGCAGATGAGGAAGAGGAAGATGAAAGCTCTAGTGGATCAGGGTCCGGATCTGATGATGAGTCGGATGAGTCCGAGTCTGACTCGAGGTCAGGGTCGGATGATGAATGATTTCTACTCTAGTCCTTCTAATGTATTTATTTTCTCGATCGTCTGATAGACATGAGCGAGCGTTAATTTTGGCCTCCGGGTTTTATACACAATATATACAAACGTATGTATATAAATCATTGAATAATCTCCACCTTCACCCCCACCTTCATCCCCCAGCCATCTCTCCCCCCAACCCAATTCTTCCGCTTTCCCACTTTACGAATCTTATGGATCGTCCCCTCCAGCAACTCCTTCACCTGCGACGGATCGATATCCACCCGCTGCACACGAAACACTAGCTCGAGGCCCTCTTTGTCGCGTCGCTTGCCCAGATGACTACTCCACCGCGCGGTCGGCAGCACACGGGGCTGGGCCGGATCGACAATCCCCACGGGATACAGCGCGGCAATCACAAGTCCTACGCCGCCGAGATAGCGCGTCCACCAGACCTCCTCAACGGGGAGGAGCGCACGCAGTCGGCGGCGGAAGTCCCGCTCACGCGGCGGCAGCGCCCCGCCGTGCCGCGCCTGTAGTAACAGAGCGAGACGGGCGCGGTCCGCGTGCGGAATGCCGTGCGCGGCGGCCATCGGGCCTGCGCTCGTGCTGTATAGCGCTGCCGTGGAGGCTAGCTCCTTGCTCATTGCGGCGTGGAGGTAGAGAGAGTTGGCAAAGGCTTGGATTACGGGCCCGCTCAGATCGCGCGGGAAGCGTCGCTGCGCTGTTGGGGCCGGAATGGTGGCGAGGAGGAGGTAGAGCAGGGCTTGGACAGAGGGGCGGGCGTATGCCTCCGTGGCGACCTGTAGCGGGTCCTGCTGGCGCACGACGGGCGGAAGTGTCCTGAATAGCAGCCCCTCGCGGACGCCGCCTTGGCAGAAGTGGGCGGCGCGGATGCCGTGCGGGACAGCAGCCGCCAGGGCATTAACCAGGAAGGCGACGGAGGGGACCTGGGCGCGGCGGCGGTCGGAGACGCGGAAGATGCGGTCTGCGGTGCGGGCGGCGCGCTCGACGGAGTCGGTGTCGGCGAAGTCGGCCTGGGGCGCGGAGTAGCCGTTGATGATGGAGATGGGGTAGTATTCCTTGTCCGGATGGATCTGGTGCAGGTAGAGGAGGAGGTATCCCCAGCCGCGGAACCCGCCGCCGGACAGGTACAGGTCGAATCCGCCGTGGCGGCGGGCGTGGTCGCGGAGCGGGGCGGGGATGGCTAGCTGGCGGAAGGCGTCGCGGAATTGGTCTTCCATGGCGGCGCGAAAAGCGTCGAGGGCGCGATGGGCCTCGCTCTTGCTTTTGCCTTGCTTCAGCAGGTGGAGTGTCTGGGTCAGTGCTGCCGCGCCGTAGGGGAAACTGACGGCGCGGCGCGGGCTCATCTGGACGTGACCTGCGTGGGCGATCAACCAGGTGATCTGCATGCTGCCGCCACCTAGGTCGATGGCAAGACCCTGGATGTCGGAGAAGCCGCTGGCGATGCCCCATGCGCCGACGACACCTTCGTGGGACTTGGAGAGGATCTCGACGGGGCGGGTGGTGGCGCGCTCGATGGCGGCGACCAGGTCGGCACCGTTGAGGGCCTGGCGCGTCGCCTCGGTAGCGACTATGCGGAGGTTTTCAGGCGGCACTTCCAGCTGGAGACAGATGGTCTGGAAGCGCGTGATGGCGGCGACAACGGCGTCGATGACGTCGGAGGGGATTGGGATTTGCTTGCCGGAGTCGTCATACTGTGCGTCGTAGAGGGAGATGTTGACGCGCTGCATGTGCTGGGTGGGCAGGATGCGGGCGGTGCGGGGGGACAGGTCGGTAATGGAGCAGCGAATGCCATTGCTGAACTGTTAGTGGATGGAATGGAGATGAAGCTATTGCGATTACCTGCCGAGATCCACCACCGCGTGCAGTCGACTGGGGTCGTCATGACCGATGGAAGGGGTTGGATATGGGGGTATTTCACCACCACCCATGCTGCTGAATTTATATACTATAGTTTATATACTCATATCCGTGTATGTAGATTACCTGTGAATGAAGATGTGAAGTGAAATATGGTCAGTTCCTGGTGCCTTGCTGAATGCGGCGATGATGTCACCACTCGTGCTACGTCGCCATCGATGATACTTCATACGCGGTAGAGTAGCTAGTACCATTGAATATTCATCTGGAGCATCTGGAGAACACGAGGATACAGATGAAGACTTGCTAATCTCATCCATCTAACCAAGATAGATCTCACTGCGAACCATCCACCACTTGATGCACTGGTACCTTTGGCATTCCCTGCTCTGCACTGCTCTGGAACATCAATTCCATCTGTCCTGTCAGCATCCCGAATACAAAGTAGGATAAGAAACCATACCAGCTCGAGATCGGCCAACGCCTCCTCCGGTCGCTGTCGATCATTCCACTCCCCCGTGGCGAGCGCCTTCCCCCAGTCCAGGACCTCGTCCGGCACGCCCAGCCCTTCGATGGGGATCGGACGCACCTCGGGATCACGGTCCTTGAAACGGGTGGTTACAGTCGTATTTTCGACAGTGCCAGTCGCATCCATGACGCTGATGCTGCCGTTATCGCCGACGATCTCCCACCCCGTGCCATGGAGGTTTGACGTGAGCGACAGCTGGAACACCCCTTGGGTGCCGGCCTCGGTTTGAAAGATGGCATCCAGGGTGTCAAGGGGGGGAAGTTTGTCGCTCGCGGCACTCGCAAAGGCCGCAATGCGAGTCACCCGGTCAGAGCGAAGCAAATGGCGCAGGCTTGCTGCGAAGTGGACCCCGCAGTCCAGCAGCGTGCCGCCCTGATGCTCGGGGTGTCTCCGCCATGTGGAGCCCTCTAGATTTTGTCAGCTCTGATATGGACGAAAGCCTGGAGAGGGATAAAGGGGCCCACCGAAGAAGCTCCACATGTAGAAACCCGGCCGACAGTCCATGTTGACCTGCACGCGCAGCTGGTGAATGCGACCCAGTGCAGCCAACTGGTCGCGCGCGTAATTCAGACTCTTCCAGTACCGCCAGTTCTCGGCCACGGACCAGTTGGCTCGCTGGGAAACTCCCGACGACCGGTACCACTGGAGTAGGGTCGTCGCTTCGGCGATGTCTTTGGCGATGGGTTTCTCGGAGAGGACGTGTTTGCCGGCGTCTAAAGCAATGCGCACGAACTTGGCAGTGAGAACGATTGGGACACTAGGATGTCATATCAGTATGCCTTATGAAGTGGGACTGAGAGGCCGTACGCTATGATGACGGCGGTGATATCGGATCGGTCCAGCATCGCAGCCAGGTCTTGGTCCGCATCGTCGGCATATCGAGCCAGGTCGCGGTCTGGGGCCACACTTTGGGCGGATTTCAGGGATCGCGAGTAGACGGCGCGAAGCTCAATCTCGGACGTGGCGTCGATGGCAGGCTTTGTATATTAAACAGTGAACTATAAATAGTGTAAGATAGGACCTACCAGATAGACGAGTCGCGCGAAGAGACCGGCACCGATCAAGGCAACTCCGATGGGCATCTTGGGCAGATCGATGGGATTGCTAGAGGGGAGGTGGGATGGAGGTGGGATGAGGAGGATGTGGTTGATGATCTGGGAGAAGAATCCCAACTTTGAAGAAAAGTATCAGTCCCGAACCCCTCATCACCAGTGATTAAGCTAGTGAGTACTGTGCGTCATTTACTGGAAAGATCTTCATGGATTCTCTGAGCATGGTTGGGGTTGCATCAGCCCCGCAGTCCCCCTCCAGCCTTGTCTATACTAAGTCTATCTGTCCATTGCTAGTAGTGGTGGTCTGGTTCTACTTTGCTGTTGCACATGTAGAGCATGCAGTAGAAATATTCTCATTCTGTCATTCAGTGGTGACTGTGGTCAGTTGAGGCTGAGCTGATACAGATAATACAGTTGTGATGCTATAGATACGCATCACCATGTACAGCCAGTCTATTCACCATCATGAATCACGGTCACTTTGAATAGTACAAACCAGGATAATGACATGCAGTGAGAGACAAAAGTGACATACGCAGCACGATGTGAGCAAATTTAGGAGTGTCCTGTTATCAACATTATTATATGATTCATTCACGATCTATAATCAAGGTATAACCCATCAATCTCGCAACGCCTCGCTATCCTATAAACAATTCAAAGATCACATTAACACCCGAAAGGCAGTCTCGATATTGATCAGCTAATAAAACCACGAACAGAGAGTCCTTCCCCTCGCCAACCGTCGATACTCCTGCATAACAGGACTCCCACCCTCCACCTCCGCTCCCCCATCCACCCCCGTCGCATGAGCATACCCATCTCCTTGACCAGCAATAAAGAGATGCCCCTCATCATTCGCCGCGGTAATGTTGAACTGCTCCTCGAGGACCGCGCCCGTCGGGCCTTCCGCGCACGCCCCCTGCACCCGCGTCGACGCAGGGCTATTCAACGCCAGTGCGAACAGGTTCGGCGGCTCCGTAAAGTCCGTGATCTGCTCGCCGCGCGCCTCCCCCAGAAGGAAAGCCAGATAAACAACGCTGGTGATGAAGGCCGCCCCCAGGACGAGGTAGAACACCCGTTGCCACGGATGGGAACCGCCCGACGCGTAGCCCACCGCGCGGAGGGTTGCCTCGCAGGTCTCCGACACGGGGTTGTGCACCATGCTATCCCCGCGGTCGGCGTAGGGCCACGCGGTGCGGAAGGAGGTGCTCATCGTGGAGAGGAGGAGCGTGCTACCGGCGAGGACGGCGAGACCCTCGGCGACGGAGGGCCGCTCGGCGGGGAGGGCTCGTGGCTGCCCCGTGGGGACGAGCTGCATCAGCAGTCGGGCGTTGCTGGAGGCCCCGTCGAGCATTCCCGTGCCCAGGCTGAGCGACGTGCTCCACAGCGACGCGACATTCTTCCAGTTCTGGCGCCACTCTCCGTCTGGGTCGTCCGGGTGGAAGCGATCGTACTGCATGACGTTGGTGGGCGACTGGCAATTGACGGTGAGGTTGGCGCCGGTGGCTGACGCCTCGTAGTGGGTTGAACACCGCGGCGAGAGCTTGGCTTTGAGCGCGCAGAGCACGTAGGGCGGATCGTCGGTGGAGGGGTTGGGCGTGGTGCCGAGGAGGAAGACCGAGTCGGCGGGTGCGAGGCTGGTGGTGTTGAGGACGGTGTTGTATGCGCTGGGAAAGCGGCCGAAGACGGGTGGCCGTTGGCCGTATTCCGGGCCCCAGCCGAAGAGATCGTCAACAACGGTGCGGTTGAGGTAGTCCGGGTAGTCCGGGACGCCTTGGGGCCTGTTCTGGAGCCAGGCAGGGACGTCGAGCTTGTCCTTGGAGCCCTCCGGCCACTCGGTCCACACGAGCGGAGCCAACTCCTCCTTTGTCATGCCGGCGCAGAGGACGTTAACGGCCGGGGCCGCGACGGCGGCGTCAAGCTCGAAATTGCCCTCGCCGCGGACCTGGGGCTGGGGGATGCGGTTGACCGGGTCGTTCGACGCCGTGAAGACGCCGCCGTGGGGCATCGCCGCCGTGACGTTGAGGACAAGCCGATGGTAGCGCTCCGAAAGCTCCGCCATGTCACTGTTATCGCGGTCGATCCACTGGCCGATCAGGGTGGTGTTGTCCCAGAGGGAGCCCATGGGGGGCGGCCGGTGCGCGAGGTCGTCGGTGGGATCGCGGATGATGCTCCACGCGTTGAGCCACGCCCTGTAGTTGTGGTAGGCCTGGCCGGTGTGCAGCAGCTCCATGCAGGTTCTGTTCCGATTGTCCGGGTCCATCGCGAGCGGGATCGGGCTAGCACATTGCTCGCCCAGGATCTCAGGGTTGGCAAAATCCACGGAGACGCGGCCGACCAACTGGAGCGACTCGACGCGCCCGAGGATCAGCTTGGGGGCGACGAGGGCCTCGGCGGCGGTGGTGTACAGCATCGAGACGATGGCGGCCGTCAGGGCGAGCACCCCTAGGACGGTTCCGGCCGCCTGTCGCAGCATCTCGCCTTGGACGAGGAGAGAGCCCGGTTGCATGATCCAGGTGCGCAGGTTCATCTCGGGGATGGTGATGCCGCGCGAGCGTCGGAGCAGGGCGCGCCGCGAGAGGACCTGGCCTACGAAGGCCACGCACACCGTCACGTACGACAGTTCGATTGTCTTGGCTATCAGGGCGCTCAGCAGCGTTGCTGTGGCCGGGTCCAGCCCTCCCACGCCGATGCGATCGCCAAACCGGGGTTGCACCAGGGCGACGACCAGATAGAAGCATGACGCGAGGGTAGCGTAGACGGCCAGGAGGATGATGGACACGGGGAGCCACGACCAGCGGGACTTGACCAGGTGGCCTCGCGCGGGACATTTGATGCCGTGGGGTGAATCGAGCAAGATGTGACGGGCGGAGTAAGGCGGGGACATCTGATCGGAGGGATTCTGGTCAGGATTCTGGTCGGGGATGTAGCCAGGGGAAGGTCGATCGAGAGCAGGTTCATCGTCTGGCAACCGTGTCCAAGGGGAGATGCCCAGTCCAACGGCGTGCGAGCGGCCCATGGTGGATAGATAAGCTTTCCATCTCTGGAGTGGAGAACGAGTGAGGATTGATGAGATTATATCCTTTATATCTCTTTGTATCAAGCCATATCAGGCTAGATCAGTCACACTCACTTGATTTCCTCAAAGAGTCAGGTCGAACAAGTAGGGTCCAGACGCGTCAGCCCTAATGCAACCCCCCGCTGACGTTCGAGAGATCAAACGGCTCATGGATCACAGCTCGGGGCGCAGCAACAGAGTGGGTGTCATCTTATTCCTACAAGGGATTGATGATGAACTGGCTATGTGTTGATTGGATCTTCCGGCATCAAAGACTCCTCTTCCCTGCGTCTCGTATTCCAGCCTAATCTCATCTATGTACCAAGACGGAAATCGTCCACCAGGCTGACAGAGACTAGAACGCCACTCGCCCAGTCTGGACCCCCCGCAGGATCTCAGCCTTGTGCATCTCTTCAATCATATTGAACAACATGAAGTCGCACCCCCGTCGCACCAGCAGGTTTATCGTCACCGGCCACTGCTCCTGCACCCCCGTTACTGGGGACTCATATGGAACCTGTCCAATGGGGATCGTGACGTCGACACATCTGCACGCGCGAGCCAGTTAGCACTTCCCCGATCAATCATACGTCAGCCCGAGGCTGATGAACATACCCGAAAATAGCGCACAGTAGCCCACACGTTGTCACTGCGCCGTCCGGGATCCGCCCGAAGCGCGTCGCATTCGGCCCGTCGTTGAGAGCCTCTTCCCGAAAGCTGGGGAGACCCCCGGTGCTGATGTCACACACTAGGATGGACTCGGAGCAAGTCTCGCGCGTCTCGTACAGGATGTGTTGCTCGAACCATGCGGCCATCCGGGCGCGTACCTGCCGCGCCGCTTCATAGGCCGTCTGCGTTGTGACGGTCGGGTCGAAGGTGTGCCACTGCTGCCGCCAGGCCGGATCAACCGGAGGGTAGCGGCCGTCGTGGCGCCGCGCCCAGGTCGACACCAGCGGTGTGACCACGTCCACCCACTGCGGCCAGACGGACATGGTCGACGAAGCGTTGAACACGGTCTCCCATGTGGCCAGACCCAATACCCCGGGGAAGATGGACGCGTTGGCGACGGTGTTGGTGAGGTGGAGATGTCCGACCGTGAGGTTGAATCGAGTCGCTACGCGCGCCAGCGCCGTCTCGACGAGGGTCTGCGCGGCAGGGTTTACCAGCGGGAAGTACTCAGAGAGGTAGAGTAGCCGGCGCGGGAATGCCCTCGTGTCCCGAACGGACAGCGGGGGCAATCCCGTGATGGACGGGTTCTGATGCAGCTGCGGCGTGTACCAAGCTTTGGCGAAGCGTGCCCACTCCGTCGGGTCGCGGGCGAACACGCCAGCCGTGTCCTGGGCCCAGTTCAGGGGGACGACACCTTCCATTGAGATCATACCCTGGCTGGGTCGGTTGCCATAGGTTCCCGACACGGCGGCCGGGCGGCGCATGGAGACGGCCGTGTCGGTGCCGATCGCGGCGTCGAGCCAGTCGTAGGCAGCGATCGCGCAGCCGCCACCGGACGAGGACCCCGAGCAGGTCAGGTAGCCGTCGCCGCGGGGGTTGAAGGGCGCGTGCAGGTCGGTCCAGTTCCAGGGGTCGATGCCCGAGGCGAACTGTCCCGGCTTGAACTTGCCTACAAGCACGGCGCCAAGGTCGATCAGGCGCTGCATGGCTGGGGCTGTGGACGTGGCGACCGGGGTGATCTCGATCCAGGCCTGGCTGCCGGCGGAGGTCTGTGTGCCCTGGAGGTCGAAGAGGTCCTTGATGGCGACGCGCCGACCGGCTAGGGGGCGAGGATCGTGGCGCGCGTGGATCCGACTAGGGACGGGGATCAGGGCACCCCAGCGACCGGGGGAGAAGGCAGACAGGCTGGTAAAGGCCCGGATCCATCGTGGGCGGGATAGACGCCAGTGATGAAGTCGCGGTACTCGTCGACGTACAGGCGGTATGTGTCGAAGAGATGGAGGCCATGCGGTGACAGCCTGGCTGTGTATGGACCGGGAGGGAGTGGCTCCGTGTCGCGGGTGGCAATCCGGTGGTAGTTGTCTCGCAGGACGGGCTGGCGGAAGTTGATATCCAGGAAGACCAAGGCGCAGTGGATGTGCTCAAGATAGTCGATAGCAGAGGCGTCCAGCCTCGCGGAAGACGCGCTCGACGATAGGTAGATGGCCTGCAGGAAGTCCTCGGTCATGACATCGTCGGACTGGAGGTAGCTCGTGAGCAGGTCCTCCAGGTGATCGCCTGTGAGAACACTCTGGTTCGTCACGACGGCCGTCAGGAGGCTCAGATCCTTGTCGGGCTCCAGGCCAGGAACGGTCCAGCGACGCGTGGGATATTTGACATTGGCAAAGTAGGCAACGTCTTTGAGCTGGTAGGTGATGCCATCTGAGCTCTTCTCCAGGTCGAATGGGTGCAGTGGTGCCGATATGGCGATAACGGGGGAGACAAGGGCCAGGGCCCTGAGAAGCATCTGCATTGTCATTTTCTGTAGCTATTGTGTTGATGAGATCAGAGGAGTTTAAAACTATTTCTATCGCCAGGAGAGAACAGAGGCGATGCACGTTGGCGTCCGTTTCAGTTGGGCCCATGTTGGTGGCTGCTGTGTCACCTTTTCCATACTCTGGAAATGAAGTCAGGAGGATTATTTGCATATTCCTATTGCAATGAAGACTGCAGGGATTGAATGGAGCTGACAGAATTGAATGAGGTTGCTAGGATTGTTCTCTCGAACAATCATCTACTGGTCGATTGTGGGAAACTACAATAGGACTATGAATATCAGATTCACGAGATGGTCTGACACAGTGGAAATGACGTTGGAACAACCAACCACAGCCTTGGCTAGATCAATTCAACGGTCTTAGATTCAGCTACAGCGGCCCTGCATGGCGTCTGCTTCGTGTGATGTCTATCATGTGTATGAGACTATACAACATGTTGGGATATCAGTCATTTTAAGCCTGACCCAAATGCTGTTCGGTATTTGCTGCAGTGCTTGAGATAAGAGAAAGCCTCCCGTACGTTTTACCGCGTACTCTTATACAGCCATACTGAAAGAGGAACTCGACAGAGTTCTGTCTTTCCACGATCAGCCGGTGTGGCCTAGATGATGCGCATCAGAATGACGGACACATGACGCCGAAACCCTAAGTATACACATATCGGAATGCGTTTTCGGCTCAACATCACCTGCCATGCAGAATTTTCTCCTCTCCACTCCTTTTCTCTCTTTTTTCTCTTTCCTCTCTTTCCTCTCTATTCTCGTCTCTCGTCTCTCGTCTCGTCGCTCTCCAGCCCACACAATTCAACATCAATATCCCACCATGCTGACTACCCTGCCTTCCGAACTCATTCTCGCCATCGCGGACCACCTACCCCCGCACCATGTCAACAGCCTAGTGCGCACCTGTTCGGGGTTCCAAGCACTGCCAAACACCTACCTTTACCGGCGCGTTGCCCGTGACAGCCTCGCTTCGCGGAAGGCCTTCCTCTGGGCCCTTAACCACTCCAATGTCCAGACGATGCAATCGCTGTTTGACCACGGCGCCCGACTTGCCAAATTCAATAGATCGGAATGGTCCGTCAACATGTGGTTGGGCCTGTACTACCGCAGCTCCCCCATCTTGTAAATCCTCATTCGGGCGATACAGTGCGGGCACGAACCATCGGTGCGGCTGCTTCTCGCCCATGGCGCCGATCCCAACGAGCACAACTGCAATGAATTGACGCCCCTCAAAGTCTCCGTGGGTGCGCGAAACCTGCCACTGACCCGGCTGCTACTGGCCGCCGGGGCGAAACTCACGCCCATGGTCGTTAAACAGGCTACCCACTGTGGCCACATAGAGATGGTGCAGCTGCTCTTGGATGCCGTGGCGGCCTCAGATCCGGGTGCACTGTTCATGTACCGCAAGGCGACGCTCATCTACGCCGCCATCACGGGGCAGCTAGTCATCCTGCGCCATCTCCTCTTGGATCTCGTGGATGTCGACCGACGCGACCCGCTTTGGAGCGATGTGTTCTACGAAGCTGCGCTATACAGCCGCCTAGACGCGCTGCGCATGCTCTTCAAACACGGGACACACCCCGGCCGCACAGGGCAAGTCATGCTTTTGTCGGCCGAACAGAACAGACATGATGATGTTGTGGAACTGCTGATCGAGAACCATGTGCCGGAGAACGACCCCGCGGAGATCGCGAGCTTCATGTGCAAAATCGTCAGGTGGGGACGGCTCTCAACAGTTAATCGGCTCATTGCCGCCGGTTACCCGGCTGACATCCCCGATCCAACTAGCGGACGCACGCCGTTGTCGTTCGCGGCCCAACGGAGCAATATCGCCATGATGCGGGTGCTGATCAAGGCGGGCGCCGACCCGTTGGTCCACTATCATAACGGATGGATGCCCCTCGGGTGAATGTAAGTGCGCCGTCAGAGGAAGGTGCTCATCGTGCTGTATCGCCATCGTTGGTGTTACGAAGTGCGCGCGACCCCCTTCTCGCCATGACCCAGGGTCAGCTCGCCAAGTAGACGGGTCGGATTCCATCTCCACAAAAGCCTGGCGCTTCCAACCTGGGTATCGTGCTAGGTGGGGATCCATTCTTCTATGGTATACCTTAGGAGACGATCCGTGGAGGCGAGCAAACTGATATACACTCGAGATTGATTGATACCAATGCGATAGATCACGGATACTGAGTATATGGATCCCCCATGCTTAGTTCTTGGATTTTTGCAAGATTCCTTCGGTTGAGATTGGAATGGCGTATTGGGTCGAGATGGTTGTCTGTTTACAAGCTGGGCGTTGGCGTAATTGAGACGATGGTACGAAATACTAATGCAGGATCGCGGAGAATCAAAGATGGCTAGTTTGATATAATCCGCAAGATCTCTGTAGTAGAGACAGCGTACGTTTATCCCAATTAATTGAAACATTTGTTATATACGGTCATCAGTCTAAACACTCTTCCCCGCCGGATCCACCGGCGCCAGACGACTCATCGCGCGGATCCGCCCCCCAAAGAGGTAAAACAGGATCGGAATAGGGATCATCGCGACGGCAATACAGCCCAGCAGTGTCGCCGCCCACTGGATGCCCAAGTTGTGGAACATCTGCTCGGTGAACAGAGGGAAGCAGGCGGCGACTATGGAGCGCATCATGGTGTTTGCTGCGAAGGCAGAGGCGGCACTATCTTTGGTTAGGGAGGCCTCGGGATGTGAGTAAAGTTAGGTCACTTACAAGTGGGAATACGTGTCCAGGATGTAGTTGAAGCATTGCATGAAGATAGTGGTCAAGCCGAAACCGATCAGCACGCCGGACGCTGTGGGTGCCATCCAGTGGATGGAGTGGGAATAGCCGGTCCATCCGAACCTATAACCGTTAGAATATATATGGTATATGTGTGGGCTTCATGAAGAGGGGAAGACACACCAGAATAAACCCCCTGCAAAAGCTATACCCCCCACGATACACGGCGGCAGACGCCATTCCGGCACAGTGATGAACCCATTCCCCTCGAGCTTCCGCTGATAGGACCGGCCCCCGGACAGGACAAACGCACAGCCTGTCATCTCGCCGATAATCAGGCCAATAAAAGGCAGGCCGCTGACCCCGGCAGGCATGTGGTAGATGTCGCGGAAAACGATGGGGTATGCTTGAAGAAGGGCATAGGACAGACCGTAGATGAAGGACATATACAGCGTCAGCAGCAGGGCGATGGGCTCGGTGAAGAGGATGCGGAACGGACGGGCCAGGTTCTTCGTGACCAGCTGGTGCCAGTCGAGCTCGAGCTCGTCCTGGCGCGCGTGGATGCCCCAGTTGCGGGTCTGGCGGCGCAGGACCGCCGCTTTGTGGACGAGCACAGTGGGCGCGTACGTCTCGGGGCAGAAGAATAGCATGAGTGCCAGGCTGGCGAAGCCGACGATTGCGGGCACGTACAATGTCCAACGCCAGCCGAGGTCGCTAGCGGCAGTGAAGCCGCCGATGAAGGGCGCCGTGAAGGGGCCGAGGAAGACAGCCATGGTGTACATGGCGATGGCGACGCCACGGTGGTGGCTCTTGAACAGGTCCGACAGGCTGGCTGGCACGAGGGCGATGATGCTGGCGGCGCAGAAGCCCGAGAAGAACCGGGCCAGAAACAGGGTCTGCGTGTCCTTGGCCACGGCCGTCGCGATGGAGAAGATATCAAACCCGAACATGGCGATCAGCAGCGGCCAGCGACGGCCGACGAGCTCCGACGCCGGCGCCCACACCGTCGGGCCAGCCGAGAATCCCAGCACGTACAGCGTCGTGCCGAGGGCGGCGACCTCAGACCCGAAGCCGAACTCCTCCATCACGCCGGGGGAGGCCGTGGCGAAGATGGCGCTGGAGTAGGAGGTAACGAGGGCGCCGAACGTGAGGAGGGAGCCGATCAGGATCCTACGTGGTCCGAATCAGTATGACTGACTGTGGGATGGTTGAAGGAGATACGTTACCGCTTCGGCATGGGCCAGTTCTGCGGGTGCAGAGGATCGTCGGCGCCCTCGAATTCCACCACGTAGTCCTCTGAGTTGGGCAGCTCGGGGGGATAGGGCTTGCCGGCACCTAGGGGCAGCCACTGCTCGCGCGGAATGCGATTGCGCATCGAGCCGACGGTGGCCTGCTGCTGTAGTCGGGCCGTCTCGATACGATCGAGCTCGACGAGCTCCGGATCCTCCATAGACGCGCGGGAGAAGCGAGGATCATGCTGGTCGTGGTCATGCATGATACCGATACAATGTGCGTAGCACCAGGATTCAGGGATTCAGGGATTCCAATCTCATCCAATATTTGATGTTTTATTGAGTGGATCTCGCGTCATGCCGACTCCCGACTGGACCCACTCGGATGGTTAGGACAATGGAACAGGGAGGCCAAGAATAAGGTTCTCCTGGGTTTCATTTATACGGATGATCTATTGAAGGTGAATGATCAAGATTATCAACTATGAATGCTGGAGTATCCTCCAAACAGCGAAGCTTGTACTGTGTGTCGATTCATGACAAGATATATAAGTAAATATCGGATATAATATTGAATTGATTATTGAACAGTGGGTCGACCAGCGCTCGAATGGGTCCTCGACGTCAGCCTCGCTGCCTCGGCATGTCTCGAGGTCCAGGCAGGATCAGACAGACATGGTTGTCAAGCATAAACCAGGTATTGAAATCTGCTGAAATATCAATTGCTGATGACTAAAATATAAACTATATAGGATATATGGTAGGTGCAAGGTCGGTCACCTGACGCCCCCAACCCTAGCTCCAATGCGACGATGATATCCTCAATACTGCATAGAAGGTGGACAAGACAGCACACACTAAGACGACTGCTTCATCACTGGCAACTCCGCCATATGCAACTTGGCACTCCCATACGGCACCATCCGCACCGGTCCCGCCTCCTCCACACAGCGCCGACTCTCTCCCAACGGCGGGTTAGACGCGAAGCCGTCCTGCATGGGCCAGTCAATCCGACATCCCGTCACTATAATCGCCGTGGGAGCCCCCACCGTCCACAACGGGTCTGGGAGGCTCCCTCCATCCTCGTCCAGTCCCTCGTATCGCGCCGTGTCCGGGTCCACGGCGTACGCCCACTGCCCCGTCGGCTGCAGGGCGTGGTTGCGCACCTGCTCCGGCGCGGTCCCCTCCGGGTACGAGGGGTCCAGCGTCGACGTGTCGTTGAATCCCACGGGGATAGCGTACAGCAGCGCGCCGTGGAAGAGCGACACCGTGTCGTTGGCACGTTGCTCCACGCGCACTGTCGGCGCCAGGCGCACCTCGACCTGTGTCTTGCCAGCGTCCACGGGGATCGTATGCAGACCGGTGGCGGGATCCGGCTGGGCTTCCTTCGCCGCGCCCCCGTCCATGGTCACCCGGGTGTCGCGCGGTGCCGACCACTCCGGGATGCGCACGAGAAGGTCGGCCGGCCCGTCCGCCTGCACGGTGTAGGTCAGCACAGGCGAGAAGGGGTAGACTGTGTCGCAGACTATGTCAACGGAAACACCGCCTCCGGTCTTTGTGTGGACGTGTGTGGGGCCCAGCAGGGCGTGGGCGACGCCGCGGCGGCCCACCCGCCCCCACGACCCGGCCACATACTTGGGGTAGCCCTGCGGATGGTTGACGGTGCAGCAGGGGTAGTGCGGCTCGAGGCCGTAGATCTGGCCGTCGGTGCCGACGTTGGAGAAGGGGGACTTGTCGAGGACGTGGGAGATGGGTTGATTGGTCTGGGCGACGTACTGGTGGGCCCACCAGTCGGGCAGGGCCATGACGGGGAGGGCGTTGAAGGCCACGCACTCGGCGGCGTCGGCCAGGCCGGGGGTGCCCAGGGCGCGGTGCAGGTAGGCGAGCGAAAAAAGGGCCTCGACGACGGCGCAGAACTCCGTGCCGCGCGTGGGGCTGCGGCCGGAGAGGCTCTCGTCGGCGATAATGGATCCTGACGGGGTACCGTGGGATTCCAGGGTCCAGCGGACGGCGCGGCGGGCGCTGTCGGCCAGGGCGTCGTTATGGGTGAAGCGGCGCACAACGGCGGCGTACTTCCACCCCTGGGCGATGTTGACGCCGTGCTCGAAGGGGCCGTTCTGGTTGACTTGATCTGCGGAAAGAGTGTCGAGGTCGTCGGCGAGGTATACGCCGTCGGTGTACCACTGGGTCCAATCGTGGGATCCGCGCTGCAGCCAGTACATGCAGTCGAACAGACGGCGCGTCTCCGTGCCGTTACGTGGGTCGTGGGTGGCGAGCCACTGCAGCGAGAGCATCAGGTCAGCCGCGCGAGTGCGGCCCCAGACGTCCATGAAGCCGCGGGGGTCATCGTCGCCCGGGGAGATGTACCCGCGGTAGTTGTCGGCCAGCATGGTGTGGGTGCAGGCGACAAAGCGGTGCAGAGCGTCCCGGATGCGGGGGCACGGTCGGGGTCGGCCTCGGCGAGCTGGGTCAGGGCCAGGACAAGGGGGAAGCGGCCCCAAAGGTCGCGGGGGCCGTCGGCAGGCTCGGGACCCAGCCAGCCGTCGGACTGCTGGCGATCAAGAACAGCATCGGAGACGTTGCGGACCTGGTTCCAGAGGCGGGGACTGTCGGTCAAAGCGGCCAGGGGTACGAGACCGTTGAGCCAGTAGGGTAGGGCTTCGTGGGCGTCGCTGTATTCGTCGGTGCCGCCGACCCAGACACTGTCGCGAACGTAGCGGTAGAAGTCGTGCTCGTGGCCTGGCAACCCCTCTGCCATGAGGGCGAGCTGATCGGCGAGCCAGCCCTGGGGGCGGACAGAGCCGAGGGGGAGCGGGTCGACAACGTATGGGACGAGAGTGGTGGAGCCATTCCAGGGCGGAGGATGCTCCGCGGTTGCGGAGCGTAGGAGGGACAGGATAGCCAGGAAGGCGAGATGAATGAGAGATCTCATCCTTGTCGGTCAGTTAGAGAGATCACCCATGGGGATCGTACGAGATTGACGCAGGGATCATGAAGAGGAAGAACGGGGTCCTGGTCTGTCTGATCCCCGGGCCAGGGATATGGGTGGAATGTGGATGATATCATCATTGGAGCCTCTCTGGGGCTGAGGATGCGAGATCCAAGGAGGAATTCGAAATATATCTCTTTGATTGGATTCCACACGTTCATCTTCTGTTCGGGGTGGAGGAGAGATGATGGTTGTCATGTCGATCATGTAATTATATATTGTCGTCCGACGGGGAGATGGATCAAGGGAGATCAGACCAACAGGATATGACCTTATACAGATAGATTGTATATCAAGAATGAAAGGAGGATTGATGAAGTGAAATTGCAGCTGAAGTTGATATAAACGTCGATATTGAGGTCGATGTGCATGGAGAGGGCCTGAGAATCTTGCTGCCTGAGGCATCTGTCGCCCAGGTGTCAACCTCATCCTCAGGCGTCCACAGGTGTCCATCACCACCTGAGATTCCAGGCGTCAACCTCATCTTCTTTTCTTTTTCGTTTTCTTCGTTTCTCACTTCAACTTCGGCTTCATTTTCTCCTCATTCCATCTCCATCGTCCATCTCAATCCTACCATCATATCACGTCATCGCCAACATTCTACCATGACTCCCCAGTGGACCCTTCGCGCTAGGATTGATCCCTGCCCCGTCCGACTATGCACTGTGAGCGCGTTGTCCTGGCTACTTCCCCCCATGCACCGTTGCGTCAAGCTGACTCTGTCTGTTTCTAGGATGTCACCCTGATTTAGAACTAGCTTTTTGATCTCTTCATTCGATTTATATCGTCCAACCTCTTCCTCAGGTCAATGCTCTCCCCCTGACCCATCGCCGTCACTGTCTCCACTTTTCCCCTCCGCGTGGCTTGGCCGCTTGGGGCCGCTTGGGTCGAGCCTCAGCCTCATTTCTCATCCACTCTCTCTCTTCTCTCTCTCTTCTTCTTCTCTCCTCTTGATCCTCGTCTCTTCACCTCCCCCGCTCCGACATTGGCGTACCCCATCTCTCCGCGTGGCTTCTCTCTCCACCGCCGCTACCATTTTTAGTTCCTCTGCCCTCCCTCGGACCTTCCCTCCAATCTCACGCGCACACACACTCTGCCTGGTCCTCCCCGTCATTTCCCATCGACCGTCGACCCGTGAGCCGTCATGGCTCACTACCAAGAGGGCCCCTACCAAAACGGCCACTACCAAAACGGTCCCCCCAACGGCTACCCCCCCTTGCGACGCATGCCCAGCTACAACGAGGGCGATGATGCCGACTTGCAGCTGCCACGTCCCGATGGTGGCTACGGTCTCAGATCCCCGCCGCGCGTGCGTCCGCGGGCGTCTACCCACGCCCCCGTCTATCAGCATCCCTCCTCCTCTTCCTCCTCCTCTCACCATTACCAGTACACCGCGTCCGCCGCCTCGTCCTCCCCCCCCTACAACCCCCAACAGTACCCCACCCCGACCGCCACCCCAACCACCCTGGGCTATAGTCCCCTCGCCTACACCGGTCCCGCCCACCAGCATCCGCCCTACAACCCCGCCGCCTACCAGAGCACTGGCGCCCCCGCCTTCCCCCCGCGCCCGCCCAGCCTGCCTTACTCCCAAACCCCGCTGTCCCCTACGCAGCCCCTACCGCCGCCTCCGCCCCCGCGCGGGCCGGATCACCCCTACGGCGGTCGCGGTGTTTACGGCGTCGGCGCCCCCGGGACCCCGTACGGCGTCGCCCCGCCCCCCATCACACCCCGGTCCGCCGCCACCCCTGTCACATATGGCCCCCAATCCCCACGCTGGACTGAACGCCCCATCGAGGACCACCCTCCGCCGCCCCCCGTACATGCCGCACCCGTGGAGGACCCCGCCGCCAAACGAGGGAGCCTTCCACGCGTCGGCTCCGGCCGCGCTTTGCCCACCCCTCCCCTCCCTCCGCGGCGCACCGACACCCTGACACGCCACCCGCAGGCCCGGCCCCTGCCCGGCCCGCCCATCGCTGAAGATCGCGACGGGGTCCCGCCGCCCGCTGCCTACGACGATCTGATGCGGGAAGTCGAGGCCGCCGTGCAGGAATCCCGCGGGGCCAGTGACGACCACAATAACCAGGACGACGACGCGCTCGCCGACCTGGCCCCGGACGAGACGCACACCCACACCAATGGCAACATCTCTACCGGGACCGGCCAGTATAACATCAATTATGACGCCTACAGTGATGACAGCGACGCTGAGGCCGCCGCCGGCCTCGCCATGATGCAGATGGCCGACGAGGAGGACCGCGCCCTGGCCGAGCGCCGCGCCCGCCGCGACACTGACGCCGCCACCCCGGCCTCCCTGCGCAGTGCCCACGGGTCCCACTCTTCAGGTCACGCCCCTGCCACCGCCGGCGTCGGGGACCCGGGGACGTCCGCCGACTCCGACTCCTCCAACGACTACGGCTACCCCGCCGTACCTCCCGCCTTCTTTCCCGCCTTCACCCCGTATCACGCCCGCGTCGATGCTGGCGGCACCGGCGGCCTGGCCGACCCCACAGCCTACGGCCGGCGTGCCGGCGACCAGCCAGCCGACGAGGCCCAGGACGAGGACGAGGACGAGGGCGAGGGGGAGGAGGAGGATCGAGAGGAGGATCGGGAGGAGGAGGAGGAGGAGGAGGAGCAGGCGGCTTGGTCGCCCGTCGGCAGTGCGGGCGCGAGCTCCGACGCCGGGGATAGTGGGCCCGAGGACCTGTTCTTCCACCCGGGCATGCGCCCCCTGCCCCCCGCCCCTGTCGAGCCCGCTCCTGGCATGCTCGCCCACCTGGTCCCGGCGGGCACCTACCGCCGCCCCCTGCCGATAGACCCCCGGCCCCGCCGCCCGTGTTGACGACCGGGGATCCTGCCGAGGTCTCCAGCCCCTCGCAGGTGCCGCGGTCCTCCTCCCTCTCCACCCACCCCATCGCACCGCGCGCCGAAACCCCCACCCGCTCCAAGACCGATGCCGACCGCGCCCGCTACAAGCCCTGCCCAACCCCCAGGACCCCACCACCGCCCGCCACACCTTACCGTCCCCGGAGTACGTCGCGCCCGCTACCCCCGCCGACGCGGCGCCCGCGCCCGTGCCCCCCGTGGGCCTCGACTTACCCACGATCCCCGCCGGCCGCCGCAAGCGGCCCAACCTTGCCAAGCTCTCGTCCGATCACTTCCGCCGCTGCGCCGAGCCTTGGGCCGTCAGCGCCATCCTCGCCTGGATCCGCGAGCTGTGCGAGGATGAGACCGACCTGCGCCAGCAGGCCGTCGTGGACGCTCTTGTCGCCCTCTTCACCCACAAGGTCCCCACCATGAACGTCGCCGACGCCGAGACGCTCGCCGCCCGCGTTGTCGCCGGCATGCGCGCCGCCGGCGCCCTGGTCCCCGACGAGGAGTGGGTCAGGTTCGGCCCTGGCACCCTGTCGGGTGTGCTCGTCCCCATCACAGGCACCGGCTGTTACGCCCCGCGTCTGCACGAGTTTGCTCCTGAGGGCGTCAACGGCCGCTGCTACTCCCACCACTGCATGCGCACCCTCAAGAAGGTCAACCTCCGAGCCCAGCCCATGGCGCCCCAGGAGAAGGCCGCGGACTGGGTGACCTTCTACCGCGTCCCCAAGGAGGTCTGGGAGGCCCACCCGCGCAAGGAGATCGACCGCCAGAACAACCTGCACGAGATCGTCACCACCGAGGACGCCTTCATCGCCCAACTCGACGTCCTGCGAGAGCTCTACCGCGACCAGCTGCGCGCCATGCAGCCGCCCCTCCTCCCCGCCAAGCGCCTCCCCAAGTTCCTGCAGGACGTCTTCGGCCGCGTCGACGCCGTTAAGCGCGTCAACGAGGACCACCTGCTGGCCCAGCTCAAGTACCGTCAGAAGGAGCAGGGGCCCTTCATCGCCGGCTTCAGTGACCTCTTCCGCGAGTGGATCCGCAAGGCCCGCGCCGTCTACGTCGACTACGCAGCCACCTTCCCTCACGCCAGCTACCTGGTGCGCCGCGAGGCCGACCGCAACGTCGCCTTCCGCGCTTTCCTCGGCCAGGCTCGCGATCACAAGCGCTCCAACCGCCTCAGCTGGGACACCTACCTCAAGGCCCCCATCACCCGCATCCAGCGCTACACCCTGCTGCTGACCACCGTCCACAAGAACATGGTCCGCGACTCGGAGGAGAAGGCAAACCTGGCCCAGGCCATCGAGGAGATCCGCCTCGTCGCTCTCGACTGCGATCACAAGGTCGGTGAGACCGCACGGAAGGTCGACCTGATGGAGCTGGGCGCGCGTCTGCAGCTGCGCCCGGACATGCGCAAGGAGGTCGAGCTGCACCTCGAGCACCTCGGCCGCGAGGTCGTCCACCGCGGCGACCTGCAGCGCCCGGGCACTCGCACCCGCTTCCTCGTCGACTGCCACGCCATCCTCTTCGACCACTACCTGGTCCTGGCCAAGCGCTCCCGCACCGTCCGCCACGAGTGCTACGACGTCTCCAAATTGCCCATCCCCATGGACCTGCTCGCCCTCGAGAGCACCACCGACGACCCCGTCGTCAAGTCCTCCGTCCGTGGTGTCACCACCGTCACCCAGCCCCAGGGCCTCGGCGCCGGCGCCATGGCCCCGCTCGTCGGGGGCAGTGGGGCGGCAGCGGCAGCGGCAACGGCGGCGGGGGCCACACCCTCGTACCCGCCACCGTGCTCGAGAGCTCCAAGGACGACAAGGTCCTCTACCCCTTCAAGATCAAGCACTTGGGCGTCAACGGTAGCTACGTCCTTTATGCCGCCTCCGCCCGAGATCGCCGCGACTGGTGCGAGAAGATTGTCGAGGCCAAGACCCGCCACGCCGCCGCCCTCTTCGCCCAGAATGCCGAGCCCTTCCGCCTGCGCGTGCTGGCCGACACCGCCTTCGCCCCCTCGGATCATTCCCTGCCCACCCGCGGCGTCGCCATCACCGGCACCCCGCTGGACCGCGCCATCCGCGAGGTCGAGCGTCGCTACCCCGCCGGCCGGCCACGCCCACCCCCCGTCTGCCGTACCACCGTGCACTGCGCCACCGTCTTCGAGCAGCCCGCCGGACGCCGCATGTGCGCCATCGGTACCGACTACGGCGTCTACCTCTCCGCCTACGACGATCCGCGGGGTTGGACTCGCGTATGTCTTGCGTCCCCTCCCCTGCCCGATGTATTAAATTCCATCTAACTGTTCCTAGGTCATCCCCGTCATCCGCGTCACCCAGATCACCGTCTTCGAGGAGTTTAACCTGTTCCTCCTCATCGCTGACAAGTCCCTGATCGCCTACCACCTGGACGTGGTTTGTCCGCCCAGCGGCGTGGCCTCACAGACCACGGCGGATTCGGCCCGTCGGGCGCCGCAGAAACTGTCCGGTGCCCGCGAGGTTGGCTTCTTCGCGGCGGGCCACATGAAGGACCGCACACTGGTAATGTACAAGAAGCGGGACGGCCTGTCGTCGACCTTCAAGGTGCTGGAGCCGGTTGTCCAGAAGTCGGCGTCCAGCCGCAGCCGATTCTTTACGTCGCGGCGCGCGCAGACCGACTTCTTCCGCGAATACGACGAGTTTTACATCCCCGCTGAAAGCTACGGGATCAACATGTTCCACTCGTCGCTAGCCATCTCTACCCACCGCGGTATCGAGATCCTGACCATCGACAAGAAGCAGACTTGGTCGGTACCGGACTTTCGCACCGAGGCACCCGAGGCGCAGGCCCAGCTGCAAAGCATCGCGCAGCGGATCACCGGTCTACGCCCGCTGGGCATGTTCCGGCTCAGCGACAGCGAGTTCCTCGTCGTCTACACCGACTGCGCCATCTACGTGAACAAGCACGGCGACATCTCCCGCAGCGTGGTGATGGAGTTCGTCGGCCGCGCGAACTCGGCCTGTCTGTACGGCCGATTCCTGCTGCTGTTCGATGACGACTTTGTCGAGGTTCGCAACGCCATGAACGGCCGCCTGCGCCAGGTCATCCCGGGCCACGGCGTCGTCTGTCTGGATGACGGCAGCAGTCTTCCGGGTTCCGGCGCCAACAGCATCCCTATGCCTTCAGGGGGGATGGTCAACCTGTCTAGTGGCTTATCCAACGGGCCCGCGCTGGCCAATAGCGGTCGCACCGTTAAGATTAGCATGCAGCATCCCGAGTACGAGCGTAGTCTGATTATCCTCGAATTAATCGAGAACGAGGGACAAAAGGACTGATCTTCCCCCCCCCCTTTTTTTTTTATTTTCTTTCTCTTTTTTTATTGCGCAATGAAGTGAGGCGATCAAGCGTGGCGTTGATTTTTGTGATGAATTGATGTGCATGTTATACCCCAACCACTTTTTACCTCTTTTACTCTACATCTCTGTTCGATGTCACTGGATGAATGTATTTTGATCATGTTTTGCAAACACGTCTAGCATAGACAGATTTCGTACAGACGAGGAGGGGCCAAGACCTCGTCTCATGATGAAACCGGAATATACTCCATGTACATAACCATATGATGCCGTAGAAACTCCCTTACTTGACACTGTCTTGATTCATCACATCAGGTCCTTACATCAAGAGACTACCCCGCGATAGGGAAGCATGTACGCCCCATGTTTATTTCAGAACGAAACCAGAGACGCATCCAGGCTCCACCGCTTTCGATAGATCTTGAACAATTTGGCGGCGTTCATAGCCCATCATTTCATGTCGATCGATCGTCGGAGATCGCAATTCGAAATACGATATGGAGTCAACAGTTCCTACCCTACACGGTGTATATACGCTGATACAAATGCTGTCAGAATAACCATGAGAAAATGTACACCTCGGTATAATGGGACGCCGAACGATAGTTCGCCCTCAGAACCTCCAGCGGCGATCGTGCCCCTGGCCTGGACAGTGCGCTCTCTTACAGGTCCCTGCGGGTGCGGTCTGGTCCCAGTCTCACAGCCCTATATATAGCGGTTAGTGTCTATAACGGAAGACGTGCATGTTGTGTGCTGCTCCGGTTGGTGGAGAATCAGTTCGTGGGTCTTCCCGTGTTGCCAAGGTGTCATCGCCACAATGCAAGGACTTGCCTTACATTCTGTTTGTTTTCTCGGTTGTAAGCGTCTTGTTTTCTTCATTCGGCTGTTCCTACCCTCCGACGTGGTGATCTGACCTGGAAGAGGCATGGCTGGTGGAGAGCCCGCCCAGGATGCCGTCATTCCCAGCCATTGAGAACTCCCTCTATCCTGCCCCCTTTCCCGCTCCGTCTACCGGCACGGCTTGGCTGCGTTAGCGAGCACCGGGGTTAATGCACCATCCAATGCATCTTCGCTCTGAAAATGGCTGCATCCACCCCTATTTTACCTCGTGTGTTCTGGCCCAAAACCCTTTTTCCCAGTGTCATTCGTGCAGTGTGAAAAATCTCATCCCTCAAATCACCCTCGTGGCTTCCGTTACCCGCATCACTCTGCCATATCATCGCCAAGATGGACGTTCTGGATCTGCCGTACGGGGTTGGCATGCGCATCCAGACGAACTGCCCTATCGGTAGTCAAGAGTGTAGTAACAAGTCCGGTACTGTCAATGGCTTTGTTAGTTGTTGCCCTCGGGAGTCCACATGCTCAACGTCAAACGGTGTCTACTGCTGCCCGGACGAGATGGAAGAATCGGAATGCAGAGAACTAGTCATTGACGGAGCGCACTGCGCCAACGAAACGTGGTCCATGTTCGCGTCGGGCCTCAATGGCGGGCTCTTTTGCTGCGAGGCTCAGGATATTGGTTGGTGGGGCAAGCTCGGCGGAAACAATGGGTATGTCGGCTGCGGCCCGGATGGACCCAGCGCTTCCAGTGAATACATCGTAACTCCTATGGCCCAAAGTGAGTGCCCCTAAGTTGCTCAAACTGTGGCTGCGCATGTTCGTTGGAATCTGACCTCGGCAGCATTACCCTCCGGCACCCTGTCACCCACTACGGTGCCCTCCTCCACCGCCGCGCGCCCGACCAGTGCCTCGGCCACCTCGGAAACCACCACAGCCACGTCGTCGTCCGCTCCGGTCGACGGTGATCAGTCCACGTCCAGTAACAATACCGGCGCCATCGCTGGTGGCGTGGTCGGGGGCGTAGCCGGTGTTGCTTTGGTCGCAGCGGCAATATTCTTCCTACTCCGTCGCCGCCGGCGCCGGCCAGAGCCGGCCCCCCGGTTTCTGTGGCCTCTCCTAACAAACCGATGAACGAGCTGGGGGGTAAAGCCATCCCACACGAGCTTGAGGGTCAACAGCGCAGCGAGCTGGATGCGCAGTCGCCACCATGGGAGCAGGATAATCGAACCAAGCGATTCGAACTGCCCTAGCCGGAACGGCGCGGGGTATCCACCTGTGGCTCATGCATCGGACGGGGATATTAATCGCGCCGCGAAAATGATGTAACCACCGCTAGCGTTCATACCCAGCCGATTCGATGATTGTTTGTGCGATTGGTTCCCTTTCATCGCTCAGTGAATTAATCGCCTGTGCGCTGAACGATGAAGTCGTATAATTTCATGTGGATCATCCGGAAATGCCTCCTCTCCTTTGAAAAATCGGTTGGCCGTGGGCCTAGGGGTTTCTCATTTGGCTCTCACTTCTCATTGCTTTGCTTACGAGGGATGCGCAAATTTGAAAACTTTCAAACCAAGGAAGTGGCACAGGCTCAGGGATTGGCTGCATGATCTCAATTGAACGAGATTGGAAATCAGACCCTAGCAGTTGCCATCTGTGGGGGTTCGCCGGCCACGAAACCCACCATCCGCAATCCTCGGGGTCGAATTGGCCGTGAGACGCCAAGCCCTGGGCCCTCACCATTAGTGGCTTCACCCGTCGATCATGACATGATGTTGCACGCATTATAGAGTGGTGTTATCATCGAGAGCTCTTTCAGTACACTACGTCTCTTTTCAAACACCAATGTGTACGGGGTTTTTACAAATCCTGCATCTGTCGCTACATTGGGAGAACTACCTAGCTATGTTAGATAACATGTGGCCGATAGTAAGAGAACGTGGGGAATGAACCAGTACAACTTCACCGCGAGTGTAGAATCATTCAATAGTGACTTGATTGAAAACTGCATTCTCTGAATGATATGCCTTTGGAACACTCAATACGTATTAAGATCCCTTGTTCGGAGAGCAGGAGGCTCACTCTCCTCCCTTTCCTCCTGCCGTTTCGGGCTTTTGGAAAGACTACGCCGATTCTCCTCCATAATGGCCGGGAATCTCTGGAACTCGGGGCTTCTGGGGGTTTGTCTTTATGACAACTCGTCTTCCGACGAATCCTCGTCTAACAAACCCTCCTCCGGAATCTTGCCAAACAGCAATTCTCGGTCGGGATCCAGTTCATCCTCCGGGATGTCGGCGGCGCCACTGATGGCATTGACCCGGTTTAGTATCCACTGCATCTCAAGTAGTTCCACGGAGGGCAATGGGCGAACTTCTGGGTCGTCGGTTCGTAGGATTATCTCCTCACCGGACTCGATGATTTTCTCCGTGTCACAGTCCCAAAGCTTCGTGTTTTTTGGCCCGCACCTGGGATCCTGGGGCACTTTGGGGCACGCCGTCATCGGAACATGACGAGAAAAACAGAAATTGGGCAGCCAGAAAAACTTGACCTTCAAAGTTTTCTTGTCTTCGGAGATCTCGATGGGCTTCAGGGAAAACCGAGCCATTCCCCATAGGCCGTGCACGTTTGAGCCCAAGCATAACATGTTCGAACAAGTTTCCGTGCCCTGTGGGCCTAACACGGCACTTTTCCACGCCTGGATCTTTTCGTCGGTCCAGAACCACCCCAGGGTCCTCCAAAACATGAACTGGCTGGGATCGGCCTCACGCTGGCCCAAACTATACGGATAGATGTGCGCGACCTCCAATGGCTCGCCAGCCTTGGTTATTACGCACGTTTCCTGATCGCGCTCCAGGCACTACAGCGTCCAGGTATTAGTAACCCCCTTTTTACTCAGTCAAGACCTAGGCTACTTACGGCTTTTCGGGCATTTCTGGACCGTGCTCTCTTGGCAGGCGACTCCGATCCCTGCTTCACGGGTGGGGTTGATACGGAACTGCTGGTTCCAGTTCCGGTTGTCACGTCTGGTTCAGCTTTCGAAAGCCGGGGAATTTTGGTTTGGGTCAGGGGCTGAGGACTGGCCATGCCATCGGAACCTCTTTTCTTAGAATTGTCCTCGTCGCGTGGTCTAGAAGTAGTCGACCCTAGGAATACGTCAGCCCTCGCTCTTGATGATCATCCCGTGTCACACTATTATTCGGTCGACTAAAATTGATTACTCACAGTTCCGTATCGTGGAGGTGACATCTGGGTGGGTCAGTTGTGAAACCACACCGTTCAATCCCTCGGAGCCCGCCGACTTGGCCAGATCAACCAATTTCTGAAGCTTCCCGATGTCGGAAAGCCATAAGCAGGCCCAAGTCGATGTATTTATTCCAATCTTGGTTGGTGCGACTAGAGTATCCAGTTGTTCGACCAGGGCGAGACGGCGGGCGTCCAGGAATTCCGGCGCAATGTCCATTTTGATGATGAGGGAGGCGTTTGGAGAAAGGCGATTGAAGGAAATATGAGGTTTGAATGAGAAGAGCCGAGAACAGGGTGAATTAAAGTGGAAGGAAAGAGATACCGCTCTTCTCTCAACAAGGGGGGGAGTGGAAACAATACGGGAAGCGACAGGGGAGAGATGGGATGATGGGATGATGACGGGCAAGCTATGTTATGATGACGAAATGCTCAACGCGATTGTATCAAGGTTTAGAAGATCCAGTCAAGCATCCAAAATCAAGGAGATTTTGTCGAACGAATGAATTCCACCGCAGGTCAGCAAATCTCCTCGAGCCCTCACTCCCTCAGCCCTATTACACCTGAGGTTTTGACTTGGTGCTTTTTGTATATTCTTTGCAGTTAATGAAGGTACCTGGCAGACTGTCTTGCCATGTCATGTAGAAACATATATCAAATGATTATAAGTAGTCAGGATTAATTATTTTAGATTCTTAAAAAGTAATAGTGTACACCAGTAGTGAATTTGTCTCAAAGCAACTTGTGATAGTACAACTTGATACATCAGTGGTATTTAGAAATCATACCTCCTAGCTTATGATATCATAGTAAATCTCATATAATGCACACATCTATTCTGGTATGCAGTTAGGTTATGACAGGACTCGTGGTATTTGGACCGGTGGATGCACATGTTTACTGTATGTATACTATAATACATAGCTTGAAGGAGAAAAATATGTCAAATGTGTAACTAAAATAGAGTGAAATTTACCTGTGTGGTATATTATCACTAGCCTTGTGAGTGATATTAGTATTAGCATATTTCAATGTACATCATGTCATCAACAACTTACCACTGATTGATTGATGAAAGACCCTAATGTCCACTCCATTAAATTTTGCAGTCCCCCCAACACGTACATGGCCCTCCACATCAGCCTTGCACTCTTGCTGCAGAGCGTTGACAACATCTGCAACATCACTGCACTTAATATCGCCTTGAGAGTTACAGGTAGCAAGGCCAGCACTGTAATGTTTTGCAATAGTTGTGCAATCACTTCCAATTGCATTGTGGTTTACGCAGCTCTGTCCGGGGCCATCCGACTTTCCCTTGATCTGGTTGATGGCTGCAGTGACATCTTCTGTCCAGGGACTGGCGCCACTAGTTTCACATTTGATATCATATTTGGCTGCTACCATCGCAGGGTAAACAGCGGCCAAGGTGAAGGTGAGGAATGAAGTCACGTGCATCTGAGATATCATGATCAGTTGACAGAAGACAAGACAACGGTGTTAGAGGAGAACTCACGCTGAAAGTGGTGGGACTGGGAAATTATAGAGTATGGTAGAATAGATCTGTGAAAAGAGAATGTCTTGAATTCGAACAGAACAGAGAGCTCCCTACGATTCATGGGGGTTTATATAGCTTCATTCTTCTCTATCTCCATTCACACATCTATGAGCAACAATAATAACTATAGCACTGCCTCTATGTCATGGATATTCTAATTGGAGAAACGGTCATAGCACTGACCCCTGGCGAATGCCATATCTCTAACATCTGACAGAGCGCTTGTAGTGCGACACTCATTCATGGCATAGCCCAGTCTAGCCCCACATCACAGCTATAGCACAAAGGCTAAATCAAATGCCGCGTCTTCAAAAGACCCCCCAAGCCAAACACAGTCAGCAAGCAAATCCTTCAACTGCATGCTGTGGTCCACTATGCTGATCGCTATTGAAAAGGCGGGGGAATTTGCATCTTATGCCCAACTTCAATAAGATCGTATCATGAATATGGAGGTATAATATGACTGTTATTTATTTAATACCTCCATCCGGGGAATATCCCATCATTCATTTAACATGCTTGAAAACGGATGATAACAAGTATAGGTTCTCTTTGTGTATTCAGTGCTGTCTATACTGAAATGTGTCCCGAGCCATTTGATCGCATGGCTCAGCTTAGTTGATCCCCTACGACTTCAATTGTTATCCTTCAGGTTGCTGTTTCCCAATCAATAGATTGTACTAGAGACATGATTAAGAGTGGGGTGCTGAATCGGTCCCTCCGAACTCCATCAAAATTATAAACTCGATGACGTGCTGCTGTCAACAACCCTTCAAGGTATGAGAAGTGGAGAAAGGGCCAAGCCACAATTGTCGATCCCATTGAGAGACCATAGCAGGCTGAACAATCAGTGTGTCATAAAACCTCCGTCTAGTCAACATTTTGTAGCAGAGGGCGTACCTGAACCTATCAACGGAGTTGCGAACTGTCTATATACTAAAATCTCACGGGAATAATCAGATCGTCGCGGGCGAAGGAATATAGACACCAAATATAGTTCAAACATCCTCTGCCGTCTCATGACTCGGAGGCAAACCGCTAGTGCTTATAACCTAAAGCTTTGTTCTTCCACGCCACCTTGCGGTCAGTTTGAAGTACACCAATAGAGTCAAGAGTTGATTGTATTGACATGGCGTTTCTTTTTCAAGGCGTGCGCGCGGTAGACCTTCTCGTGGTATCTCAAACTGTAGACGGATATTGCCAAAGCATCCTGTACAGCCCCCGATGATCGCACTGAGTCTTAACCCACAAAGTTCTTGTGAGAACGAGCATATGATTGGTATTTCAATGCTTGATATTGCTAGATCGGGCCCTGCCCTACCATAGCCAACATCTGTGGTAGATATAAAACCTTTAATCCGTCCCACTCAATTGGTCCGACCATACTTACACACATTCTACTATTCTCGAGCAATCAAACAACTTGCTTTCTCTATCTTCCTATTTCAATCTATCTTCAAGTTTCACCAAACGACCTTCCAGTTTCAACGCCTTCAAGATGCGTTATTCTATTGCTGCCTCCATCGCTTGCCTGCTAGCTCTGACCCAGGCGGCGCCCACATCCAACGAACTCGTCGCCCGCAAGAGTGTCAACGACTGCCAGGATAGCACCTTCGTTGATAAGGGCAGTGAGGGCTCCCCTGATATTGCTGATTGCCAGCATATCGTTGAGAACATCAGAGGGGGTGGCACCTGGAAGGTGTCCCAAATTGGCGCACAATACACCCTGGCCAGTTTTGGCACCTGCGCGTTTGGTGCAGAGGGCAACGCCGCAAACACCGCATATATGGGAAATCAGGATATCATGGATATCATTAACGAGTCTATTGCAAAGTTTGGTAGGCCTGATGGCAAAGTCGGGGCCAAGGGGAGGGTGGATTGCAAGAGTGACCGCGGTGGAATGGGTGTTGGCCGCCTTGATTGGGGGATCTACCACACATAAGCACTTATATACGCTCTCAAGCCGCGGTCCGAAGTTTGCGGCGTGGTAGTCATATGTTTTGTTCATCAACTATTTCGTGACATCTTTTGTTTGTGCTTTTAGCTTCTGACCTGCGAGCCTGTGTCCAGGCTGCTTTGTAAATAGCACACTGATTATTCGTTTCTCAACAAATTTGTTGCAGCCGAAGTAGGGTAGATTCTATTGAAAAGTGTAGTGCTATAAGAGATGCTATGTGTGGATAAGCTGTAAAGTCTTGATCAATCTCATTGGGAAAGCCCCTGATAGGAAATTATACCAGTCTCTAATTTGACTACAAACAAGGGCGAAAATACTCTGACTTCCTTTTCTCCATCGTTCCTCGGTCATAATGTACATGGTCTTTGACTGCTTGGTCAGTGTCTTCAAACTGGCACTTCTACTTAAATCCTAACTTTGCGGAGTCCAATAGTCATGTTTACAAGAACTAGAACAGTGTCCGATGGACTGATCACATGTCTCTAGTGCCAACCTATCAAGTTCGTCTTACCTTCCAGTACCTTTATCACTATTTTTGGTTACCTCGCTTAGGTTCCACATAATATGGGGCTGTTTTCAGTTGGATGGATGTATCCTGAACTAGGACAACAAAAAGCTGATCCCCCGAGGGCAAGGGGCCTGTGTTGCACCGAGCCATTAGCAAAAAGAGGATTCACGATCTTTACCGGCTATGTTGGTGTTGTGAATATACAATGATGTCATATTATCAGAGCAATCTTCTGAGAGGTTGACTCCACGGGCAATCTAGTGTGTTGATGCTGATAGTTCCAGGCCGAAGGATTCAACAGGCATGACTATCAAGCCACCATTAGCATCCGGGGTCAAGCGGAGGGGGCTTGAGACCAAGCAAAATAGGCACCTGCTTGTCGTGGGCCGTAGCTCGGGTACAGCCGACAAGCCAACGACCAGCATTCCATCGATTCCATACAGTCCTGGATTTGATATAGTAAAGGGAAGCGTGTTATAAGGTTTGAGCTAGGAACAGGATACTGATGACTGCATGCTATATTAAACCTAGCATATAATGATCGTCGAATCCTTGTAAGATCTTGCCACTCTTGTTGGGGGCCGAAATGGATATTCACTGTCTATGACGATTGAGCGTGGGGTCCCCGCACGGTATGTTTTTTTTCTTTTTTTTTCTTCCTTTCTTGTTACCAGTGTGGGTATAGTCTCACTGCAGATTTTGCGATCTTACCGCGGCACCAAAGCACGGCAACATTTGGAAAGGCTTTAGGAAAGGTTTCAGACTATGATCTTGCCCCAAAAAGACAAAGCGATTAATTTACGAGTGTCAAGTATATAGTTCAAAATACACTGTGGCGTACATCGGGGAAATAGATAAAGGCCATCGAACTCTCGTTTTTCAAGCCTCTCAACAGCAACAGCCAGCTACCATCTATAAATCCCCAGCCAGCTACCCTCTATAAATCTCTTTGAAACATTCTCCTCCCGTCAAACAACTCGAATCATCTGAATCACGATGAGGATCCAACTGCCGACTGTTATCGCCCTTCTGGCCGGTGTGGTCTCTGCTTCTCCTGTTCCCAAAGACCCCAACAGTGATGTTAATGACTGCGACGATATCCGCTATGAAAATGGGAGCTCGGATGGCTCTCCCACTGTCGACGACTGCCGGCAAATTGTTAAAAACATTCAAGACGGTGGAAGTTGGGATTACAGCGGTGTTGGGCACCACAAGACCCTTGTTACCTATGGCACCTGTGCTATGGGTATCGACAGTGGTGCCCGAGTCGGGAACTTAGATATTACGGACATCATCAACGGTTCCATTGATAGATTTGAGTGGAAGGGTCTTGTCGGTGCCAAAGGAAAGATGAACTGCCAGAAGCCTGTTGCGCAGCAAGAGACTGATGATGTTAATTGGAGCATCTACTTTAACCCAGACTGCTGTAAATGAATAGCGAACAAAGCTGGTCATGTTCTATCATTTTATCTGCTGTTTTTCTATTTTTGAAGTGTTTGGTTGATTGTTTATTCTCTATCATTATTTGTACACACATCTAACAAGATACCTGTCACACATCCTTTGATTATCACGAATTTGACAAGCCCATAGCTCTATAATGTATGTGATGTAGCAGTTGAATATCAGTAGGTGATCAGCACATAAAGTATATTATAATAGCTGTTATCTTGGTGATTATGACCCATTAAAAACTTTAGAAGAAGTGATGTGAATTTGTCAAATAATTGAATTATACTATATAGGTTTCATCCCTACATATCCTTGCATGGTTTTCAGTTTTTTATACTCCAGATAATTATGATTAACTCTTCCATTGGTTTTATTAATGCGATTTCCGTCTCGATTTTAGGAAACTAATCGAATCAGCCTGTGATGTGGTGTATTGTAAGGCGGTGCGGCTTTTGTTGATATTGACTGTGTCAACTGTTCGCCTACTGGTCAAGTATGTACCTTAAACGGCAACCCCTCCTGTCTACAAGGAAGCAAGCTATCAAGTCAGGCCATTCTTCATTGTTCCCCTCTCTCGAGGCAGACATCGACACAAACCATAGCGGGGCAGCTCGGACCGCTGTCTACGATGATTTCGTCAGGCTCTTGGTAATTGTCGGCATTTCATGTGTGTGCATGTCAGCTGTGTATAACAGTAGCATCGCTGCCCTTTGGCCTGCGTTTTTTTTGTTCCAAGTCACGGCCGTTTTCAATATTATATAGGTCAGTAGATTGATAACACATAATAGCCCATCCTTCACCCTCGCAAGTTCCTTGCAGTGATATAGATGGGTAGTTTATATATTTGTTCACTCAAAATCAGTCTATATAGTGGGTACTTGGTGAATCAGTGATTATATATATTCAAACTAAAAATTGTAAAACATGTACTAACACATTTCAGTTATGTGATGAAAATGATGAGATTCAGACTATGGAAAAGCTCGCCGAATGGTTGCAGATGAAGTAATATAAAAAAATCAAGTGTGGGAAGAGAACTGTGCAGGTTAGCTGACTGTTGAGCTGGTTACGGTAACTGCAGGCCCTTTTACTATTTACTTTGGCTTGTACATACTTTGCAACTCTTCATGGCTCCAGGAATATCACCAAGTGAAAATTATTTGTTTATCCATCATATGATGTCTCCCTATATCAATAATACCCGCCGCCCATTAGGAATGCATGTTTGTCCAATATAGGAGTTTGTTAAGAAGCTAAAGTAAGGTGATAGGACTGTTACTCCCGTCTGCAAGTTTTTTAACCTGAAATATCTTGTAAAATGTTAAAGCCCCTAACTCCAGGTGTTAACAAATCAAGATCATGTAGAGCCATCTCAATTACCCGAAAGAGACATCCTGTGACAACAGCGCGATCAGATAACATCACCAGATCCACCATGATTACGGCATAGTCAATAGGTACATAAATTGGTAGCAGCAGAGGGTACAAGGAACTGCGACTAGTACTTAGCTGAAACAGTCTAGGTTGAGAGAAGTCGGCCCCAGAAACAACTGTACGCTAGGAGAGTGAGCCGCACATCATTCTCCAGGGGCTTCCTCTCCCTCAGCGACGTTGCCACATTCTCGACAGCCCGCAGTATTCGGAACACATCCCCTCTCACCACAACTGGCAGCTCCGACATCCCGACACTGCGATCCAGTAGGACGCGCATGACATCTGAATACTGACTCACATCGTTCAAACTGTCAGTCTCCGCCGACATGCCGTCGAAGTCAGGCCCCAAATCGACATGACGATAGCCGAGCAAGCATCCAATGTACTGGATGTGGTCAGCAACATCGTCAATGGTCGCCTGCGCGTAAGGGCTTACGCCATCTTCCGCAGCTTTTGAAGTCGCTGCACCAGGGGCAGCTTGTCACTAATGATAAGCTCCGCTCTTAGCGGAATGGGCGCCTCCCATAATGCCCTAGATATGTTATCCAGCTAGCACCAAGCCGAGCGAATAAGCTGCACCTGTCATGGCGCTGCCTGTGGCGAAAACCGCAATGCTCCCTAACATGACGGGCTAGCGGCCGAGCATTTCTGCCAACAAACCAATCAGCGGTTGGAAGATAGTGCTGGCCAGTGTATAAAAATTAGTGACCCACACGTATTGCGCGGTGTGCAATCTCAAGCAATTGTTGGAAGAGCGGCCACGAAGTTGCTACACTTCATGGTTACGGCAAATCCAGAGAGACAGGGTATGCTGAAAAGCAACCAGTACTTCAATCATAGCCCTAATAAGACCCTAATAAGTGGGTGGAACGGAACTCTACCCATTTTTCGAGTACGGTTCCGTTCCAGAGCGCTGAGCGTGGCTTGTGATTGGCTAGAAAACTCGAGGTTTTAGGTACAGTTCCGTTAACTTTAGGGTAGGGTGCTTTCATGATCCAGGACTAGTATAGAAAAAAGAAAAATAGAAGATTATAATTCAGATCTTAAGCTATTATACAAGCTAATTTTTATTTAAAAATAATATATATAAAGGTTATAAAATTAGAATCAAAATCAAGTAAAATCTCAAAAATTTTTTTGATGGGGTATGCCAAGACTTCTACCCGCAGGTATCTAGAGCTCTATTTTAGAGGTGACTATATTTTAGGGTTGACCATTTTATCAGGTAAGATTATATTAGAGTTAGAGTTAGGGCTAGGGACGGGCGTGGGGGAATTTCGGGCGGATCATTTTAAGGTCGTAGGGCGACCTTAGGGTCATTAGGGTCATTAGGGTCATTAGGTCATTAGGGTCATTAGG